TGTCCAGCAATGAAGTTGGAGCCTTTTCCAACATAAAAATTATCATAATTTGTGAATATTATTTTTTTTTTAAAAGATATTTCTCTCGGCCTAACCATAATGTTATTTCAATCCATTTAACTACATAATAAATAAAAAGAGGTATATTTATTTTTTATTACTATTATATATTTAGTATTATAAATGTATATTATAAATGATCTAACTATCCTTATCATTTTTCATAGCAACATTATTGAAGAATTGATTGAGCGTTACTTGACCATTATAAAATAAAAAATGTTCGGTCAAAGGCTCATTCATTATATAATTAAAGCTCGAGATCATCGTTCGGTCTTGAAGTTTTGAAATTCAAGCCCCGCATTTAATTCTTTATCTCTTACTTAAAATAACCAGGGCTCATTCTTTATATAACTAAAGCCCGAGATCCTCGTTCAGTTTTTAAGTTTCGAAATTCTAGCTCCGCATTTAGTATTTTATCTCTTATTTGAAATAGCTGTAAATGTTATAAATATTTGTATCTAAACTCAAACAAGAACACATTACAATCTCTCAAGTTTTCTTAATTAAATACAACTCTTGTTTATAAATTTTATTACTATCAATTATAATCACATCATTATAAAGGAGAATCATAGAAATCCATTCGATGTCATCATGACGCTCTATTTGAAGAGTTAAACTTCTAAAATTTGAGTATTTGGTATTAGCTTAACTAGAAAAAATTAAAGATTTCATAGAAAAATTATGCCTCCCTTGCCTCTCTCTAATTTATGAATTTGAAAAATAATAACTTTTTTTAAAAATTACTCTCTAACTTCAGCTCTTTCAATTTTCTTATGGTTTTTATGAATTTTAACCACAGTAGCTCCTTAAACATTACCTATAAACACAAAAGCCATTTTAAAACACAAAGATTTTTAGCATTCTTTTTTATTATGATTTATGAATTTAAAAATAATGGCTTTTGATATTTTTTTTTATGAGTTTTACAGTTTTTGAATATTGTTATTTATGTTTTTACTATTATTTTTTCTGTCGAATTTGCGCTGGTAGAGCTACATCGACACATGATCATAAAGCTAATATCATGAATAGACAAAGAACTTCAGTGGTAACAATATCGCTAGATAATTATATGCCCACACTAACGTACTTCAATTAGCATAAAATTTAAGTTTTCAAAAAAAAAAAAAAATAAAATAAAATAAAATTTGCCACATGAGGAAACCTCTACAACATAAAATTTGCCACACGAGGAAACGTCTACCTAGAGGTTTCATTTCATACATTTTAAATCGTATGTATATATAATAAATAATTTCTCTCATACTTCAATTATCCAATAACTAATTTCTCTGACAGCCACTGTGACTTGCTGTCCACTGCGATCCACATCCATAGCAAAACTCGAACTTACACCTGCAATTGTACAAACATAACCAAGATTAGAGTCTGTTTGGAAAGCAATTCAAGGAAAGAAAATCAAAAATAAAAAAAAAAATTTTCTTGATGTTTAATTATTTTCCTTTCAAATTGAAGAGAAAATAGCATGTGAATGCTATAATTTATTTTGCTCTCATATTTTTCTTCCTTTTATAATTTCTTCATTTCCAAATAAGTGAAAGAAAAAAAAATTATACTATTTTCCTATGTTTTTGCTCTCATATTTTTCTTCCTTTTATAATTTCTTCATTTCCAAATAAGTGAAAGAAAAAAAAATTATACTATTTTCCTATGTTTTTCGTGAATCCAAACATAGTGTAAGAAACTTGGATGCAGCTTGTGAGGAAGGGAGCCAAGCCAAAATCTTCTAAATTGACAAATTTATAAAAAAGCTCTATGCTTTATGTATATTTTACATTCTGCACCTAAAGAATATTTAAATTAAAAAAAGAATTTATACAATGCCAAAAAAAAAGATAGTATGAAGTACATTTAAATAAATGGGTAAGACTGTACATTTAAGTACATTTTGTTTGAAGTGAAATATCAAATTAAATACACTTACATTTTAAATTTCCAATAACCCAAAATGTCCCTTCAATTGTTCTTTTTTTTTTTTTTTTTGTGAAGCTTTCTATTAATATTATTATTAAACACAGTAAGTGTAAAAACTGACTGTGGAATCAGTAGTATACTAACCTGCATGTTATATGTGGGCAACCTTCCGTTCTTTCAACATAAAATTTACAGTGAGGACATCTACTCCATTTCTGAGCTCTAGCAAGTTCCATCACCATCAAATCTTCCCTTCCTCTTTCATCCTCATTCAACCTCTGAAACCTTCCTCTTTCATCCTCATTCAACCTCTGAAACTCTTCACACTCAACTCCAGAATGCCAAGGCACATAACACTGAGCGCAGAACAATCTATGGCAAAACGGACACTCAGACTCTCTAATAGCTTCTCCTCCTTCACAATCACTATCATTCACCAAAAGTGCAGAACAATCCTTAAAAGGACAATAAAACTTCTCCCATTCGCTTATCATCTCCTTGCATAGCATTTCCTCCCAGATATCAATTACTCCCTTGGAAAGCTGAGATCTGCAAATGTCAAGTTCGAGAATTGCTCGGCAATTCATTCCTGGACAAGTAATAATAGTACAAGTACTATCTTGAATTTTTGCAGCTACATGTTTGCTCATACATTCGCAGCAAAAAGAGTGAGCACAGCTATCGATTTTGAACATTTGGTCGATTTCTTTTCTTTCTACACAAATTTCGCAGAAAATGAGTGAAGATTCGCCGGTTTCTTTAGGGTTTGGCTCTGGAGATGGTTCAATCATGGGAATTGATGATGGAATTTTGTTTTTCACCTGAGAAATTATCACCGAGCCCATTGATTCCTCCTGGAATAGTACTTCCTCAGCGTATTGGGCGTTAGAGAGAGTTTCTTTTGCCATTGCAGAGAACTAGACAATGGATTGATAAAAGATGAGAAAAAAAAGGATGAGACCATGGATTTGTAAGGTGACTTCGCTTGGAAGGAGTCATTCCCCATTGGAAAATGGAAACGACTTTCTCATTATTTTTTTTTCTTGTTTTTTGGGTTTTTTTTTTTTCTCCATGACCTTTCCTTTTCCTTGATTCTAATTCGTATAACTACCACGTGCTTAACCAAAATTTCTTATTAAAAAGACCAACCAAAATTAATAGCTTCTCAAATAGAAAACTTTATGTTAGGGTAAAATTATATTTTGAAATCTCAAATAGAAAACTTTATGTTAGGGTAAAATTATATTTTGAAATAATATTAATGTTTTATTATTTTTTTTTTGCATGATTTATAATAGGTAGATTTACTCTTAGCCGATATACTACCCATTTATATACCAAATTAATTCTAAACAATATTTTAGCACATTATTTTAACATTCACTAGAAAAAAAAAAAAGACAGTGACATTTTTAATAAAAAAAAATTTTCTATATAATAAATTTCAAATTAAAAATATTCTCATTTGAATTTTTTAATTGCTTTGGTATACAGTTGTTCTATATATATCAAAGGGAATAATTATTTCTTCTTTGAGCTTTTACAAAATTAATTAATTCATTCTCATATTTTTATATATTTGATATTAGTTTTTAAAATTTGGTTTCGTCACATTAAACTATCATAAAAAATAAAATGCATAATATATTTATTTATTTATTGAGTTTGTATAACAGCAGAAATGGAGATTTGAGGAGATGAAGGAGATGAAGAGGAATGGTGGCTTTAATTTTTGAATTTTTAAAGGGTATTTTAGTCTTTTATTTTGCATCTAACGGCAAAGCACATTAAAATTGGATGGAAAAATCATTTAAAGATTGTGTAATGTGACGGAATAAGACTAAATATTTAATATGCAAAAATAAAATAGACTAAATATTTAAAAAATAAGACTAAATATTTAATATGCAAATAAAATAGACTAAATATTTAATGTGCAAATAAAGCAAAAATAAAATAGACTAAATATTTAATGTGCAAAAATAAAAGGATGAGTTAATAAATTTTATAAAATCTCGGGAGAAATAATTATTTTTCCATATCAAATTTAAGGAAATATCAAGGGAAAAATATGAATCTTTTATATATCAAATTTAAGGAAATCTCAAAGGAGAAATCTGAATCTTTTTCTTCCATGATCATATAATACTTGTTTTATTATTTTCCGCCACACATAGCTTGAAGAAGATATATAAATTACATAATTTGGTGACCGGGCGGATTTCACGACCGATTCAGTTACTTTCTCGGCGGATATGCGCTGCCTTTTCGATCATCTCCAAATTTGGTGATTCCTTGGTGACAACTCGGTCTCAGTTACTCCACCGTTAGCAAGATTAGGTTTTGATATCAAAGGGAGTTCTTGGTTGGTGGATCGAGAGGATTGCATTTGCATGGGGTTTTGATCACTTGAAGGATAATTAGAAGGAGAAGAAGAGGATGATGGGTTTTGTTATCGGGATGGAATGAGTTTTGGAGGTAACAATTGTTTAGCTGAGTGAGATTTCATGTGGCCTCCCATGGCTCCGCCCTTGAAACGTCAGTTGCAGATACCGCAGATTCCCTTCTTCTGCATTGATGAGAAATAATGGAAGCTACCCTTATGCCACTCATAGAAACTGAGAGAGAGAGAGAGAGATGAGAGACGTTAATTGAAGAATGAAAGCGCATTTGGATATATATGTGTATAAATATAAATTACCCCTTATAAGTACTTATGTTGAATTTATTGTAAAAACAAAATTATTGAAATGGAACCTAAAAATGGAACTTGATGATTGAAAGAAAATGAAAAAAAAATATATTACGGATAAAGAAAAAAATTTTAACTTATAGTAATAACGAACTCTACAAAATCAATGCGATTAAAAATTTCTTTTTAATAATAATTTTTTATTTTATTTATTAGTCGATCAAAATAATAATTTAAAAAGATTACAGAAATGGCCTACATGGACAGAGAAAAAACAATTCAATGTTCAGTCAAAAAGGACTAATTACAGAGAAGTTGCTGAACAGGGACAAAAGAAAAGACAACTTCCAAGCCAAGTTTTCTAAACTATAAAGCACATAAAGAGTTGATATCACAGAGAGAAGAGTAGAAGACCCACTAATTTACAGTCAACAAAGATTTTCTAAAATGGCAACACCACAGGCCTTTGATCTTCTTCCTGCAAACAATGAAACTCATCACCCAGCTTTCTTTAACAACAATGGAGGTGATGAGTTTCGAATCATGCTTTTATCGGATGCTGCAATGGCTGAAGAATTGCAGCTCCAAGAAGCTCTACAGGCTTCTCTTTTCACTTCAGAGTTGCCGAATCCATCACCATATGTGAAAAATATAGGTGAATCTGAATCATCCCTCAGTTTTTGTGTGATTTGCACGGAGATGATAGAAAATGAGAAACTAATCAAGAATGGGGAATGTGGTCACTGTTTTTGTTCCGATTACTGTATAAGCAAGTATTTGGAGGCAAAGATCAAAGAGGGTTTCGACACTTTTCCTTGTCCAGGCTTTGATTGTGACTTTTTCCTAAACTTTGATGATTTGAAGCATCTTCTTCCTGAGGATGTGCAGAATCTTTTTTCCTAAACTTTGATGATTTGAAGCATCTTCTTCCTGAGGATGTGCAGAATCTGTGGGCAAAAGCTGTGTCTATGGAGGTGGCTCCAAATTTTAGTTCAAGGTCAGTGTATTTTTTAGTATTTGGTGTTAAAGTAGAGATTTTTATTATCTGAGATTGTTGATTATGTTCCCTAATTAGATTTGTTGCTTGATAATTAATTTTTAGGCAAATTTTAGTAATAACCTGAACATTAAATACCTCAAGGAAGCGTACTTATTCTAGATTATGGTTAATAATAACATAAGAAAAATAATTAAAAAAAAAAAAGTTAGGATGCATTAATTTTAGCTATTTTTTTAACATTTTGTTAATTGTTTAGAGTTTTAGGAGTTGGTTTTACTTATTTCTTGTTGCTTTCATTTCTCACTTGATGATCCTAACTTGGCTTGACCTGTAACTTAGCTTAGCATGTCAATGGCTATCTTTCTCTGGCAGAAGGCACAGCTTCCTCTCTATTTGATTAAGAAGCTGGCAAAAACAGCTTCCTCTGCTATTTAAGCAAATTAAGGGGTTCAAAAAATGAAAATTAGAAGCAATTATATTCTAAACCCAGTCATTAACTGGTTATTTAACCAATAAGTTTGTCTTATAATTTCTTTTAATTCTACCCCCTTACTAAAAAAAATGGTCACTTCTGCACTATTTGTTTTCATCAGCGGATATATATATTTGAATGTGAATTGATTTCCTTCAAAACAATGATGCAGGAAAGATTTATGTGCCAGGGAGAGTACAGAATATGGCAGTGAAAGGACTTTCACTGCTAACACCAGTGACAATCCATCACAGGATGTAAGCATCACAGGATGTAAGAACTGAGCAGTTCAATCACAGTGCAACCTACACTGATAAATCTGCACAAGGTGATAGCAAGTGTGTGGTTTCTCAAAGGAACTATAAAGACGCAGCTCGAAAACAGAGAGGTAATGCTCGGTCTACATTGTCAACCGGAAGAGGAAATGGAAGGCCCAAATCAACCTACAAGTTTATCAAGAACACGGTTCCACGATTTTCAGACAGCCCATTTATGAGACCGAGACTGAATATGCAAACAGCTTTTGGTTCTAGTTCACGGAAATGTTCAGGAGATGAAAGAGAAAGAGTTGCAGCTAATATTCCTGAAGGTGAAGCAAGTAGTAGCAAATGGGAAAAAGCAAGTAGTAGCAAATGGGAAAATGTAAAAGATGAGAAGAAAGATCATGAGATAGTTTGGCCTCCTATGGTTGTAATTGCAAATACAAGCCTTAAGAAAGATGAGAATAACAAGGTGAGATTATTTATAACAATAGAATGCTATTTACTTTCTTCTGAAGATAGATTTAATGTTCTACTAATTAGTTGGCTCTTGTTTTGATGGAATTGTGGATTTCAGTGGATTGGCATGACAAGTCAAGAGCTATTAGACTTGTTCAGCTCTGAAAAGTCAAGAGCTATTAGACTTGTTCAGCTCATATGATGCCATTGTTAAGGCTCAAAACTCTTACAATTGGCAAGGACATTGCGGTTTAAGTATCTTGATTTTTGAGAGCTCAGCAAAGGGGTATTTAGAGGCAGAGCGCCTGCATAAGCATTTTGCAGAGGAACGGAAAGATAGATATGCTTGGACTCATCGGCCGGTCTATTTCCTACCCAGTGGAAAGCGCCAACTTTATGGTTTCATGGCATTGAAAGAAGACGTGGATAGCTTTAAAGGTATGCGTATAAAAATATATATTTGACATGCAACTTTAAAGAATAATTCTATTGGTAAATTATGCAATTAGGTAAGCGTAAGCTGAAATATGAAATGAGATCATACCAAGAAATGGTGGTAAACCAAATTAGGCAAATGAGTAAAGACAACTATCAGCTTCTCTGGTTGAAGAACAGAGTTGCTGAGCAGCAAAGGCATGTGGAAGTTCTTGAAGAATCTAATACTATGTATAAGGAGAAGCTGCAAATGGTAACCAGGGATATGGATATTTTGAGAAGTAAGGCCAATGTGCATCATGGGCAGACAATGGAAGAGGTAACATTTTCAGTTCTCCCCCCCCCCCCCCCCCCCCCCCCCCCCTTCTCCCCCCCCCCCCTTTTCTTCTCTCTTAAATATAGGTGAATTTTAGAAGACAATGCAGTACTTGTCTGTTACCTAACCACGGACGAAATTAAGCGGTATATTAATTATATGTCATGACTGATTTTATTAATGCCTTTTCTTAGATGCAATTTCAAGAGCAATTTTACAAGGACAAAATCAGAAATCTTGAATCAGGAAATGACAAAGATGGAGATTTTGACAAGATAAAGAGTGGGCAAGAGCAAGAGTTAGTAAACATTCAAGACATTGAAAATGAAACACAAGAAGTAGCAGAGATTCCTAGGTTGCGAGAACGAGAAGAGATTAAGAAACCTGAAATTGCAAGGGAAAGAGCAAGTGCAAGTTCAGAATTTGCTGGGAGACCCCGGGAAAAGCCGGGAGTCAGCGATCATCGGTCCATGTATTTTGAGATGTCATGGAAAGATCTTGCCATCCCAGTTCTTGGTGCTTCAATCCCCATACTAATGAGAATTATTAGGTAGCCCCAGAGCATAATTCTCTCCTCCCCCTTTCACATTCTGCAAGTGAGTCTACATTTTTGTGAAAGGAATGGAGCAACTATTGATCACTGATCCTAATATGTATTGAAAACAAAAATTTATCCCATGTATTGAAAACAAAAATTTATCCCGAATTGTACTTGTGATTAAACATCAACTATTTGAATGTTATCATAAATCACACTCTCCGATTTCTTTGGCAAATAGATTTTTAGCTTTTGAATGACCAGGAATAAAAAATAAATAAAATTTATTAACTTGAAGACTTGACTGCCTATCCAGTAAATTAGACTGTTAGCAATAGCAAGCTGGTGAATGATAACAACTATATCTACGCTTTATAAATAGGGTTTCCTGAAAATATTTTCATGTGTACAGAAACTTTGAATTTATCAGAGTTGGACTTGGGACTATAGAAGTTGTTATCATCTGAGTTGGATTGAAGAAAGCAACCCAACATTTTGTTAAAACAAAACTTAAAAACATTTAGAATGACAAAAAATCATTTAGAATGACAAAGGGAACAAATTTTGCTGTCAAATAAAAATTTTTCCTTGTCTCTTGATGGACAAGGACAAGGAAAAGACACAGAAAGAAATCCAATTCAATCTCTTGTTACAGGCTAAAAATGACAACGTAATGGAACAGTATAAAAATCTATAGTATAATATATAAAATAAAACAAAATTCATCAGCATGAATCAATAAAAAAGGAGAAAGTAATTCTTGTCCCCAAATCATATAAACAGTTATTCCCCCATATGTTAAGGTCCTTCATAAAAAGGTAACAGATGCAAAAGGTCAAACAAACACATGACCCTACACTCCACTACAGTGACTGTGGAAAAGCCATAGAAAGAAGTTTAGCCCCTTAAAGAAGCTAACTTCCAAGTGAAGTTCTTGGTAAGCAATTTAAATGGAAGCTGTTACTATATAATAAGCTACTTCATAAGCTGTTACTATATAATAAGCTACTTCATTTATAGAGACAGCGAAGCATAAAAGAACCGGCAAAAAACTTCTGCAGAATGGCAATACCTCCTGAATCCTTTAATCTTCTTCCTCTAAATAAGATATCCACTTCTCATAATTTGTTGATGGAAAATGAAAAAAAAAAAGAGCTTTGGGTACTATCTGATGCGGCAATGGCAGAAGAATTGCAGTTTCAAGACAGTCTAAAGGCCTCTTTGCTCACTTGTCAAATACCATCACTTCAAGAGATCAAAGTACAAAGAGGTGAATCATCTATTAGTTCTTGTGAAATTTGCAAAGAAGGGAAAGAAAAAGATAAGGTTCTCAAGAATGGGAAATGTGGTCACTCATTTTGCTTGGATTATTGTCTAAGCAAGTATTTAGAGGCAAAGATCAAAGAGGGATTCAATATTGTCACTTGTCACTAGACAAACATACGTACAAGGCAGTACATTGCCTATTACTACATCATAAGTCCATTTGAAGGCAAGCCAGCCTACATTGAAAATATATTGATTTGTGTTGCAAATAAATTTTAGTTAATGTATTTGTCTTGGGAATGATTTTGGATAACAATATTTTTAAAATTGGAAAAGAGGATTTTTCTAGAAATAAAATACTTATCCGTTGGAAAATTGGAAACTTAATTAATGTTCAAGCAATTCTTTTTTGACTCGTTAAATGGTGAATTGTAATTATATCCAGCTGAATTTAAATTTCTGTTCCATTTTTTTGACAAATTTCACTAATTTTTATTGGAAAATTTTATCCTATGTATATAGTCTGTTTCATAAAATTAGCTATTTTGGTAGTTGTTAGCTGTTACGTGAATTAACTTTTCACAAAACGTTATCATAATCTCTAAAAACTAATCTAAACGCTACGTCACCTAATAACTTTTTAAGTAGCGTTTAGCATTTTGATTAAAAGCTACTTAAAAAGTTATTCTCGAACACATTCATAATATAAGTACAAAGTTAAATTATGCATAATCATTGTCATTAATTAGCTTAGATATGAAGCTTCATTATAAAAGGGGGAATCTATATAAAGGAAAAATAAAGACAGACCTACTCCTAAGTCTTGGCTGAGGGAAAAATATAAGAAGTTGTCCAGCAATGAAAATTTATGAACTAATTAGCAACTTCTAAGTTAAGTTGTGGATAAACTACTTTGTTCACAATTTATCATATATATAATTTATCAAATATATAATATAAATATATATATATATATATATATATAATATATATATATATTTTTGCATATTTTGCAGAAGAGAACAAATTTAATTTATTAGTAAATTTCCCAATTTAAACAAAATAATCAGTAACATATCAACAAATAAGAAATTTATGAGAATCATTACTTGGAATGGTGATAATTGTAATGGAGCATGATCATAGTAAATTCACTTTATCTTTTCATAAAAAATTGGAGCCTTTTCCAACATAAAAATTATCATAATTTGTGAATATTATTTTTTTTAAAAAAAAATAATATTTCTCTTGGCGTAACCATAATGTTATTTCAGTTCATTTAGCTACATAATAAATAAAAAGAGATATATTTATTTTTTAATACTATTATATATTTAGTATTATAAATGTATATTATAAATAATCTAACTATCCTTATCATTATTCATAGCAACATCATTGGAGAATTGATCGAGCGTTACTTGACCATTATAAAATAAGTAATGTTCGGTCAAAGGTTCATTCATTTTATCTCTTATTTAAAATAGCCATAAATGTTATAAATATTTGTACCTAAACTCAAACAAGAATGCATTACAATCTCTCAAGTTCTCTTAATCAAATACAATTCTTGTTTATAAATTTTATTACTGTCAATTATAATCAAATCATTATAAAGGAGAATCATAGAAATCTATTCGATGTCATCATGACACTCTATTTAAAGACTGAAACTTCTAAAATTTGAGTATTTGGTATTAGCTTAACTAGAAAAAATTAAAGATTTTCGTAGAAAAATTATGCCTCCCTCGCCTCTCTCTAATTTATGAATTTGAAAAATAATAACTTTTTAAAAAAATTACTCTCTAACTTCAGCTCTTTCTATTTTCTTATGGTTTTTATGAATTTTAGCCACAATAGCTCTTTAAACATTACCTATAAACACAAAAGCCATTTTAAATACAATGATTTTTTGCTTTCTTTTTTATTATGATTTATGAATTTAAAAATAATAGCTTTTAATATTATTTTATGAGTTTTATAACTTTTGAATATTATTGTTTACGTTCTTACTGTTATATAATAAATAAAATTAACATAAAATTTAAGTTTTCAAAAAAAATTAACATAAAATTTGCCACACGAGGAAACGTCTACCTAGAGGTTTCATTTCATACATTTTAAATCGTATGTATATATAATAAATAATTTCTCTCATACTTCAATTATCCAATAACTAATTTCTCTGACAGCCACTGTGACTTGCTGTCCACTGCGATCCACATCCATAGCAAAACTCGAACTTACACCTGCAATTGTACAAACATAACCAAGATTAGAGTCTGTTTGGAAAGCAATTCAAGGAAAGAAAATCAAAAATAAAAAAAAAAATTTTCTTGATGTTTAATTATTTTCCTTTCAAATTGAAGAGAAAATAGCATGTGAATGCTATAATTTATTTTGCTCTCATATTTTTCTTCCTTTTATAATTTCTTCATTTCCAAATAAGTGAAAGAAAAAAAAATTATACTATTTTCCTATGTTTTGAAAGAAAAAAAAATTATACTATTTTCCTATGTTTTTCGTGAATCCAAACATAGTGTAAGAAACTTGGATGCAGCTTGTGAGGAAGGGAGCCAAGCCAAAATCTTCTAAATTGACAAATTTATAAAAAAGCTCTATGCTTTATGTATATTTTACATTCTGCACCTAAAGAATATTTAAATTAAAAAAAGAATTTATACAATGCCAAAAAAAAAGATAGTATGAAGTACATTTAAATAAATGGGTAAGACTGTACATTTAAGTACATTTTGTTTGAAGTGAAATATCAAATTAAATACACTTACATTTTAAATTTCCAATAACCCAAAATGTCCCTTCAATTGTTCTTTTTTTTTTTTTTTTTGTGAAGCTTTCTATTAATATTATTATTAAACACAGTAAGTGTAAAAACTGACTGTGGAATCAGTAGTATACTAACCTGCATGTTATATGTGGGCAACCTTCCGTTCTTTCAACATAAAATTTACAGTGAGGACATCTACTCCATTTCTGAGCTCTAGCAAGTTCCATCACCATCAAATCTTCCCTTCCTCTTTCATCCTCATTCAACCTCTGAAACTCCTCTTTCATCCTCATTCAACCTCTGAAACTCTTCACACTCAACTCCAGAATGCCAAGGCACATAACACTGAGCGCAGAACAATCTATGGCAAAACGGACACTCAGACTCTCTAATAGCTTCTCCTCCTTCACAATCACTATCATTCACCAAAAGTGCAGAACAATCCTTAAAAGGACAATAAAACTTCTCCCATTCGCTTATCATCTCCTTGCATAGCATTTCCTCCCAGATATCAATTACTCCCTTGGAAAGCTGAGATCTGCAAATGTCAAGTTCGAGAATTGCTCGGCAATTCATTCCTGGACAAGTAATAATAGTACAAGTACTATCTTGAATTTTTGCAGCTACATGTTTGCTCATACATTCGCAGCAAAAAGAGTGAGCACAGCTATCGATTTTGAACATTTGGTCGATTTCTTTTCTTTCTACACAAATTTCGCAGAAAATGAGTGAAGATTCGCCGGTTTCTTTAGGGTTTGGCTCTGGAGATGGTTCAATCATGGGAATTGATGATGGAATTTTGTTTTTCACCTGAGAAATTATCACCGAGCCCATTGATTCCTCCTGGAATAGTACTTCCTCAGCGTATTGGGCGTTAGAGAGAGTTTCTTTTGCCATTGCAGAGAACTAGACAATGGATTGATAAAAGATGAGAAAAAAAAGGATGAGACCATGGATTTGTAAGGTGACTTCGCTTGGAAGGAGTCATTCCCCATTGGAAAATGGAAACGACTTTCTCATTATTTTTTTTTCTTGTTTTTTGGGTTTTTTTTTTTTCTCCATGACCTTTCCTTTTCCTTGATTCTAATTCGTATAACTACCACGTGCTTAACCAAAATTTCTTATTAAAAAGACCAACCAAAATTAATAGCTTCTCAAATAGAAAACTTTATGTTAGGGTAAAATTATATTTTGAAAGAAATAATATTAATGTTTAAAATTATTTTTTTTTTGTGCAATGATTTATAATTTGGTAGAATTTTACTCGCATTTTCCAGTATATTACCCATTTAATACCAAATTAATTCCCTGAACAATATTTTAAGCATATTATTTACATTCCACTAGAAAAAAATAAATGAATAATATATTTTAAAATAATTAGAATAAATTAAATTTTGAAATAATATTAAATGTTTTATATTTTTTTTTTTTTGTGCATGATTTATAATTGGTAGATTTACTCGCATCCAATATATGTACCCATTTATATACCAAATTAATTCTAAACAATATTTTAGCATATTATTTTAACATTCACTAGAAAAAAAATATATAAAATAGTGACATTTTTAATAAAAAACTTTTTTCTAGATAATAAATTTCAAATTAAAAATATTCTCATTTGAACTTTATAATTGGTTTGGTATACAGTTACTCTATATATATATAATGAGAAAATAACTATCTCTTCCTTAAGGTTTTACAAAATTAATTAATTCATTCTCGTATTTTTATATATTAGATATTTTTATATATTTAATATTTAGTTCTTAAAATTTGATTTGGTTACATTAAACTAGCCGTTGTGCCCAAAATAAAATGCTTTTTTCTGTTAAATGAAGGTAAAAGGCAAAAGAGAGGAGAGAGGAGAGAGATATTTTAAAATGACAAACGCTATTCTTCAACGTTATTCCTTACCCATTTTCCTCTTCTCTATTGTCTTCCTTCTCTCACCGCCACAGCCCATATTTACTCCGTCCACCACCGAGAAGATGCTGCTAATTTTGTATTTCGAGGACAGGACTGGAGAAGCTTCGAGATTCCACTACTCCTAGTCGAAGAGCAGCCATGGCTATGTCAATGACCGACGGTTGGATTGTAACAGATTTTGATTTGCCTGTATTTTATTTTGCTGTAGCTATGGCCAAAGCTTTATTTTAAGGTATTAAATGACACTGCTAATGTAAGAAAAAAAAAGGCGTTTTGATATCTAAAGCTAATTTCAAATTTGAGGTCTTGCATTTTTGGTTTATTAAGGGCTTTACTTTGTATGTATTCTGCCGATTATTGTCCATGTTGTTAGAGAAATGAATGGTGGAAAACTACTTCGTCCAGCTCACAAATACACCAAAAAAAAAAAAGAAATGAATGGTGGAAAACTACTTCGTCCAGCTCACAAATACACCAAAAAAAAAAAATACAGTACAAGTTCTGGAGAATGAAGAAGTGGTTGGAGAAGAAGGGCAGATTTTTTAAATGATTTTTTTTTTTTTTATGATTTGTAACGCTCTCAAAGTGAGATACAGTATAAATTTAATGGTTGTTTAATATATTTCTTTATTTAATGAGTTTGTATAACAGCAGAAATAGAGATTTGAGGAGATGAAGGAGAAGAAGAGGAATGGTGGCTTTAATTTTTGACTATTTTAGTCTTTTATTGTGCATTTAAAGGCAAAGCTATTCAAATTGGACAGAAATATCGTTTAATGCGACGGAATCAAACGTTAAAAACTAAATACTTAATATGTCAAAATAAAATAGACTAAATATTTAATATATAAAAATAAAAGGTTGAATTAATTAATATTATAAAATCTAGAGAGATAATTATTTTTCCATATCAAATTTAAGGAAATCTCATAGGAAAAATATGAATCTTTTATATATCAAATTTAAGGAAATTTCAAAGGGGAAATCTGAATCTTTTTCATCCATGAACATATAATACTTGTTTTATTATTCTCCGCTACACATAGTTTGAAGAAGATATATAAATTACATAATTTGGTGACCGGGCGGATTTCACGACCGAATCAGTTGCTTTCTCGGCGGATATGCGCTGCCTTTTGGATCGTTTCCGAATTGGGTCATTCCTTGGTGACAACTCGGTCTCACTTACTCCACCGTTAGCAAGATTAGGTTTTGATATCAAAGGGAGTTCTTGGTTGGTGGATCGAGAGGATTGCATTTGCATCGGGTTTTGATCACTTGAAGGATAATTAGAAGGAGAAGAAGAGGATGATGGGTTTTGTTGGCGGGTTGGAATGAGTTTTGGAGGTAACAATTGTTTAGCTGAGTGAGATTTCATGTGGCCTCCCATGGCTCAGATTTCATGTGGCCTCCCATGGCTCCGCCCTTGAAACGTCAGTTGCAGATACCGCAGATTCCCTTCTTCTGCATTGATGAGAAATAATGGAAGCTACCCTTATGCCACTCATAGAAACTGAGAGAGAGAGAGAGAGATGAGAGACGTTAATTGAAGAATGAAAGCGCATTTGGATATATATGTGTATAAATATAAATTACCCCTTATAAGTACTTATGTTGAATTTATTGTAAAAACAAAATTATTGAAATGGAACCTAAAAATGGAACTTGATGATTGAAAGAAAATGAAAAAAAAATATATTACGGATAAAGAAAAAAATTTTAACTTATAGTAATAACGAACTCTACAAAATCAATGCGATTAAAAATTTCTTTTTAATAATAATTTTTTATTTTATTTATTAGTCGATCAAAATAATAATTTAAAAAGATTACAGAAATGGCCTACATGGACAGAGAAAAAACAATTCAATGTTCAGTCAAAAAGGACTAATTACAGAGAAGTTGCTGAACAGGGACAAAAGAAAAGACAACTTCCAAGCCAAGTTTTCTAAACTATAAAGCACATAAAGAGTTGATATCACAGAGAGAAGAGTAGAAGACCCACTAATTTACAGTCAACAAAGATTTTCTAAAATGGCAACACCACAGGCCTTTGATCTTCTTCCTGCAAACAATGAAACTCATCACCCAGCTTTCTTTAACAACAATGGAGGTGATGAGTTTCGAATCATGCTTTTATCGGATGCTGCAATGGCTGAAGAATTGCAGCTCCAAGAAGCTCTACAGGCTTCTCTTTTCACTTCAGAGTTGCCGAATCCATCACCATATGTGAAAAATATAGGTGAATCTGAATCATCCCTCAGTTTTTGTGTGATTTGCACGGAGATGATAGAAAATGAGAAACTAATCAAGAATGGGGAATGTGGTCACTGTTTTTGTTCCGATTACTGTATAAGCAAGTATTTGGAGGCAAAGATCAAAGAGGGTTTCGACACTTTTCCTTGTCCAGGCTTTGATTGTGACTTTTTCCTAAACTTTGATGATTTGAAGCATCTTCTTCCTGAGGATGTGCAGAATCTGTGGGCAAAAGCTGTGTCTATGGAGGTGGCTCCAAATTTTAGTTCAAGGTCAGTGTATTTTTTAGTATTTGGTGTTAAAGTAGAGATTTTTATTATAAAAGCTGTGTCTAGCTGTGTCTATGGAGGTGGCTCCAAATTTCAGTTCAAGGTCAGTGTATTTTTTAGTATTTGGTGTTAAAGTAGAGATTTTTATTATCTGAGATTGTTGATTATGTTCCCTAATTAGATTTGATGCCTGATAATTAATTTTTATGCAAATTTTAGTAACAACCTGAACATTAAATACCTCAAGGACGCGTACTTATTCTAGATTATGGTTAATAACAACATAAGAAAAATAATTTTTAAAAAAAAAGGAAAAAGAAAAGTTAGGATGCATTAATTTTAGCTATTTTTTTAACATTTTGTTAATTGTTTAGAGTTTTAGCAGTTGGTTTTACTTATTTCTTGTTGCTTTCATTTCTTACTTGATGATCCTAACTTGGCTTGACCTGTAACTTAGCTTAGCATGTCAATGGCTATCTTTCTCTGGCAAAAGACACAGCTTCCTCTCTATTTGATTAAGAAGCAAATTAAGGGGTTCAAAAAATGAAAATTAGAAGCAATTATATTCTAAACCCACAGTCATTAACTGGTTATTTAACCAATAAGTTTGTCTTATAATTTCTTTTAATTCTACCCCCTTACTAAAAAAAATGGTCACTTCTGCACTATTTGTTTTCATCAGCGGATATATATATTTGAATGTGAATTGATTTCCTTCAAAACAATGATGCAGGAAAGATTTATGTGCCAGGGAGAGTACAGAATATGCAGGGAGAGTACAGAATATGGCAGTGAAAGGACTTTCACTGCTAACACCAGTGACAATCCATCACAGGATGTAAGAACTGAGCAGTTCAATCACAGTGTAACCTACACTGATAAATCTGCACAAGATGATAGCAAGTGTGTGGTTTCTCAAAGGAACTATGAAGAGGCAGCTCGAAAACAGAGAGATGATGCTCGGTCTACATTGTCAACCGGAAGAGGAAATGGAAGGCCCAAATCAACCTACAAGTTTATCAAGAACACGGTTCCACGATTTTCAGAGAGCCCATTTATGAGACCGAGACTGAATATGCAAACTGCTTTTGCTTCTAGTTCACGGAAATGTTCAGGAGATGAAAGAGAAAGAGTTGCAGCTAATATTCCTGAAGGTGAAGCAAGTAGTAGCAAATGGGAAAGTGTAAAAGATGAGAAGAAAGATCATGAGATAGTTTGGCCTCCTATGGTTGTAATTGCAAATACAAGCCTTAAGAAAGATGAGAATAACAAGGTGAGATTATTTATAACAATAGAATGCTATTTACTTTCTTCTGAAGATAGATTTAATGTTCTGCTGATTAGTTGGCTCTTGTTTTGATGGAATTGTGGATTTCAGTGGATTGGCATGACAAGTCAAGAGCTATTAGACTTGTTCAGCTCATATGATGCCATTGTTAAGGCTCAAAACTCTTACAATTGGCAAGGACATTGCGGGTTAAGTATGTTGATTTTTGAGAGCTCAGCAAAGGGGTATGTATTTAGAGGCAGAGCGCCTGCATAAGCATTTTGCAGAGGAACGGAAAGATAGATATGCTTGGACTCATCGGCCGGTCTATTTCCTACCCAGTGGAAAGCGCCAACTTTATGGTTTCATGGCATTGAAAGAAGACGTGGATAGCTTTAAAGGTATGCGTATAAAAATATATATTTGACATGCAACTTTAAAGAATAATTCTATTGGTAAATTATGCAATTAGGTAAGCGTAAGCTGAAATATGAAATGAGATCATACCAAGAAATGGTGGTAAACCAAATTAGGCAAATGAGTAAAGACAACTATCAGCTTCTCTGGTTGAAGAACAGAGTTGCTGAGCAGCAAAGGCATGTGGAAGTTCTTGAAGAATCTAATACTATGTATAAGGAGAAGCTGCAAATGGTAACCAGGGATATGGATATTTTGAGAAGTAAGGCCAATGTGCATCATGGGCAGACAATGGAAGAGGTAACATTTTCAGTTCTCCCCCCCCCCCCCCCCAACCCCCCCCCCCCCCCCTTCTTCTCTCTTAAAATATAGGTGAATTTTAGAAGACAATTTTAGAAGACAATGCAGTACTTGTCTGTCACCTAACCACAGACGAAATTAAGCGGTATATTAGTTATATGTCATGACTGATTATATTAATGCCTTTTCTTAGATGCAATTTCAAGAGCAATTTTACAAGGACAAAATCAGAAATCTTGAATCAGGAAGTGACAAAGATGGAGATTTTGACAAGATAAAGAGTGGGCAAGAACAAGAGTTATTAAACATTCAAGACACTGAAAATGAAACACAAGAAGTAGCAGAGATTCCTTGGTTGCCAGAACGAGAAGAGATTAAGAAACCTGAAATTGCAAGGGAAAGAGCAAGTGCAAGTTCAAGATTTGCTGGGAGACCCCGGGAAAAGCGGGGAGTTAGCGATCATCGGTCCATGTGTTTTGAGATGTCATGGAAAGATCTTGCCATCCCAGTTCTTGGTGCTTCAATCCCCATACTACTGAAAATTATTAGGTAGCCCCAGAGCATAATTCTCTCCTCTGCCTTTCACATTCTGCAAGCGAGTCTACATTTTTGTGAAAGGAATGGAGCAACTATTGATCACTGATCCTAATATGTATTGAAAACAAAAATTTATCCCGAATTGTACTTATGATTAAACATCAACTATTCGAATGTTATCATAAATCAGACTCCGATTTCTCTGGCAAATAGATTTTTAGCTTTTGAATGAGACCAGGAATAAAAAATAAATAAAATTTATTAACTTGAAGACTTGACTGCCTATCCAGTAAATTAGACTGTTAGCAATAGCAAGCTGGTGAATGATAACAACTATATCTACGCTTTATAAATAGGGTTTCCTGAAAATATTTTCATGTGTACAGAAACTTTGAATTTATCAGAGTTGGACCACTAGAAGTTGTTATCATCTGAGTTGGATTGAAGAAAGCGATCCAACATTTGTTAAAACAAAACTTAAAAATCATTTAGAATGACAAAGGGAACAATCATTTAGAATGGACAAAGGAACAAATTTTGTGTTCAATAAAAATTTTCCTTGTCTAAAAATCATTTAGAATGACAAAGGGAACAAATTTTGCTGTCAAATAAAAATTTTTCCTTGTCTCTTGATGGACAAGGACAAGGAAAAGACACAGAAAGAAATCCAATTCAATCTCTTGTTAGGGGCTAAAAATGACAACGTAATGGAACAGTATAAAAATCTATAGTATAATATATAAAATAAAACAAAATTCATCAGCATGAATCAATAAAAAAGGAGAAAGTAATTCTTGTCCCCAAATCATATATACAAATATTCCCCCATGCATATGTTAAGGTCCTTCATAGGTAAGAGATGCAAAATGTCAAACAAACACATGATCCTACACTCCACTACAGTGACTGTGGAAAAGCCATAGAAAGAAGTTTAGCCCCTTAAAGAAGCTAACTTCCAAGTGAAGTTCTTGGTAAGCAATTTAAATGGAAGCTGTTACTATATAATAAGCTACTTCATTTATAGAGACGGCAAAGCATAAAAGAACCCGCCAAAAATTTCTGCAGAATAGAAATAGCTCCTGAATCCTTTAATCTTCTTCCTCTAAATAAGATACCCACTTCTCATAATTTGTTGATGGAAAATGAAAAAAAAGAGCTTTGGCTACTATCTGATGCGGCAATGGCAGAAGAATTGCAGTTTCAAGAAAGTCTAAAGGCCTCTTTGCTCACTTGTCAAATACCATCACTTCAAGAGATCAAAGTACAAAGAGGTGAATCATCTATGAGTTTTTGTGAAATTTGTAAAGAAAGGAAAGAAAAAGGTAAGGTTCTCAAGAATGGGAAATGTGGTCACTCATTTTGCTTGGATTATTGTCTAAGCAAGTATTTAGAGGCAAAGATCAAAGAGGGATTCAATATTGTCACTTGTCCAGGCTTAAATTGTGATTATGTCCTAGAATTGGATTCTTTCAAGCATTTGCTCTCCAAGGATGTGCTCAATTTGTGGGAAAGGACAATGTCCATGGATTTTACTTGCAGGTCAGTGCACATTTAATTTCTGGGTTAAAAATAAATAGTTTGTTGATGGTGTTGGTGTTGTATTTGTGTTATTAGTTAAGCTTAATTATAAAGTAGTTTAACAATTGGTAAAACAATGATACAGCAAAGAATTGCATCTGAAGACTAATTCAGAGAATGGCAAAAAACCTGCTAATAGTGATTCAGATGAATTACCTGATACCGACGATTACGATTCTGAAGCAAGTCCAAGAAAAGTTGAGGCTTGCAAGAAGAGCAAGTGGTTCAAGAAATTTCTTAAGGAACTAGAATGTTTGAGCTTTGAAGAGATAAAAAACCAAGCCAGACAATGGCACTGCCCAGTATGTCAAAGAGGTGGAGATACCACTGAACTGTACTTGGGCCTGCAGCCCCTCATTCAGCATGCTAAAACCAAAGGGTCTACAAGGATTAGGCTCCACAGAGAGCTTGCACAATTGCTGGAAGACAAGTTGCATTCTAATGATCAGCAGGCAATTTCTGCAACTATAATTCAAGAAGCAGCAAGTCCAAAATGCAAAGGTTTAAGCAATAATAACATAGATTTTGAGATGGTTTGGCCTCCTATGGTTGTAATTGCTAATACAACCTACAAAGAGGATGAGAATTATAAGGTGAGATTATCCACTCCTAATCTTATTATTTGCACAAATAGATATAAATTACTTATCTCTTGTTTGGATTTTGATGGAATTGTAGAGGATTGGCATGACAAGTGAAGAGCTGCTGGAAATGTTCAGTTCATATGAGGGTATTGTGAGAGTTCAACACCCTAACAAGAGACATAGTGGATTCAGCATCTTAATTTTTGAAAGCTCAGTAAAGGGTTATTTAGAAGCAGAGCGTCTATGTAGACATTTTGTAAGCGAGGGAATAGGCAGAGATGATTTCCTTAACCGGCGGCTCTTTAACTTTTCAGCTGAACAGCACCAACTTTATGGTTACATGGCAAAAAAAGAAGATGTTGATTTCTTCAATAAAAAATTTGTTAGAGGTAATGGATTAAATTGAAAATCACATAAAGTCCGAAACAGATGATGTTATGTAGGGATATAGACGAGCCGATCTGCTCGAGATTTCACAGAGAAAAACATGATCGATGAGTTTAACGAGCCGAACTTGAGCCTACTTACTTTATAAATGAGTTTGACCTCAATTCGAGCCTGTAAAAGGCCAAATTTTTTATCTTTTCAATTGTAAATTGCTAGAATCAGCTCGTTTATAGCCCTGAATTATTATGATAAATTATGCAATTGAGCTTTTTGAAATTGATTATTAGGTAGGGTTAAGCTGAAATATGAGATGAGATCATATCAAGAAATGGTGGTGAATGGAATCAGGCAAATGACAGAAGAGAATCATCAGCTTCAGTGGTTAAAGAACAGAGTCTCTGAGCAGAAGCTGAAATATGAGATGAGATCATATCAAGAAATGGTGGTGAATGGAATCAGGCAAATGACAGAAGAGAATCATCAGCTTCAGTGGTTAAAGAACAGAGTCTCTGAGCAGCAAAGGCATACTAAAGAGCTTGAAGAATCCAATTCCATGTTGAAGGAAAAGCTGAAAATGTTAACCAAGGAGATGGATAATCTGAGACATCAAGCAAACCAGCATCATGAGCAGAGCATGGAAGAGGTATAATTAATTTTTGCCAAGGACATAATCAATTTACACCACATCGATTAATGCTCACCTCTAATTAGCAACTCTCCATGCTACTTTTGCCAAGGACATAATCAAATTTATGGAACAATTCTACAAGGACCAAATCGGAACAACTCTTGAAGGAAGAAATGAAAACGATGGAGATATTGAGAATATAAAGCAGGAGAAATATGAAGAACAAGAAAATTTAGAGGAGTCAAATGCAAATCTTCCAAGCATAAATTATTGCGAAAACAGGTATTTTAATAAAAGTTAGTGTTCGAAAATTACTATTTTTTTAGGTCCTTTTCAATTTAGTCCATCAGTTCTGGATGCAGAAATCAGGAAATTACAGAACAACACAAGGAAAATGTAGGAATGGCAGAGGGCTCTCAATCGCCAGTAATACAAGAAATGATAAATATAGCTCCCGTTATGACGGAGGAAACAATGATTAGGCCGGTGACGCCAACTTATTTCAGCTTCTGGTAGTGAAGAACGCCATGAGTACATAGAGAAGTTGAGGCAAAAGCTATTGGGAAAAATGCCGTTAATTGGGTTATTGGGCAAGAAGAGGAAGTCCTAGTAATACCAGTAACAAATTGGAAGCACGTTTCAAAATGACACGATGTCGTATTGTTTGGACAATGTATTCCATATTTTCTCTGCTTAATTCATAATATGTGAAACTAATATATGTAAAAATTGTGTTTTATTAATTATTGTTTTAAGTGACAGTTAGCGGTTTGGGTTTCAATATCATATATGAAAATAAAAACACCATATAAATTCATCAATGACCAAATCATCTTGATCACGCTTAAAGTTTTTTGTCTCTCACCATGTTGAGAGCTTTGGTTCTCCTATTTTAATAACAAGTTATTAATTATAAAGTCTCATTTATAACTCTATTAACAGTTTAGCTATTCCGTTCAAAACAGAAATACTAAAATGTTAATAAAATCATAAATTAAAAATCTCATAATTAGTTTGGTTATAATTTAGGTATAAATTTCTCGGTTAATTCGGCAGTGAAAACGGTAAAAATCTACCTTGAACGGAGAGAATAACATGTTAACAAAATAATAAATTATGGACCACATAATTAGTTTTTGAAATGATAATTCTTGTATAGTAATTTGACTAGAATTTTATAAAATAATTTTAATTTTTCCTAATACAAAAGATCACAAAAAAAAAAAAAAACATATAAATTTCATTTACCATCCAATCAGACATTCTTGCCAATAAATCAGCGACTTAATTCAGTGATTTAAAAAAAAAAGAAAAAAGAAAAAAGAAAAAAAAAAAGATAAAGAATTAAAGTCTCTAGCTAAGACTTTGTTGGCTGATTTTACAACGTAACTTGCACATGGGAAATTTAGAAGTTAAAATTTCTATTTAATTTTATGAATTTCCCTTAAATTAAAAGAATTAAAAATCAAGCTGCTGTTTGTTTTTGATTAAATTTTTTATTTTTCATTTTTTTCTTTAAAAAATAAATAAAACATGTTTGTTGAAATTTGCTTTTTTTTTTTTTTCTTTACTTATGAGATAACTGTTTTGAAAACAAAAATAAATTTGTTTAATTTTTTTTTTGTTTAGTTTACAAAATTGTGTTTTCTGTTTTTAATTTTATATTTCTTATTTTTTTTCATTTTTATAAGATTTATCCAGATAAAATTATTGTTATCGGTGTTATTATTACTCTTATTTTCTCTATCTATATAAGTATAATGTCATTTTATTTATCCAAAATATACAAGTATATATTTTTATCTCTATTCAAATTCTCAACTTTTTTTTTTCTATCTCTGCTCTATTTAGTATTATTTTTATATTTATTATTATTTTCTCTCTATATATAAATCTATTGTCATTTAGTATTATTTATTTATTATAATATTTGGGTATTATGTTTTTATTCAACATAATAATCAATAGTTACTGTAAAATTGAAATTTTAAAATTAAATTATAAAATATATTAATTATTTCACATGAAATTTTGAAAATTTATTATTAAGTAAAATTTTGAATGACTTAATAAGAGAGATTTGATAATTGAAATAATTTTTCACATTGTGAATAAAAAAAAAATTTAGAAAAAAAAATAGTTTTCAAAAAATAAATAATCAAAAACTAAAAACTGTTTTATATTTCTAATAGATAAAAAAACTCAAAACAAACAACTATAACAATCGAGGCCTGAGTTGTTGGTTTGTTTTCATTTAAGGTTTTTGTTTTTTTATTTTTTTCTTAAAAAATAAATAAAACTTGTTTGTTTAAACTTATTTAATTTTTTTTTACCTTTAATAAAACCGTTTTTAAAATAAAAAATAAATTTGATGAAACCACAAATAGTGGTTTATGTAATTATGTTTTTGTTCTTAATTCTACATTCTTTTATTTTTTATTTTTTATAAGATTTATCCTAATTAAGTTATTATTATTATTATTATTATTATAAAAACCGTCTTTTAAATAAAAAATAAATTTCGATTGAAACCCACAAAAATATATCGAGTTTTATGTATCTATAGTTTTTGTTCTTTAATTCTCACAATATTCTTTCATTTTTTATTTTTTATAACAGATTTATCCTAATTAAGTTAATTATTATCATTATTATTATTATTAATTATATTATTATATTATTATTATTAATATATACAAATCCTCAATATTCATTTATATTATGCAAAAAAATACAAGAGATAGTTTTTATTTTTATTCAAAATTATATATTTTTCTTTCTCTTTATCTATTTAGTATATTTCTTATTTTAAAAAATATATTATAGTACAATACTTTTAACTTATACATCCCATTTAAAAATTAAATTATGAAATATTTTAATTATTTTATCCCAAATTAATTTTTAAAATTTTTATTATTAATTAAAATCTTTTAACGGAAGAGATTTGATAATGAAAAAAATTCTTCATATCATGAATAAAATAAATAAATTAATTAAAAAAACAGTTGAAAAAGATAAATAATCAAAAACTAAAAATTACTTCATGTTTTTAATAAATAAAAAACTAAAAATAAATAACTATAACAAACTATGCCAACGCTATTCTTTCATATTTCATGCCTAACGGCTTTTACTGTGGTGTTGGAAGTCACGTCAAATTCTTCAACTCCAACCTGCATTCTTCCTGTTAGGTTAGACTCAAATATTCTTCGTCAGATCCGAAATATGGTCAAAGCGGACGGCCATCGTGTGGACTGAGGAAACAACAAGATCTACCATCACGCCTAGAAAAATTTTAAAAAAATAATAATAATAATAATGTTTTTTTTTTTTTTTTTGAAAAAAAAAAAAAAAAAAAGGAAGAAAGAGAAGCATATTCAATATAGATTCTCATTCAATATGTTTGATTTTTTTTTTTTTTTTTTGAAAAAAAAAGGAAGAGAGAAGATTTCAATATAAGATTTCATTCAATATGTTTTGAAAAAAAAAAAAATACAATACGATATTTATGGTTTGCGAAATATAATTAGTCTATCTTTATTTTTTTAAAATATATTAATTTTTTCATATTCTACTTTATTATACTATTAGATCATTTTGTTCAATTTTTACATCTTTTCATTTAAGTTAATAAAAAAATACAGAGGTTAAATGAGAGATATTAAAATACTATATCACAAAATTATAGTATGGTTCATATAGTTTGAAAAATACAACTAACCTGTCTCTGTATTTTTAAAAATAAAAAGAATATTTTTATCATTTCATAAGGTATTTAATAGATGCAAAACTTGGATGGAAGAACCTTATAATCTGAAAAAGTAAAATGTAATGATTCTTTAGTGTATTTTAAAAAAGACAAGAACTGACTACTTGTATTTCGGAAACCACAAGAATCATACTATATATTTTTTTTTTTTTCTCCAACAAGAATTCATACCTTTTTTTTCTTAGATATACAATTAATTTGATTCATAAATTGTCTTTTTTTATATATATATAAGTATCTTGTTTTCCGTCCATCGAACTTTTATTAAATCACTATGATAAATCATATTATTGATTTACAACCAAATAAGAGAAAGAAAAAAAAAATTATACTATTTTCCTATGTTTTTCATCAATCCAAACATAGTGTAAGAAACTTGGATGCAGCTTGTGAGGAAGGGAGCCAAGCCAAAATCTTCTAAATTGACAAATTTATAAAAAAAGCTCTATGCTTTATGTATATTTTACATTCTGCACCTAAAGAATATTTAAATTAAAAAAAGAATTTATACAATGCCAAAAAAAAAAAGGGAGTCATTCCCCTTTCCTTTTCCTTGATTTCTAATTCGTATAACTACCACGTGCTTAACCAAAATTTCTTATTAAAAAGACCAACCAAAATTAATAGCTTCTCAAATAGAAAATTTTATGTTAGGTTAAAATTATATTTTGAAATAATATTAATGTTTTATTTTTTTTTTTTTTTTTTTTTTTTTTTTTTTTTTTTTGCGTATGATTTATAATTGGTAGATTTATTCGCATCCAATATACGTGCCCATTTATATACTAAATTAATTCTAAACAATATTTTAGCATATTATTTTAACATTCACTAGAAAAAATAAGACAGTGACATTTTTAATAAAAAAAATTTTTCTAGATAATAAATTTCAAATTAAAAATATTTTCATTTGAATTTTGTAATTGGTTTGGTATACAGTTATTATATATATCAAAAGGAAAACAACTCTTTCTTCATTGAACTTTTACAAAATTAATTAATTCATTTTCGTATTTTTATATATTATATATTTTTATATATTTAATATTTAATTCCTAAAATTTGGTTTCGTCACATGAAACGATCGTTGCGTCCAAAATAAAATGATTTTTTCTATTAAATGAAGGTAAAAGGGGAAAGAGAGGAGAGAGAGATATTTTAAAATGAAAAACGGTACTCTTCAACTTTGTTCCTTACCCATTTTCCTCTTCTCTATTGTCTTCCTTCTCTCACCGCCACAGCCCATATTTACTCCGTCGTCCACCACCGAGAAGGTGTTGCTAATTTTGTATTTTGAGGATAGGACTGGAGAAGCTTGGAGATACCACTACTCCTAGTCGAAGAGCAGCCATGGCTATGTCATTAACTGACGGTTGGATTGTAATAGATTTTGATTTGCCTGTATTTTATTTTGCTGTAGTTATGGCCAAAGCTTTGTTTTAAGATATTAAATGACACTGCTAATGTAAGAAAAAGAAAAAAAAAAAAAAAGAAAAAAAAAAAAAAAGGTGTTTTGATATCTAAAGCTAATTTCAAATTTGAGGTCTTGGCATTTTTGGTTTTATTAGAGGGCTTTACTTTGTATGTTTCTGCCGATTATTGTCCAGTTGTTGAGAAATGGAATGGCGGAAATACTTCATCCAGCCTCACAAATACACCAAAACAAAAAAAACACAGTACAAGTTCTGGAGAATGAAGAAGTTTGTTGGAGAAGAAGGGCAGATTTTTTAAATGATTTTTTTTTGTTTTTTATGGATTTGTTATGCTCTCCTCTCAAAGTGAGATACAGTATAAATTTAATGGTTGTTTAATATATTTCTTTATTTAATGAGTTTGTATAACAGCAGAAATAGAGATTTGAGGAGATGAAGGAGAAGAAGAGGAATGGTGGCTTTAATTTTTGACTTTTCAAAGGGTATTTTAGTCTTTTATTATCCATTTAACGGCGAAGCTCATCAAAATTGGACGGAAAGATAGTTTAATGCGACGAAATCAGATTTCAGAGATTAAATACCTAAATGCAAAAATAAAATAGACTAAATATTTAATATATAAAAATAAAAAGATGAATTAATTAATTTTATAAAATCTCGAGATAAATTATTATTTTTCCATATCAAATTTAAGGAAATCTCAATGGAAAAATATGAATCTTTTATATATTAAATTTAAGGAAATCTCAAAGGAGAAATCTGAATCTATTTCTTTCATGATCATATAATGCTTGTTTTATTATTCTCCGCGACACATAGCTTGAAGAAGATATATAAATTACATAATTTGGTGACTGGGCGGATTTCACGACCGATTCAGTTACTTTCTCGGCGGATATGCGCTGCCTTTTAGATCGTCTCCGAATTGGGTCATTCCTTGGTGACAAATCGGTGTCACTTACTCCACCGTTAGCAAGATTAGGTTTTGATATCAAAGGGAGTTCTTGGTTGGTGGATCGAGAGGATTGCATTTGCATGGGGTTTTGATCACTTGAAGGATAATTAGAAGGAGAAGAAGAGGATGATGGGTTTTGTTGGCGGGTTGGAATGAGTTTTGGAGGTAACAATTGTTTGAGGTAACAATTGTTTAGCTGAGTGAGATTTCATTAGTGGCCTCCCATGGCTCTTGCCATTTGAAACGTCAGTTGCAGATACGGCAGATTCCCTTTCTTCTGCATTGATGAGGAAATATGGAAGCTACCCTTTATTGCCACTCCTAGAAAACTGAGAGATGAGGAGAAGGGAGAGATTGAGAGACGTTTTAAATTGAAGAATGAAAGCATTTGGATATTATGTGTATACATATAGAATTACCCTTAATAAGTAGCTCGTTTTTTTGTTGAATTTATTGTTAAAAACAAAATTATTGAAATGGAACGTAAAAATGAAACTTGATGATTTGAAAGAAAATGATAAAAAATAATATATTACCGATATAGAAAAAAAAATTTTAACTTATAGTAATAACAAACTTCTTACGGCCAAAGATTTTTTTTAAAGATTAAAAGAAGTCCAATATGATCAATTGCGATTAAAAATTTCTTTTTAATAATAATTATTTTTTTTATTTTATTAGTCGATCAAAATATAATTTAAAAAGATTTACACAGAAATGGCCTACATGGACAGAGAAAAAGCAATTCAATGTTCAGTCAAAAAGGACTAATTACAGAGAAGTTGCTGAACAGGGAAAAAAGAAAAGACAACTTCCAAGCCAAGTTTTCTAAACTATAAAGCACGTAAAGAGTTCATATCACACAGAGAAGAGTAGAAGACCCACTAATTTACAGTCAACGAAGATTTTCTAAAATGGCAATACCACAGACCTTTGATCTTCTTCCTGCAAACAATGAAGCTCATCACCCAGCTTTCTTTAACAACAATGGAGGTGATGAGTTTCGGATCATGCTTTTATCGGATGCTGCAATGATTGAAGAATTGCAGCTCCAAGAAGCTCTACAGGCTTCTCTTTTCACTTCAGAGTTGCCGAATCCATCACCATATGTGAAAAATATAGGTGAATCTGAATCATCCCTCAGTTTTTGTGTGATTTGCACGGAAATGATAGAAAATGAGAAACTAATCAAGAATGGGGAATGTGGTCACTGTTTTTGTTCCGATTACTGTATAAGCAAGTAAGCAAGTTACTTGGAGGCCAAAGAATCAAAGAGGGTTTCGGCCAATGTTCTTGTCCAGGCTTCTGATTTTGTTGATTTTTTCCTTAAACTTTGATGATTTGAAGCATCTTTCTTCCTTGAGGATGTGGAGAATCTGTGGGAAAAGCTGTGTCTTTTACGGAGGTGCTCCAAATTTCAATTTCAAGGTCAGTGTATTTTTAGTATTGGTTGTAAAGTAGAGATTTTTTATTATTTGAGATTGTTGAATTTGGTTCCCCTAATTAGATTTTTTGCCTGATAATTTAATTTTAGGTAATTTTAGTAACACCTGAAACATTAAATACCTCAAGGAAGCTTACTTATTCTAGATTATGGGCTAATAACTAACATAAGAAAAAATTAAATTAAAAAAAAAAAAAGAAAAAGTTAGGATGCATTAATTTTAGCTATTATTTTAACATTTTGTTAACTGTTTAGAGTTTTAGCAGTTGGTTTTACTTATTTCTTGTGCTTTTCATTTCTTACTTGTGATCCTAACTGGCTTTGACCTGTAACTTGTTAGCATGTCATGGCTATCTTTCTCTGGCAGAAGGCACAGCTTCCTTCTCTATTTTGATTTAAGAAGCAAATTAAGGGGTTAAAAATGAAATTAGAATCATTATATTCTAAAACCCAGTCATTAACCGGTTATTTAACCAATAAGTTTGTCTTAAATTCCTTGTATTCTACTCTCTTGAACTAAAAAAAAATGGTCACCTTCTGACTATTTGTTTCATCAGCGGATATATATATTGAATGTGACTTGATTTCCTTCAAAACCATGATGCAGGAAAGATTTATGTGCCAGGGAGGAGCAGGGAGAGTACAGAATATGGCAGTGAAAGGACTTTCACTGCTAGCACCAGTGACAATCCATCACAGGATGTAAGAACCGAGCAGTTCAATCACAGTGTAACCTACACTGATAAATCTGCACAAGATGATAGCAAGTGTGTGGTTTCTCAAAGGAACTATAAAGACGCAGCTCGAAAACAGAGAGATAATGCTCGGTCTACATTGTCAACCGGAAGAGGAAATGGAAGGCACAAATCCACCTACATGTTTAGCAAGAACATGGTTCCACGATTTTCAGATAGCCCATTTATGAAACCGAGACTGAATATGCAAACAGCTTTTGCTTCTAGTTCGCTGAAATGTTCAGGAGATGAAAGAGAAAGAGTTGCAGCTAATATTCCTGAAGGTGAAGCAAGTAGTAGCAAATGGGAAAGTGTAAAAGATGAGAAGAATGATCATGAGATAGTTTGGCCTCCTATGGTTCTAATTGCAAATACAAGGCTTAAGAAAGATGAGAATAACAAGGTGAGATTATTTATAACAATAGAATGCTATTTACTTTCTTCTGAAGATATATTTAATGTTCTACTAATTAGTTGGCTCTTGTTTTGATGGAATTGTGGATTTCAGTGGATTGGCATGAAAAGTCAAGAGCTATTAGACTTGTTCAGCTCTAGACTTGTTCAGCTCATATGATGCCATTGTTAAGGCTCAAAACTCTTACAATTGGCAAGGACATTGCGGTTTAAGTATCTTGATTTTTGAGAGCTCAGCAAAGGGGTATTTAGAGGCAGAGCGCCTGCATAAGCATTTTGCAGAGGAACGGAAAGATAGATATGCTTGGACTCATCGGCCGGTCTATTTCCTACCCAGTGGAAAGCGCCAACTTTATGGTTTCATGGCATTGAAAGAAGACGTGGATAGCTTTAAAGGTATGCGTATAAAAATATATATTTGACATGCAACTTTAAAGAATAATTCTATTGGTAAATTATGCAATTAGGTAAGCGTAAGCTGAAATATGAAATGAGATCATACCAAGAAATGGTGGTAAACCAAATTAGGCAAATGAGTAAAGACAACTATCAGCTTCTCTGGTTGAAGAACAGAGTTGCTGAGCAGCAAAGGCATGTGGAAGTTCTTGAAGAATCTAATACTATGTATAAGGAGAAGCTGCAAATGGTAACCAGGGATATGGATATTTTGAGAAGTAAGGCCAATGTGCATCATGGGCAGACAATGGAAGAGGTAACATTTTCAGTTCTCCCCCCCCCCCCCCTCCCCCCCCCCCCCCTTTTCTCTTTTCTTTTTCTTCTCTCTTAAATATAGGTGAATTTTAGAAGACAATGCAGTACTTGTCTGTCACCTAACCACAGACGAAATTAAGCGGTATATTAACTATATGTCATGACTGATTATATTAATGCCTTTTCTTAGATGCAATTTCTAGAGCAATTTTACGAGGACAAAATCAGAAATCTTGAATCAGGAAATGACAAAGATGGAGATTTTGACGAGATAAAGAGTGGGCAAGAGCAAGAGTTAGTAAACATTCAAGACACTGAAAATGAAACACAAGAAGTAGCAGAGATTCCTAGGTTGCCAGAACGAGAAGAAATTACGAAACCTGAAATTGCAAGGGAAAGAGCAAGTGCAAGTTCAGAATTTTCTGGGAGACCCGGGGAAAAGCCGGTAGTTAGCGATTATCGGTCCATGTTTGAGATGTCATGGAAAGATCTTGCCATCCCAGTTCTTAGTGCTTCAATCCCCATACTACTGAAAATTATTAGGTAGCCCCAGAGCATAATTCTCTCCTCCCCCTTTCACATTCTGCAAGTGAGTCTACATTTTTGTGAAAGGAATGGAGCAACTATCGATCGCTGATCTTAATATGTATTGAAAACAAAAATTTATCCCGATTTGTACTTATGGTTAAACATCAACTATTTGAATGTTATTATAAATTAGACTCTCCGATTTCTTTGGCAAATAGATTTTTAGCTTTTACTCTCCGATTTCTTTGGCAAATAGATTTTTAGCTTTTGAATGACCAGGAATAAAAAATAAATAAAATTTATTAACTTGAAGACTTGACTGCCTATCCAGTAAATTAGACTGTTAGCAATAGCAAGCTGGTGAATGATAACAACTATATCTACGCTTTATAAATAGGGTTTCCTGAAAATATTTTCATGTGTACAGAAACTTTGAATTTATCAGAGTTGGACTACTAGAAGTTGTTATCATCTGAGTTGGATTGAAGAAAGCAACCCAACATTTGTTAAAACAAAACTTAAAAATCATTTAGAATGACAAAGGGAACAAATTTTGCTGTCAAATAAAAATTTTTCCTTGTCTCTTGATGGACAAGGACAAGGAAAAGACACAGAAAGAAATCCAATTCAATCTCTTGTTAGACTGTGGAAAAGCCGTAGAAAGAAGTTGAGCCCCTCAAAGAAGTAGAATCCGGATAACTTCCAAGTGAAGTTCTTGGTAAGCAATTTAAATGGAAGCTGTTACTATATAATAAGCTACTTCATAGAGACAGCGAAGCATAAAAGAACCGGCAAAAAATTTCTGCAGAATGGCAATACCTCCTGAATCCTTTAATCTTCTTCCTCTAAATAATTTGATACCCACTACTTATAATTTGTTGATGAAAAATGAAAAAAAAGAGCTTCAGCTACTATCTGATGCGGCAATGGCAGAAGAATTGCAGTTTCAAGAAAGTCTGAAGGCCTCTTTGCTCGCTTGTCAAATACCATCACTCGAAGAGATCAAAGTACAAAGAGGTGAATCATCTATTAGTTTTTGTGAAATTTGCAAAGAAGGGAAAGAAAAAGATAAGCTTTTCAAGAATGGGAAATGTGGTCACTCATTTTGCTTGGATTATTGTCTAAGCAATTATTTAGAGGCAAAGATCAAAGAGGGATTCAATATTGTCACTTGTCCAGGCTTAAATTGTGATTATGTTCTAGAATTGGATTCTTTTAAGCATTTGCTCTCCAAGGATGTGCTCAATTTGTGGGAAAGGGCAATGTCCATGGATTTTACTTGCAGGTCAGTGCACATTTAATTTCTGAGTTAAAAATAAATAGTTTGTTGATGGTGCTGGTGTTGGTGTTGAATTCGTGTTATTAGTTAAGCTTAATTATAAAGTACTTTAACACTTGGTAAAACAATGATACAGCAAAGAATTGCATCTGAAGACTAATTCAGAGAATGTCAAAAAACCTGCTAATAGTGATTCAGATGAATTACCTGATACCGATGATTACGATTCTGAAGCAAGTCCAAGAAAAGTTGAGACTTGCAAGAAGAGCAAGTGGTTCAAGAAATTTCTTAAGGAACTAGAATGTTTGAGCTTTGAAGAGATCAAAAACCAAGCCAGACAATGGCACTGCCCAGTATGTCAAAGAGGTGGAGGTGCCACTAAACAGTACTTGGGCCTGCAGCCCCTCATTCAGCATGCTAAAACCAAAGGGTCTACAAGGATTAGGCTCCACAGAGAGCTTGCACAATTGCTGGAAGACAAGTTGCATTCTAATGATCAGCAGGCAATTTCTGCAACTATAATTCAAGAAGCAGCAAGTCCAAAATGCAAAGGTTTAAGCAATAATAACAAAGATTTTGAGATGGTTTGGCCTCCTATGGTTGTAATTGCTAATACAACCTACAAAAAGGATGAGAATCATAAGGTGAGATTATCCACTCCTAATCTTATTATTTGCACAAATAGATATAAATTACTTATCTCTTGTTTGGATTTTGATGGAATTGTAGAGGATTGGCATGACAAGTGAAGAGCTGCTAGAAATGTTCAGTTCATATGATGGTATTGTGAGAGTTCAACACCCTTACAATTGCAAGGGACATAGTGGATTCAGCATCTTAATTTTTGAAAGCTCAGTAAAGGGTTATTTAGAAGCAGAGCGTCTAACTCTACATTTTGTAAGGGAGGGAATAGGCAGAGATGATTTCCTTAACCGGCGGCTCTTTAACTTATCAGCTGAACAGCACCAACTTTATGGTTACATGGCAGTAAAAGAAGATGTTGATTTCTTCAATAACAACCTTTTTAAAGGTAATAGATTAAATTGAAAAATCACATAAAGTCCGAAACAGATGATGTTATGTAGGGATATAAACGAGCCGATCTGCTCGTGAGCTGCGCGAGATTTCACGGAGAAAAAGATGATCGATGAGTTTAATGAGCCGAACTTGAGCCTACTTACTTTATAAATGAATTTGAGCTCAAATTCGAGCCTGTAAAAGGCCAAACTTTTTATCTTTTCAATTGTAAATTGCTAGAATCAGCTCGTTTATAGCCCTGAATTGTTATGATAAATTATGCAATTGAGCTTTTTGAAATTGATTATTAGGTAAGGTTAAGCTGAAATATGAGATGAGATCATATCAAGAAATGGTGGTGAATGGAATCAGGCAAATGACAGAAGAGAATCATCAGCTTCAGTGGTTAAAGAACAGAGTCTCTGAGCAGGAAAGGCATACTAAAGAGCTTGAAGAATCCAATTCCATGTTGAAGGAAAAGCTGCAAATGTTAACCAAGGAGACGGATAATCTGAGACATCAAGCAAAACAGCATCATGAGCAGAGCATGGAAGAGGTATAATTAATTCTTGCCAAGTACATAATCAATTTACACCAAATCGATTAATGCTCACCTCTAATTAGCAACTCTCCATGCTATTTTCCTAAGATCAAATTTATAGAACAATTCTACAAGGACCAAATCAGAACAATTCTTGAAGGAAGAAATGAAAACGATGGAGATATTGGGAATATAAAGCAGGAGAAATATGAAGAACAAGAAAATTTAGAGGAGTCAAATGCAAATCTTCCAAGCATAAATTGTTGCGAAAACAGGTATTTTAATAAAAGTTAGTGTTCGAAAATTACTATTCGTTTAGGTCCTTTTCAATTTAGTCCATCAGTTCTGGATGCAGAAATCAGGAAATTACAGAACAACACAAGGAAAAGGTAGTAATGGCAGAGAGCTCTCAATCGCCAGCAATACAAGAAATGGTAAATATAGCTCCCGTTATGACGGAGGAAACAATGATTAGGCCGGAAATAGGGAGGAGACGCCAGCTTATGCCAGCTTCTGGTAGTGAAGAACGCCATGAGTACATAGAGAAGTTGAGGCAAATGCTATTGGGAAAAATGCCGTTAATTGGGTTACTGGGGAAGAAGTGGAAGTCTTAGTAATACGAGTAACAAATTGGAAGCATGTTTCAAAGTGACACGATGCCGTATTGTTTGCACGATGTCGTATTGTTTGCTTAATTCATATTTTGTGAAACTAATATATGTAAAAATTGTGTTTTATTAATTATTATTTTAGGTGACATTTAGCGGTTCGGGTTTTAATATCATATATGAAAACAAAAACACCATATAAATTCGACATAAATTCAATAATGTTCAAATCATCTTAATCACGGCTAAAAATTTTTCTCTCTCGCCACGTTGAGAGCTTTGGTTCTCCTGTTTTAATAACAAGTTATTAATTATAAAGTCCCTCATTTATGATTCTATTAACAGTTTAGCTATTCCGTTCGAAACAGAGAGACCAAAATGTTAACAAAATCATAAATTAAAAATTTCATAATTAGTTTGGTTATAATTTAGGTATAAATTTCTCGGTTAATTCGGTAATGAAAACGGTAAAAATCTACTTTGAACGAAAAGAATAACATGTTAACAAAATAATAAATTATAGAACACATAATTAGTTTTTGAAAAGATAATTCTTGTATAGTAATTTGACTATAACTTTAGAAAATAATTTCAATTTTTCCTAATACAAAAGATCACAAAAAAAAACATATAAATTTCATACACCATCCAATCAGACATAAAATTAGTTATTCTTGCCAATAAATCAGCGACTTAATTCAGTGAATTTTTTTTTTTTTAAACAAAAGATAAAGAATTAAAGTCTCTAGCTAAGACTTTGTTGGCTGGTTTTTCAACGTAACTTGCACATGGGAAATTTAGAAGTTAAAATTTCTATTTAATTTTATGAATTTCTCTTAAATTAAAAGAATTAAAAATTAAGTTGACTTTTTTGTTTGATTAAATTTTTTATTTTTTATATTTTTATTTAAAAAAATAAATAAAACATTTTTGTTGAAACTTGTTTAATTTTTTTTTTCTTTAGTTTTAAAATAACTGTTTTGAAAACAAAAAATAAATTTTATAAAACCACAAATAGCAGTTTACAGAATTGTGTTTTCTGTTTTTAATTTTACATTTCTTATTTTTTTTATTTTTATAATATTTATCCAAATAAAATTATTGTTGTCGTTGTTATTATTACTTTTATTTTCTTTATCTATATAAATCTAATGTCATTTTATTTATCCAAAATATACAAGTATATATTTTTATCTCTATTCAAATTCTCAGCTTTTTTACAATTTATATTTTTATCTCTATCAAATTCTCAGCTTTCTTTTCACATCCATCACCTGATTATTTGTATTATTTTTATATTTATTGTTATTTCTCTGTCTTATATAAATCTTAATAATCATTTAGTATATTTATTTGATTATATATTTGGCAATTATATTGTTTTTATCAAATAAATAAATCAATAATTACGGTGTACACATTGAAATTTTAAAATTAAATTGTAAAATATTTTAATTATTTCACATGAAATTTTGAATTTTAGAAAATTTATTATTAACTAAAATTTTTAATGACTTAATAACAGAGATTTGATAATTGAAACAAAATTTCAGATTGTGAATAAAAAAAGAAAAAAAATTTAAAAAAAAATTATTTTCAAAAAAATAAATAATCAAAAACTAAAAACTGTTTCATATTTCTAATAAATAAAAAACTTAAAACAAACAACTATAACAAACGGGTTTGTTTTCATTTAAAGTTTTTGTTTTTTTGTTTTTTTTCTTAAAAAATAAATAAAACTTATTTTTTAAACTTATTTAATTTTTTTTAAGCTTTAAGAAAACTGTTTTTAAAACAAAAAATAAATTTTATGAAACCACAAATAGTGGTTTATGTAATTGTGTCTTATTATCTTAATTCTACATTATTTTATTTTTTATTTTTTTATATTATTTATCCTAATAAGGTATTATTATTATTATTATTATTATTGTTATATTATTATCTATCACAAATCTAATTATGAATTATTTATGCAAAAAAAAAATACAAGAAGATAGTTTTATTTTTATAAAATATATATATTTTTTTCTTTCTCTTCTCTATTTAGGTATTATTTTGATATTATTTATATTTCGTCTAATGTTCACTTTGGTTATTATTATACTTATAATATTGATTATTATATTTGTATTTCAATTTATTGTGTATTATAAATAATTAATGTTTATTGTGATTTTGAAATTTAAAAATTAAATATTTAAAAATTAAATTATGAAATATTTTAATTATTTTATCCCAAATTAATTTTTAAAATTTTTATTATTAATTAAAATCTTTAACGGAAGAGATTTGATAATTGCAAAAATTCTTCATATCATGAATAAAATAAAATAATTAATTAATTAAAAAAACAGTTGAAAAGATAAATAATCAAAAACTAAAAATTACTTCATGTTTTTAATAAATAAAAAACTAAAAATAAGTAACTATAACAAACTATGCCAAAGCTATTCTTTCATATTTCATGCCTGACGGCTTTTACTGTGGCGTTGGAAGTCACGTCAAAATCTTCAACTCCAACCTGCTTTCTTCCTGTTAGGTTGGACTCAAATATTCTTCGTCAGATCCAAAATATGGTCAAAGCGGACGGCCATCGTGTGGACTGAGGAAACAACAAGATCTCCCATCACGCCTAGAAAAATTAAAAAAAAAAAAAAAGATAATGTTTAAAAAAAAAAAAAAAGAAAAAAAGAGAGAAGATTTTCAATGTTAGATTTCATTCAAATGTTTTGAAAAAAAAAAAATACATACTTATGTTTATGGGTTTGCGAAATCATAATTATCTGTCTCTATTTTTTTTTATAAAATATTTTAATTTTTTCATATTTATTTTGTTATACTATTATATCATTTCTGTTCATTTTTTTCCATCTTTTTTTCTTTAAGTTAATAGAAGAACACAGAGGTTTAAATGCAGAAAATATTAAAAACTATATCACAAAATATAGTATGAGTTTAAAAAAAAAAAAAAAGAGAGAAGATTTCAATGTAAGATTTCATTCAATATGTTTTGAAAAAAAAAATACAATACTATGTTTATGGTTTGCGAAATATAATTATCTGTCTCTATTTTTTTTTAAAATATTTTAATTTTTTCATATTTTATTTTGTTATACTATTATATCATTCTGTTCAATTTTTCCATCTTTTTCTTTAAGTTAATAGAAGAACACAGAGGTTAAATGAGAAATATTAAAATACTATATCACAAAATTATAGTATGGTTCATCTAGTTTGAAAAATTCAACTAACCTGTCTCTGTATTTTTAAAAATAAAAAAAATATTTTTATCATTTCATAAGGTACTTAATAGATGCAAAACTTGGACAGAAGAACCTTATAATCTGAGGAAAGTAAACTGTAATGATGCTTTAGTGTATTTTAAAAAGACAAGAACTGACTACTTGTATTTCAGAAACCACAAGAATCATACTGTATTTTTTTATTTTTTTTTTCTCCAACAAGAATTCATACCTTTTTTTTTCTTAGATATACAATTAATTTGATTCATAATTGTCTTTATATATATATATATATATATGTAAGTATCTTGTGCTCCGTCTATCGAACTTTTATTAAATCACTATGATAAATCATATTATTGATTTACAACCAAATAGAGATGGAGCTTCAAGCATAATATGATTATAAATTCAAAATAAATGGAAATAAAATTGCTTGACATTAATAATTCACCATTAAAAACTAGTCAAGAGCAGCTCATCATCACTAAATCAAAAATTTTTAATTCAAACTCCAGAAAAATTTTTTTCTCGTTAATAAATCATCTCAATTCTAAATAATTATTTCAAATTATTATTTTGCAATAAACATTTCCCGCCAGATTCATACCTACCGTTTTAACTAAAATCCAGATCTAACAATACCATTGCCAATTTGCCACAATCGAGAGAGAGAGAGTGCTTTGAATCTAAACAAGAAGACAAACTCAGGAGGTAAATTTAGTACAATAATTAAAATTCTTATGTCTCTTTATTTAGATATTTAATTATCAATAATGTTTTTTGTCTCGATTGAGGTTAGCTCAGGAGGGGCAAAAAGGAGAAGGTCAAATTACAATTGTTAATATTAAATTAAAACTAATTATGCATTTTATGCTAGAATAATATTCAATTTGCAGTATAGACTGTGTTCCACAATAATTATTTAAGTAATTTTTAACGTTTTGACTATTCAAAACGTTAATATTATTTTTTATAGTGTTCGATAACAGCGTTTGAACTAACTTTTAGAGATTAAAACAATGTTTTATAAAAAGTTAATTTATATAACATTTAGATTTAGTATTTTATGAAATTTTACTCAAACAGTTAATAGCTAAAAGCTACTAAAACAGCAAACAACTATCAAAACAGTTAATTTTGCTGAATAAAACCTTAACTTGGAAGCAATGTACTATTTACCCAAAAATCAACTTTTGATATATTTTATCCCATGAATTTATACCAAAACAACAAAAAAGCACATTTTCTAAAAACCCAAATTTTTACCAAAATAAAATTTTGATTTAAATAAGATATCATTGAAATGTAATGAAATATTTGATTAAAATCAAATATAATTAAACAAAAAATAATAAATACTTTTCAAACCAAATATTTAATATAATAAAATATTTTTATGATCTTATAATTTTAAATGAAATATTTTGTTTAATTATACTGTATTTTTCTTAATTTAAACAACTTTTTTCTTTTCTAAATTTATATTTTTAAATAATTTTATAAATTAGAAATTTAAAAATTAATTTTCTTTTAAAAAACTTTTTTTAATGCAATTTCAAGGAGTAAATTGTACAGATAATTAATTTCTAGACAAATTATACATTGCTTTCAATTCAATCGGCAAATTGAGCTCTAATCCTTTTATATTCATAATCTTGTGAATAATGAAAAATCGAGTATAATGCTAATTTCGACTAAAGGGTGGAATTTCTGTTTAGGTAAATAAAAGAGAAAAAAACAAAACCTAACTAGAACTTAATCTATAGAAAGCAACACCCCAGATCTAAAAGTAAGTCCTTAATATGAGTGAATAGTGTTGAATTTCTTCTACAAGTTACTAATAAGTCAATCTTATAACATCATTCTTGCATAATAAATCAATTACTGAGAAGCTTAACTTGATCTTTAGCGAACTCTATTAGTACTGTATCTTATATGATTGTAATTTAACTATATTTTTTAATTTATATGAAAATATAAAGTGAATTATCTTTTTTGGAACGGACTAGTATTAAAAAAAAAAATTTTCTTGACATAGACTGGTGTGTTGGAAATTTTTTTTTTAACATTACAAATAAATTATACATGTTTATGATTGGATCATACTAGTTGATTTTTATTTTTTTAACATATTTGGTATATAACGTAAGCAGCCAGGAGATCCATCGCACTCGCATTTGGAAATTCGTAAACAATTGAACCATTTTTATCCAAGACACATTTTCATGCTGTACACTGTACACTCACCAACCACAAACGTGACAGCTATATCTATATATAGTAATAAATAATTAATACAAAAAATCATAACTAATTAAAATAATAATTTAGTAATTAGGCGGAAATTAATAAAAAAATATTCAACTCTATTTATTCAATATTGAATTATTGGATAGATTTTAATAAGAGCTTTTAATCAAAAGACAATGAAGCTCAGAGTTTGATCGGTACAAAGTGTAGTTGAGTGAAAATGAGTAAATAAATTTAAGTGAAAATAAGTAAATATATTTAAGCTAAAAGAAAATTAATCACAAATGTCATTGAGGATTTAATTATGAACAAACATAATAGAGGGAAAAATTTCATATAGCTCACCCCAATTAATCTAGCTATCTCATAATTGGTTTTTTTTTAGTATCGATACGGTAAAATTAGTTATTTTAATAGTAGCGGTTAGCTATTTAAACAGTAAAATGCTAAAAGTTAAATGTACAATAATTAACATAAAAATCTACCTTATCATATAAAAGTTAGTTAAAAAGTTAGTTATTGTATAGTTGCTCTCAGCTTGTTTGAGACTACGGTCTAACTATTGTGTTGTTGTTTTTATACGCATCGACCAATCAAACCAAAAAATGGTTTAAATTGCTCTTAAAATTAAAATTTTTTATTAAAATCCACGTAAAAGCTCAATTTTAAATAAATTATACATTGGAAACATATTCAGAAAATAAACTGAGCATTGTTAAAAAAAGATTATACACAATCATTCAGTATGACCTTATTCAATAACTTGAACTATATTTTATTCTGATTCTATTTTATTAGAAATTAAAATACTACTATTAATTAGAATGAATATAATAAACAACAATATATTATTATATTAATATGTTAAAAAATTATATATTATATTAAATATTTAAAAAATTAAATAATAAGATATAAATTTAATTCATAATTTAAATAATACAATAATATTAAATAATGGTAATATATTGAATACATAATTAATATATATTTCAAAATTATAGTCCCAACTATTTTTCACAAAGTTTAAACAAAACTAGTTAAATTAGTTAAAATTACCATTTTTTCTTTTTTTTTCATATACACCTCTAATGACCCTAAAGCTTGTATAATAATGATTCATTAAAACTTTCAAAATATAATAATGAGTTAGTATATTAAGATTTTAAAATTAATTATCTTACCACTTTTTCTTTATTATCTAATAAATTCAATTAATATTAATTATATAGGGCATCGTAAAAGAAAAATATTTATAAAAATAAAAATGAGGAGTAAAAGTGGGATTACAATTTTTGGAGGTTGAAAGTATTTCTAAAGAGAGTAATTCAAAAAAAATTGAGAAAAAAAAAAAACCTTATCGAGAATTGGGCTTTGTGGATAAAAAGAAAGAATAAGAATTGTGAATGAAAACAAAATCAACCAAGAGTTGAATAGTTGGGCTTTAGACTGAGTTAAACAGAAAGACCCAATAAGTTTTCCATTTGTGTGGTGGGTGAAGGGCGACAGTCCAAACAGCTGACAAATTTTTGCCCATCAAAAAAATTGACTGGTGGTAGGTAAAATAAAGAGACAATCAACAAAAAAAATAAAATAAAATAAAATATTATTAATAAAAAATTAAAAACAGCCACCTCTCTCAGGTCAACTGCCCAATTCTTTTTTCCTCACACAACCAAACCATGGACCCCACATCCAACCTCCCGACCCCACTTTTTGATATTAATCCTTTCTCACCAACCCAACTCCACCATCACCATGTATCACTCACTCCCTCCTCCCTCTCTTAATCACCAAACCAACTTTCACTTTTCTTCAACTCTTTCTCTGTTTTACTACTTTACCCTCCAATATTTCTCTCATTTCCCATTTTGCCCTTTCACCAACCACCTTCAGCCTTTCAACATCTTGATTCTTGACTCCCAAACTTTCTCTATATCATCACCACTAATTTCTCTCTTCTTTTCTCAGAGGGAACTCAAACATTAAAGAAACAAAAACAGAGTCCCTCTTTCTCTGCAACCTACAATGGCAACTCCATTGAAGCAACAAGAAGAAATCATATTTCGTTCTAAACTCCCTGACATTTACATCCCCAAACACCTTCCTTTGCATTCATATATATTTGAAAACATTTCTGATTACTCTTCAAAGCCTTGTTTAATCAATGGCGTCACCGGCGAAATCTACACCTACGCAGAGGTTGAACTCACTGCACGCAGAGTAGCTTCAGGGCTGAACAAGCTTGGCATTCAACAAGGCGAAGTTATTATGCTTCTATTACACAATTCTCCTCAGTTTGTTCTTTCCTTTCTCGGCGCTTCATTTCGTGGCGCCATTGCAACTGCTGCGAATCCTTTTTTCACTCCTGCAGAAATAGCCAAACAAGTTAAAGCATCGAACACCAAACTGATTATAACACAGGCCGCTTATGCAGAGAAAGTCAAGGAATTGGCTAATACCAGTAATATAAAAGTATTATGTATAGATTCTGCGCCAGAAGGTTGTTTACATTTCTCTGAGCTGGCTGAGGCCGATGAGAGAGAAATACCGAATGTCAAAATCAGCTCCGATGACGTGGTGGCGCTGCCGTATTCTTCCGGCACAACCGGTTTGCCAAAAGGAGTGATGTTGACCCATAAAGGATTAGTTGCCAGTGTAGCGCAACAAGTTGATGGCGAAAATCCTAATTTGTATTTCCGAAGCGAAGATGTGATTCTGTGTGTTTTGCCGATGTTCCATATTTACGCTTTGAATTCGATAATGCTTTGCGGATTGCGGGTTGGAGCTGCGATTTTGATTATGCCGAAATTTGAGATTGGGACGCTGTTGGAGTTGATACAGAGATATAAGGTGACCGTCGCTCCGATTGTGCCGCCGATCGTCTTGGCTATTGCTAAATCACCGGATACCGAAAAGTACGATCTGTCGTCTGTCCGGATGTTGAAATCTGGCGCTGCACCGCTTGGTAAGGAGCTTGAAGATACTGTAAGAGCTAAGTTTCCTCAAGCCGTACTTGGTCAGGTATGAGTACTTCCCTGGTTTGATTGATTCCTAGGAATCGCTATTTTTATTTGAAAATTTTAATGCGAGGAATATTATTTCAAGTAAGAGATGGATTTTTTTGTTTTTTTTAACATTTTGAGGAATATTATTTCAAGTAAATAGTTTTTTCTTGTTTAAATGAATATACTCATAATATAGATAAAAACAATAATAATCTTCAAAAAACATCCTAATATTCCTCAAAAACAAAAAATTATAATTGGCTTGTTGAATGAATAGTTTCATACATTGATGTAGGCAAGTTTTGTTCTGGTGATTTCATGGTTGTGCACGTATAAGAAAATATTTAATTAAACTTTTTTTTAAAGGAAAATATTAACTATTTTTAATTCATATAGAAACTATTTATCAATCATTTGAAAAATATGATTTATAAGAATGCCTCTAATAATAAGTTATGCGAAAGATTTTTAAGTATTCGATTTGTAAAGAAAATATTTATGGAAATGAATAATTTGAAACTTTAAAATAAAATTAATTTTATATTCAAAAGTATACAAAATAAAAAAATCATTTGAAAAGAAACTGTCATTATTATTCATTATTCTTTTTCTTTTATGAAAAGATACTTATATTTTTATTTAGGTAGAGTATTATTGTTCAATTCATTGGGTGTGTATATATATATATATATATATATATGTATAATTCTTTTGCCAACCTTAATGGACCATTGATCCTACATCAATTATAAAACCTTTTCATAGGCGAAAATTTTAAAATACTTAGGGAAAGGCCCAGATGGATTAGATCCACCTAGGCAATTATTATCTATAAAATACTTAGGTAAGCCACATGTGCCTTATCTTTTACGTAAGACTACAATTAAGGTGTGAAAAAGAAAATCTTGTTTGGCTTGCCTTGGTTCCAAATCAACAATCAATCGTTTGAAAAGATCATTAGCTTATTATTACATGGTAGAGTTTTTATATTGTAATTAATTAATTAATTAAAAAAGTAGCAGCTGGTTGGGTGGCCTAATTCAATTTGTCATTTCTGCTCCCACAGAATTGGCTATTAGCGACCAGACCATTTGTTTGCAGCTACAGCAGTTATTATCATTGTGGGGCTAATCTCATTTGTAAGAAGCATGTTAAATTTTATAGGATATGCTTAGAGGTCTAATCAAATTTGTAAGAAGCACATTATATTTTATAATAATTTTGAAATCAAATCATATGATAAAAAGGATATTTCATATGATTTATGAAAGTCAAATGGTCAGCATTGCATTATTAATTGTGCAAGAGATTACTGAAAGGAATTATTATATAATTCTTCTATACCATGGATTAACCTTCTGTTTTAACTAAACCATATGAACAATTAAAAATTGTATTATGTAAAGTAATGTAGTTATTGGGAAATTAATAATGGTTTAATTTACAGGGATATGGGATGACAGAGGCAGGGCCTGTGCTCGCCATGTGCTTGGCATTTGCAAAAGAGCCATTTGAGATAAAAGCAGGGGCATGTGGAACTGTGGTGAGGAATGCAGAAATGAAGATTGTTGACCCTGAAACTGGGGACTCTCTTCCCAGGAACCAACCAGGAGAGATTTGCATTAGGGGAGATCAAATCATGAAAGGTATAATAATGTTGCATTTACTAGCTGTTTTTTTTTTTTTGAGAGGTACTCTTAGCAGCTGTTTTGTTTATTCATTATTGTCTCATTTGAAATAGTTTTATCCAATTGCTTTCATGATAAATTGATAAATTATAAGTGAAAATGTTAGGTAATGCCACTTGCACTATTTTATATTGACAATAACTTTGAACCCACATTATTGACTGGAGACCATATCTTTATTTTAGTCAGCAAATGTACTCCTTGCATACCTACCTAATAAATACAAAATAATATAAAAATTTTCTTATAACTAAAAACAATGAGTATTTCATGAAAAATGAAGTATTTCATGTTTTTAGAATTTTTTTTTAACCATCCGGTAGTCAAAACTCATCGGTCCAAATATTTTTTGTTTAAACAATGTTTCAGGATATCTTAATGACCCAGAGGCCACTGAAAGAACCATAGACAAACAAGGATGGTTACACACAGGAGATATTGGCTACATTGATGATGATGATGAGCTCTTCATTGTTGATAGATTGAAGGAAATAATCAAATACAAAGGGTTTCAGGTCGCGCCGGCCGAAATTGAAGCCTTGCTGTTAGCTCATCCTGAAATTTCTGATGCTGCTGTTGTTGGGTAAGTGCAAAACTTGATCTTTTTTGTAATTTTTCTAGCTATTTTGTGAATCTCAAGATTTATAGTAATTGACATTGTCAATTCTTTCAATTAAACTTTCAGACTGAAAAATGAGGATGCTGGAGAAGTCCCAATTGCATTTGTAGTCAGAGCAGAAAAATCCCAAATTACAGAGGATGAAATTAAGCAGTATGTCTCCAAACAGGTAAATTTTTTCCTTCTTCTTATTGTACATAAATGGCCACTCTACCAAGTAGTTTCGCTTACTCAATCGCCACATGATAATCCATTCCATTCCAGGTGATATTTTACAAAAGAGTAAATCGTGTGTTCTTCGTAGAGGCAATTCCAAAGGCACCATCAGGCAAAATCTTGAGGAAAAACTTGAGAGAAAAATTGGCAGCTGGTTTTCAAAATTAAAAGGACGATGAAGATCCTTGTCCTATTTATTTAAAAACTTGGAAAGGAACGTCTGCAAGTAATTATGCTTGGATAAGTACAAGATGATGCTGGTATATATAGAGATGTGCTAAAAAACATAAATGTTGGGGTAATCAATTACGAAATTACTCTCAAGCTCTTCTTTGTATGATTTGCATCTTTGAAAAACCACAGTTTCTCTTGTTATTACCTTATTAACTCTCGGTATTTGTTTGTTGTATTTTCATTTATCAAATGCGCCTTTTTTTTTTTTTTTTTTTTTTTAATAGACTGTGCTAAAAAACATAACATGTTGGGGTAATCAATTACGAAATTACTCTCAAGCTCGTTCTTGTATGATTTGCATCTTTGAAAAACCACAGTTTCTCCTTTGTTATTTACCCTTATAACTCTCGGTATTTGTTTGTTGTATTTTCATTTATCAAAATGCGCTTTTTTTTTTTTTTTTTTTTAATTGAGCAATCAAATTTTTTTATTTGAAACATGAGTTTTTTTTTTTTTTTTTTTTTTTAATTGAGCATCAAATTTTTTTATTTGAAACATGAGATTCATTTATGTTTAGCTTACTTTTTTGTTATGTATATATATTGGAGGAGGGGGAAAGAACAGCTATGACAATTAACCTAATGATGCCTTAATTTTAGTGAAGGAAGGAAGCCCTACTTCAACAACTTGTTCTTTTTAAACAAAGATCATTCATTAGAAAAAAAAAGGAACATGAGATTAAATATTGATCAAATCAAGCTTCATAAATACAACAACCATAAATATATCTCAATAATAACAAGTCTCGCGATAAAATAGCAAAGCAGGAAATACAAAATCCGTATTTTTACAATTTTTTAATTTTTTAATGGTCAAGTTAATTTCTACCTGCATGCTTTTCAAGAAAAATCTCGTGACAACCTCAATTTTTACTTTGATTAATTAAACACTTCACTTCAATTTATAAAATTACACCTAATGAACGCTTCAACTTGTAAAATCATTTTATAAATACTTTAACTTATAAAATTAGATTAATTAAATACATTTTAAGACCAAACCTTGGGACTCAATAATTTTTCCAAATAACAAGGATGAAATAATAATTTCAATCAAACTTTAGGAACTTTATAGTAATTTGCCCCTCAAATTATCCAACACTTAAATTTAGGTCCTAAATTTTCAATTTTACTAAATAATATTTTTAATATTTAAAATTAAAACTTCTAACTTATTAGTTTTAAATTGTTTGATGACTTATTGTCCATATATTACTTAAAATCTCAATTAATCTAAACTTTCATTAAAAATTAAACAAAAATTAACTTAAAATCCAAGCTAGATATAATAAATCACTCTGATTTTCAGCAAATTTGCAACTTACAAATTTCAGCACTTAAATCATTTGAGCATCACAACCAAATTCGACTTTTATCAATGCTGTTTATATCTTGATTCTTGCCTAAAAAACTACAATCATTATGATTCTTGACTATTATTAATGAAAAATGTTTAAGCGCACAGTATTGCAACACTATAATTTCTTTTTTCTGTAAAAACACTGTCTTTTTCCTGAGCTTTATAGTATAATTTTAAGAGATTCTGGATTAGCGTTCTAATCTCATACAGTAACAACCATTTGTTCCAGCATTCTGAGGCAGACCATCTGCAGTAGACACCCCCAAAACATGGGCAGTCGGGCTCCTACAGACATAAATGCAAATCCCTTGACTACTGGAACAAACACCAAATAAATATGGCGAATAATCTAGTCGCCATTCACTACTATCTAGTTGGAAAGATTTAAGTTGACATACAACAGACTAATCCATCACAGCCAATATTATCAAGCAAGTCAATGAGTAGAACCACCTTCCACACCTGAAATTCATGAGCACATTGCTCTCTCCAATAATTCTTGCAATTCGCCACTCTTATATGCATCTGGCAAACAAATATATTCAATCCAAAGTCAAAACACGAACAACTTATATAGTAAGCATGAGTTCTTATAAATTTAAACATTTGTGCACTCAGATCAGTCATCAAGTAGGCATACCATGCCAATGCTTTCCATTGCTATATATATAAAAAAAAAAAAAAAAAAGGAAAATAAAAAAAAAAAAAAAAAAGGAAAAGAAAACACTAATTGCGGTATGAACACAATTTAAACTTAATAAAGAAGCTGGTCAAAAAAAAAAAAAAAAAAAAAGGAAAAGAAAACACTAGATTGCGGTATGAACACAATTTAAACTTAATAAAGAAGCTGTCAAAGTTTATCTAGCAAAAGAAAGAAAGAAAAGGCAAGATAAAAAAGAGAGAGGGTGACATCACTAACATTTGATGTGAATTAGCACCTTTATTGTGAACACCACATATCTACAGAACATCAATGCTTTGTCACTTCTTAGAATGCAAATTAGGTCCACAATTTAATGTTACTCACATGATTTCCCACCATTCTATATCAAATCTTTTAGATGCAATGCAATGTCATGCTTCACACATATATCAAGCACCTTCTTCATAAATGAGCCTCTCAAGAAGATTCATTTGTGATGAATAGTTCATTGAGATGAGCTATCAGTTAGGGCACTGTGATTTATGGCTATATACTTCGCCCATAAATATGTCTAAATTAATGTGTTCAGAAATCTCATATAGCTAGGCTTGACCAGCTGGTCCATAATTTTTTGTGTCCTCTCCCTCACAAAAAGGAGAGCAGGTGACTCTCTGCTGAACTGAAAGTACTCTCTAAATTCCTGCAAAATTTTTTTTAAAAGACCCTAATTTCCTGCAATTGATACTGCTTTTCACATTTGCAGCTTCAAGAAAAGTTCAAGCTACAGAGCTATCGTTTGCTTTCTCTCTCCCTACAATTACAAACATACTTATAAACATACAAATCATTGTAAAAATTTTCATTAATTGCAGACAAATTTGAATGCATGAAATATAAAGGATGATCAAGATCAAGTCACCAAACATATAGTAATTTGATTAAACCATCATAATATGTTCACTTACAATGGAAGGCCCAAAATTGGGATGACAACTTCAACACAACAAGCTATTGCAAATTATTGTGCATATGTGCAGCATGCAAATCTAAACCATCATTATGGTCGCTTACAATTCAAACAACACTCAAAAATTTCTTCACACAGTATTCTCATTATGCACACACACGGAAAAAAAAAAAAAATGCTATCATCTAGACCAAAAGAGTATGTTTTCTACCTACAACATTCAACACAGGACAGAATGTGAAGAATGAACACAGCATGTCCCGGTGTATTGCTAGCCTGCACTGCACAACCATATACTAGAACTAGATACAAAATGTACCCTGTTAACACTTAAGCAAAACACACTGAAATTCTCCATAATGCACAAATTTCTATTTAGCAAAGGAATCAATGTCAGCAAAAAATAGTGGATGCATTTGACGGTCATAGATGATCTAAATTCTAAATAACCACACAGAACCAACAGGTTAACATCTTTTCACATAAAACCTTCAACTATTATGTCTGCACAAAGGAAGCAAACTATACAACAATACAAACATAAATTTACAAGGCAACATTCCAAATAGGATTAACAAATACTAGAAAGATTAAAATTGCATCTAAACTGAACTTACCGACAGTGATATCACAACCACCAAAAAACTCCCCATCTATATAAAGTTGAGGAAAGGTAGGCCAACTAGAGTACTCCTTCAATCCTTGACGCAGAACTTCATTCTCCAATATGTTAATCGTTTCATAAGGAACATTAAATGAATTCAAAATTTGCACTACAGTGTTTGAAAATCCACACTGAGGAAACTCCTTAGTTCCCTTCATGAAAAGAACAACTTTTTGCGATGACACAACTTTATCCAACGTACTCTTCAGCTCAGGAGATAAAGCTGTAACCATAAATTCTCATCAAACGGAAAAAAAATGTATAACCTTTCCTTTTTTCTGCTTTTTTTATACAAAAATATATATAAAAAAAAAAGTTTCATTTCTATTATTAAAAATAGATTCTCAGCAAAACTACCTAAAAAGAACATAACCCTTTTTTATTCCCCAATTTTTCTGTAAAAATAAATTCAATAAATTAAAAAAATTAAAGAATAATTTCAGTTTCATTACTAGTGGATCTGATTCAATTTTGATAAACAAGGAAAAAAGAATATTTACAGAAGAGATAGATAAATACCGCAGCGAATGGAGGAGGTTCTAGTGAAGTTGGGCTTGACTCTAAAAGCTAGGTTACCGGCGAGAGTCGTTTGGGGAGGGAAGGAGAGGAAACGAGATCGAGAATTGACAAGTGGAAGAGCAATCGACGATGAGATTTTGCTCGGCGACGAGGAATATGATGCTGTTATTGCCGATGGCAATGAAAACACTGACCGCGAAGCCATTCAAGTCTTAACTTACCACAGCTACGGCCGTCACTTTTATCTCCCTCCTTCCCTGTTCACTGTTCACCTTCTTTGTCTTTGGAGAATATAGAATATAGAAAGAACACGTGTACGGTCAAAGAATCCAGGTGGATGCCGGCGGCTCGTAGTTTTCTACGAAAATTACGCAAATAGCCCCTGCTATTATTTTGGGCCAAATCATAGAAATAAAAATAAATTGAACGAAATTAAATCATTTAGAATTTGCAATATTTGAATTTATTTTTATTGGAAATAATTATATTATTAATATTATTTTTACTCCACTGTTTAATAAATTTTTCGATTTAACTAGTACAAATTAATAAAATTTAATTTATATACTTAAATGATATTTTTGTTTTTTATTTTTTTATAAATATACACTCACATTAATATTTCATTAATAATTAAATTATATTATTTTATTATCTAATAATCAAGGCAATTGGTTAATATTTAAGTTGAAAATTAAAGTTTGATATCTTAATTTGATATATATATATATATAATATCAGTTTCATAATACTTGTCACACATGAAAAACTATACATATGAGAAAATAGTTTGTTCCAAAATAATTATCACATTTATGATTTCAAGGAGAAATAATTTTTTTTTCATTTTATATTTTATATATGACCAATAACTATTATTTCAAATTAAATAGTTTTCTTATAAAATTAATATTAAATTAAAGGTAATATAGTTAATTTATTCAATAATTTATTGTAATTTAGATAAATTTAATTATTTTTTAAGAGACGTGAAATTTTAAATGGGACATGTATTATGAAACATATATAATATATATATTTATTTATTTATTTATTACCTAATATATTAATTGAGAAAAAAAGTAAATTAAATAAATGTAAAATATGAACTCTAAATATTATTCATTTAAAAAGAAAAAGAGAAATAGGATAATATTTTGTAGAGATGGCAACGGTGCGGTTAGGGGTGGGTTATTGCCCATCTCGACCCCGCAATGTCATTGTATAATTTGCCCCATCCTTGCCTCGAAATCCGACGGGTTACAAAAACTCCATCCCAATTTCGCGCCGTCTAAAAAAAAAAAAAAATCCATTCCCGTTTACAAAAAAACTCCATCCCAATTTCGCGCCGTCTAAAAAAAAAAAAATCCATCCCGTAAAAAAAAAAAAAAATCCATTCCCGCTCATCTCATTTCTAAAAATTTATATGTAAAATATATTAATATTATATATATAATAAATATATATATTAACATTCGTATTCGGGGTGGATCGATTTTCAGATAGGATATTAAATTATTGAGAAAAACGGCTCCACCCAGGGCGGGGCAAGTCGGATCACCGTGGAGCAGGTCATTTTGCCATCCGATACAAATAAAAAGTAGGATAAAATTTATGGGATGTAGGAAATATATTATATATTTTTAAGATTTGGGCTGGAATGGGCAAAAATGTTATTACCCGATTAAGACCCATTAAGAGCGGCCAATCCATGAGTTCAACTTGAGTGGAGCGAAATCCGAAAATAGACGCTATCCGCCACAGACGGTGACACTAACCACTTGCGAATAGCCACACGGCGTCACGCTGTTCTCTCTACTCGAAAAAGAAAAAAAAGAAAAAAAGGGACTCCCAAAAAATCAACCGAATGTAGCAGGCGGCAACCACCTTCGCAACGAATAGCCGTTCGATGAAAGGGCAAGGTGTTTGCGAAGAGAGCGAAATCAGCAATCAGCGTCAGGCCCAAGCTTCCTGAGGGAATCACAGGCGTCCTTCTCTGGATGATTGATTTTCATTAAATATATATATAAAATTTTATTTTTTCTTTAAAAGGAAAGACAAGAAAAAACAATTTAAATGGACTTGCAAATCAAGGTAGCCCAAGCTGTTCATGTCCTCAACCACGACACTCAGTCCTGTAACCGCGTGGCTGCTAATCAATGGTTGGTTCAGTTCCAGCAAACTGACGCTGCTTGGGAAGTCGCCACTTCTATTCTAACTTCCGATCAGCTTCATCTCCATCACCAGCTTTTTTTCTCCGATTTCGAAGTCGAGTTTTTTGCGGCACAGATTCTTAAGCGAAAGGTTCTTCTTCTTCTTCTTCTTCTGCTTTCATTTCTATTTCTTTTTAATTTTTTGCACTGTAAATGTGTTTTTAGGTTTATAAGGACTGCATTTCGATTCCTTAATTAACAATGAGGAATAGCTTTAGGTTTGAGCATAGCTTTACTTTACTCTTTTAAGGTACTTCTGCACTAGTATATGGTGTAGTTTCCAATTGCCGGTGGCAAAATTGGTAATCGGTATATAAAAATGTCGGTAGATTTATGCACTAATTTGATACTACTTTAACTGAAGCCATTGAATTTCACTTCCATATCCTCGTATTCTAACGATGTTAATAAATGAAATAAGAATGTTCCAACTGAATGGTTACCTATCTGAAAGAAGGAATTGTGGAAGCTTATCAGTTGGACATGAGCATTGTTCTTCTGAACTGAGACGCAGTCGATATGCTTTTGTTTTCCTTTGTTTGTAGGTTATGACATTTTATTCTATAAATTGGACCTGGTAAAGTGAATAAAGGCTTAAAAGGCCATGTAATCGAACAACACCTTATAACCATTTGCAGGCTGGACATCATCTTTTTATTTTTTTTTATGAATATTTTTATAAAGATTTTAAAATATAGCTTAAGGTGATCAATTTCAAAGATTTACTTAATTTAATTGTTGGAGTATAAGCACTCAGCACTTGGCAACAAACACAATTGTAAACAGTTCAGTAAGATAAGAGGAAATGAGAGAATTGGGGGTTAGATTGAATGGAATATAACTTAACTAAACATAGGAATCACTCGAGACCGAGGTTTGGTAATCTGTCCTTTTATGAAATGAGAATAAGGCTATTCAAATTGGATTATTATTAGTGAATCTTAGATGGGTGCGACCTAGATAGATGTTTACTTATATGTGCATCCTTTTGTGGTTAAGAAATGACATATATTCAAAGTGGATGGCTATCAGCTGAAGCTTGGATAGTTGCAACTTTTGTGGTGTAATTTTTGTGCTTTGTATTCACAAATTGTATTGTGTCAGAGATTTGTTTCCTCTAAATTTCTGCTGCTGTGGAGTATATTTAGTTGATTCTCACTAAATGTTACTTGGCCAACTCAAACGTCTGAAAATGAATTCCTTGGTGCATCTATTAGATAACTCATCTGAACTTTAATGTCAGACTTGCACGGTAGCTAGCAGCCTTGAATAACTTGATGCTTGGATTTTATATTTTATATGTGCATCAAACAACATGATTTTTTTGTTTTTTTTTTTTTCAGAAGCCTTATGTTTAACTGTAGCAAATTCTTCTGTTTTCCTCTTTCAACTTTATAAATATTTATGGCATGTTGACACTTCATTTAGACGTTGTTTCACAATGCAGATCCAGAGTGAAGGATATTATTTGCAGTTAGGAGTCAAAGATGCTTTATTAAATGCTCTTCTTGTGGCTGCCAAAAGATTTAGTTCAGGCCCTCCCCAGGTGCTTCAATTTTTCCCTTCCAAATAGGACACTGTTGGTGCTCCACAACTTGGAAGAAATGATATATGCAGGCTATATGAATAACTGGACTAGATGTTAGAATACAATGATGTGTTTTTTTAATTAGTGCTTCACATATGAAGTGCACTGGAGTATGTTTTTGATGAGGTCTTGTGCTATCTCAATGACAGCTTTTGACTCAAATTTGTCTTGCACTTGCTGCCCTTATACTACGTGCTGCTGAGCATGGAAAACCTATTGAGCAGCTTTTTTACAGCCTTCGGACTCTGCAGAACCAGGATGATAGTAATATGGCTGTTCTGGAGATGCTTACTGTTCTCCCAGAAGAAGTTGTTGACACTCAAAATGCTGATGGTAACATTAGTCCAGCTCATAGAAGCCAGTATGGCCAAGAGGTTTTTGTTCGTCCTTTTTATCATTACACCTGCATTTCACTCTATGTTGCTGTTAAGCTTTGCATCTCCCCACTTATTTGTTCTTGTATCTAACATAATAAATTCAGCTTCTTTCTCATACTCCTACGGTGCTTGAGTTCCTCCTGGAGCAATCTCAGAAAACATATGATGGTGGTATTCAACTGCATGAGAGGAATAGAAAAGTTCTCCGATGCTTGCTGAGTTGGGTAAGATCATGGTTGAAAGTTGTGTCAATAATTTCAAATTCTATCAAAGCAAGGATTCCTTAAGAAATCAGTATTCTACTTAAATAGTTTTATTGTAATTCTGATTTTCTTGTTCTTGCATGCAGGTACGAGCTGGGTGCTTCTCAGAAATTCCACAAGGCTCACTACCAACACATCCACTTCTTAATTTTGTATTCAATTCTTTGCAGGTACATAATTGCAGTGATCTTTAACTTGAAAATGTGTGAAATTAATAGCACTCATGCGGGAAAAGTTTTTGCATTGGTGCTCACAGGTTTCGTCTTCATTTGATTTGGCAATTGAAGTGCTTGTTGAACTTGCAAGTCGACATGAGGTAGGCCAATGCCATATGGTAGTATCCTTTATCAATATACCTTTGCTTTTTTGACATTCATGTGCATGTATTACATGTGTACGTTATTGTTATCATGAAGAAGAAGTATGCGTTTAGGTTATTATGCTTAGTGTTTAGCTTTCTAGGAACTTCATAATGATTTTTCATGATACTTTTTTATAATTTTCTAATGAAGCATCCTTTTGCAGGGTCTACCTCAGGTTTTGTTATGCAGAGTACATTTTCTTAAAGAGGTACTCCTCCTACCTGCTCTCAACAATGGAGACGAGAAGATAATCAGTGGTCTTGCATGCTTGATGTCTGAAATTGGGCAGGCTGTCAGTATTCTTTTTCTTTTCTGATTTCATCAATGAGTTTCTGTATCCTGATTCTGTACCTGACCTTTTCCTTATTAGCTTTATTGCATTTTTAATGTACACTAGGCACCATCTCTGATTGTGGAGGAAAGTGTCGAGGCACTTGCGCTGGCAGATTCGCTACTGAGGTGTTATATCAATCTTCAAATTTAAAAAAGAATTTCGTTAAATTCATTTAAGTTTCTGAGATGGAAAGCATGCATTAATATACTCGAGATTAGGAGCCTTGGAGTACAGTGTTTGTTGATCTGTGTCTGATATGTGCTGTTATGCCTAATTATTTTCCCATTTTAGCAGCTGTGTAGCATTTCCAAGTGAAGACTGGGAGATTGCAGACTCAACATTGCAGTTTTGGTATTCTTATTTATTTCAATATTTACCTGGTAGTTTTTGTCATAGGCAAACCACACACACCCACACATGTAATTACTTGTAGCATTTATTCTTGTGTTTTATTGCCGTGTGAAGCCGTTTAATCGAAATGTCTAAAGATTGCTCTTTAGGTTGCATTATGACTCCAGAATCAATTGAGCTATGTCTTAGGGGCTCTTATTAAATGCAACTCTGGACGAACTCTGAATTGTGTCCATAATAAAGCTATTCATTGACTGATAATTTCATTGCTATCCAACTGTACCTGCTTAAAAATATTAATTTGTTGTATCAATCTTTTGATCTTAAGCCTTTTCTGTGAAGCAATATAAATTACAATAGGCTTGCACCCATGGCTGCAAATTATTGATGAGGATAATAAACAGAGATCTGATGGTCTATATGCCAAGGATATGGATTCTTCTTATAATTGCAGTATAAGAAAGTAAACATATCAGTTGACTGTAGACTACTGGCTCGTAGACGTCAATAATGAACATCACATAAGAATAGTCTAAATTAGTTCAAAATTGTGAATTAGAGGGAATATAACCAGTTTCCTTTTTCTTTGAAACAACCTATTGCTGGAAAGATGGTGGTTTACATTGGTGGATAGAGATTTGATGGCGAATTTTGGTCCTAAGGATGGGCTAGTTTGGATGAATGCACACAAGTTTGTGCTATAAATAAAATTAAAAAAAAGGGAAAATGAGGGTCAAATCAAGGAGAATTATAGTCTTGTTCATGAGGAATCATTTGAGGCCTAGCATTTATTCATTGCAGAAGTTGTGATAGGCATCTCTTATCAATCTTTTTAGTTTTTAGTTGTCTGGCTGATACTATCTTGATTAGAAGCAAGAGTGCAATACGAACAAACAAACACTTGAAAAGAGAATAGATTAAGAAAGTTTGTATTTGGAATGTTAATGTAATGCTTTTCAATAATTCTAATGATAGTGAAACCAAAACCTTTTTTGCACTCAGTTGTGGGATTTGGTTGTACTGCTATCACGGTTTATCCTGGGTAGTGTGGAGGTGTTTGTTTTAAAGGTTTATCTGGTTCTTGACAAGAGCACTATAATGATAGCTTCCTTAACTTGTCTTTTCCAGGTCTACACTTGCAAGCTATATTCTCAGCCCTGATACAGAGAGTTCAAAAAATGGGAAACATGTGGAAGATGTGTTTTTTTCCGTTTTTTCTGCATTGCTTGATGCTCTTTTATTGCGTGCTCAGGTTTTCTCTGTTTGCCCCCTTTTCCTTTTATCTTATCCCCTGTGATTTGAGTAAGTAATTCATGTTGTCTAACAATTGCTGTCAATGATGGTCTAGTGGGTTGGTGACCCTCCAAACCAGTAGATTAATGTGTGAAACAGTTGTTATGTGTGTATGTTTATGCTCTTTTGGTGATAGGGACAGAATGCAGTATTCTCTTGTCCTACCACTGAATTCAAGATAATTTTCTATGAGTTGAGTTTCATTAGTGAAATTATGTGTATTAGTTCTGAACATGAATATCTTAGGAGTGATAGAGGCATTTAGCGAAAGGGTATAACATCTTGATTGGCATTTAATCTTTATGATTTAACAATAAGTAAAAGTATGCATAGTTGAAGTGTAGGGCAATGTGTTGCCTCAATTTAATGCAACTAATAACTCAGTTATGATTTATAGTTTGCTTTCATTAGAGATTGATTTATAACTTTACAATAAGAATAAGAACAAGTGTGTCTATTTGGAGTTGAGTTCAATGTGTTGCCTAAATTGAATGCAACTGATAAGTCAATATGATCTTTTATTTTATTTTATTTTTTTTTTGGGATCTATAACTTTATTTTTTTGCCACTATTATAACTGTATCAAAAATTTGTCTTTGACAGGTTGATGAATCTACATTTAATGATGATAGTGGAATGCTTGACCTGCCAGATGGTCTTGTCCAGTTCAGGATGAATCTTGCAGAACTTTTGGTGGATATTTGTCAATTACTAAGACCTGTGACATTTGTACAAAAGGTGCTTGTTTCAGAGAATGCTTACACACATGAACATATAAAGCAACTTGTTATTTGAAAAATGTAAACTTTTGAATTAATGAGATAGTTCTTTGCTATCTGCATGGATAATGCATATTTTATCATGCTTCTATGGTCATAGATGTGGGGAAATAGTGAGGCTGTAAACTGCTGGCTGATTGATTTTTGTGATTCCTGCTTAGCTGTTCATCATTCTTTGTACGTAGAATTTTTACTTCATCACCTCATTAATATTTAACTTATGCTCATCTGAAACATGCCCAGAAATAAATTTGACTTTGGAGGTCAGAATTGTTTGGACAATTTTCATGGTGTAAAATTTGGCTTCTGTCTAAACTCTTAGTTCTCTATGCTTCTTGGTGAAATAAGTTGCAGACTTTAAATTTTAGTTTGTATTTTGAATGTAATCGAGTAACCAGAACGTGCTGAGGATGTGATAAGGGCTAAAGTGTAGTTTTGTGTCATGGAAAGGCAAATACTAACCCAGACTAATTGGTTTGCTATAAAAAGGAATGTAAGAAGATGGATCGTCGCTCACCCTTCCCCCTCTTCTTTCTTGTATCTCTCTTTTTCTCTTTGTGAAGTTCTTTTGCTTTTAACTAATATTTTATGCATAACTTGGGTCTGGGGCTTCAATCGGAGAGTCAGTGAGTGTCCATCTACTTAATTATTTTGTGCTTCTCTTGGATAATTCTTATGTACTTATGATGGTGTCCTTGTTCCCCTTTTTATTTTTATTGTAAGGCCTTCACAAATTTCAATTTAAGTTTTTTTGCTGTAAAAGAAGAAAAATTGTAGAATGGAATTGTTAACTATTTTATAAAAAAAATGTTAAAGTTGGTGTTGGTAAAAGCATCGACACCTTGACCAAACTGATGTGCATGTTTGTTTATTTTTGTAAATGACATATTCAGAGCCTTGTGTTGTATTGTTCTAGTAACTGTAATGATACTTGGAATTTTAGGTTTTAATTTTTTGGTTTCATACTTATCATATACCTAGTTAGAGCTCTTCTGGCTTACTTTTAGCCATGTGGGGCAGTATCTGCATGTATCCCAAAGTGACATTGGATGAGTTGATCTAATCTCTTTATGTTTTTTCTTTTGTTTTTTGGTATATATTACTACATAAGAAACCTAATTTTTTTTCCCTGCCAACCACCTTTGGGTTATTACTTGGAGTGCCATAGTGCCCTAATTCCCTTAGCTTCTTTTGCCTTTCCTATATCCAATCTTCTCTGTACAATGGGGAAAATTTGGAATTATGGCATGGATTTAAATCTGATGTTATTACCCAACTCATTTGAAGAGTCATTTATTTTTGTTAAATGATGTTTTCAATGGGCTGTACTATTATTCTATGTAGACAAGGACAGTATTAAGAATAAGAGGGGTGGCTTTGATGGGCCTTGATTAAGTGCTCAATTCCCTTTATGTGTAGGTTTATATTAGCAGCAAGGGAGGCAAATCTGTGTTGGTCATTTTACAGTACAACTTATGTTGAGTTTTCCCATTTTAGGTAGGTTGTACGCTTCAAAAACCTATCATCAATCTATTCCTTCTGAACTCGAAGAAGCTGAGCATGGAATCTAAACATCATTGTTTGAATCTAAAATATTGGAGTCGAAATTTTCTTCTTTTTTCCTTTCCACAGTTTGTGATACATATAGTTAATAGTTTTATAGATTTCTTTATAATAGATTATGACGGTCTTATTTTATTCTTATGATTTTGCTGCAGCTTTTCTTTGGTGGATGGGCATCTGTAAATATACCAGTGCCTTGGAAAGAGGTGGAAGCCAAATTGTTTGCTCTTAATGTGGTCAGTGCAACTTACCTCTATGATTTTGCTATCATTTTTTTTTTTTTTTTTTTTTTCTGTTGAATTTTTTTAATTTTTTTTTTTTTTTTTTCTGTTGAATTTTTTTTGACAGTCATTCAAATATGTTTTTCCATGAGCTTTTAAAACTTGGAAGCTGCGACTGCTTCTTGGCAATGCACAATTGTTCTTATTGTTATAGTGTATAAGTTCTGCATTTCAGGTCTCTGAAGTAGTCCTTCAGGAGGCCCAGACTTTTGACTTTTCGGTGATCATACAGTTGGCAACTATGTTGTCTATTAGGCCTTCAGACAAGCTCAAGGGATTCATGTGCATTGTATGTCAGACTGTTCCTTAAGAATTTTATGTTTTCAAATTCAGAGTAAATATTAGTTGCCAATACTACTGTGCTTATTTGTATCGTCTCGGATATCCATTTAGGTCTGATTTGTTCTTATTTATAAGATACATTTTCATTTTAGGTATACAGATCACTTGCAGATGTTGTTGGCTCCTTTTCCAAGTGGATTTCTACCTTTCAAACTAATGCTAGGCCATTATTGTAAGGCTGTTTTTTCATTTATGTGTACATTTCCACTTAAATATGAAACTATGATTATCTTGCTTGTTATCAACAAATTTCAGCTTCACCTGATTGGTGTTTCCCCTTCTTAAAAGGAAGTCCTTGCATGCATCATGTAGCATCATTGAAGTTCACTATCAAGTTTCCTTCTCGGGCTGACTTGCTACTTTCAGATTATTTCTTGCTGCAGGGATTTCGGAGCGTCAATCCTCAAATGCTTGTGCCTCTGCCCTGCGTAAACTTTGTGAAGATGCCTCCCCTGTGATTTATGAACCCTCAAATCTGGAAATTTTAATGTGGATTGGGGAGGTAGTGGATTTATGTTTAACATGCCATTATCTGATGTTCTATATATTATATATATATAATATATATATATTTTTTTTTTTTTTTTTTTTTTTGGGGGGGGGGGGGTGCGAGAGGCCAGTGCGGATTGGGGGTTTGAAAAATAGTGAATCTGCTACTTCATTTACTTCTTTCTGCCTACGTTATTCTCTATATGATATTGATGTGTTGAGAAAATTTATTCATTAGGTGCGAGGGAGGGGCAGTGCGGATGGGGGTTTGAAAATAGTGAATCTGCTACTTCATTTAACTTCTTTCTGCCTACGTATATTCTCTATTGATATTGATGTGTTTGAGAAATTTATCATTATGTTCGGGGCATTTTAGTGTCTCCGCTTCCTGATTGAGATATGAAGTATTCAACCATGATTTCGTCAAACATGAATTAGTAAGTCAATAAGTGCTTTAGATGCCTGCATATGAAGTGAAATTGTCCTTGTATTATTTCTCAAGTCAATGATTTGGACAGGTCACCGTTGTATGGCCATTTATGGTCTTACTGATCTTTGGTCATGCGTGGTGGGGTTCCTTACTGAGTTTGTCTACCATAGTATGCATTGTTTCATCAAATAGGAAGAGTTTGGCCTTCTGGGGCATGTTAATGTTTGCCATGGCCACATCACAATGCACAGACTTGAAGCACACTAGTGACGCTGCCCGTGCACAAACACAAAACACGACCAAAATAAAAGAGGATGACATCTTATTATAATTATTAAACCTGCTGTCTAAAATGCCCACTTTTTAGGTTTTCTTTTTCCTGGGTTCATACTTAAATCTTTTTACATCTTTATCCAATTTAAATATTCATTGTTGCCATGTCTGTGTGTTTGCCCCCTCTCCTTTTCTCAAAAGTTAAAAAAAAAAAAACAGAAGAAGAAAGGAATGAATAAAATCTTTTTTCCTTGTTTTGATTTGTCAGGCTTTGGAGAAGAGGCATTTACCTTTGGAAGATGAGGAAGAAGTAGTTAGTGCAATAAGCATGATCCTTGGCTCTGTTCCGAATAAGGAGCTAAAGAACAATCTGTTGGGTAGACTGCTATCTTCTAGCTATGATGCTATAGGAAAACTTGTAAGATTCCAAGTCTTTTGTATGGCCATTTGTCATATTTATGGTATCTGCTTTCCTGCAATTTCGTCAGTTATGTAGGTGATCTTGCTGGCTCTAGTTATTGGCTTTATCAATAGTTCTACTTTGCAAACATTTTTTGCACACCTATATTTGTGATCGTTGTTATTAGTGAACAAAACTTTTCTAAGATGTCTTAGGGAAAGAATTTTATTTTTTTGCTAGTAAATATAGCCTTTTTAAGCGAATTGAAGTGAATCTAAAGTCATCCACCCTCCTCTCTTGGTTAAGTGACAGAATATCATGAAATCATGCAAGTGAATTGTTAGATTTTGGTAATTTTCTTCAATCATAATGTCTGACCAAATGACTATTGCAGCCTGCAAGCATAACTTTTTCATTAAGCAGTCAAATTTTACTGCTAGTGTTGTCAAGAAATAAAGGGAATGATGTATGTGGGATGGAGGTATTATGGATGAGACATAAGCTTGCAATTTTCAGAATGAAGGTTAGCTTTGTTGCAGTTGCCTTTTAAACTCAGACTTTTACGTTTCCTTGGTATAAGGCCCTAAACCAAGCTGAATGAATAACAATCTACGTAGTTGGTGCCAGCTAGTTTGGGATTGAGGCAATTGTGTGGAGTTCCTTTAGTCCAGTATGTGAAACAACAGTATCTTCTCATTGCGTCTATACTCTATACTAAGAAACAAGGAAAAAGTATCTTTGTAATACCTCTTACCATTGTGAGCTCAATTAGTCTTGATCATCAGTTATCTCCTCCTACATGCTTAGTTGCTACCAAAACTGAGTCAGAGTTTACCCATTTGTTTCGAATGGCTAATATCTACATTTGGTATAGTTAGCACACTGGAGAGGAATGGTAAATTGTGTGGAATAATGTCGTATCAATGGTGATGAATTCTTGAACTCAGTTTCTGGAAGGTTGCTTACTTAGTTTCAAACTGTCACTGGAAGACCTGAAATATAGCTTTATGATCCTTTTTGTGACATATGCATGCAGCATTTGTTGTTGATTTTGATTCATTAAACTCCATGCATGTTTTGTTTTCATTCTCATGTCAACTCTTCACTCTTTCACGCCACATTAATAGCTCATAGTTCTTTCAGATTGATGAAGACAGCTTTCATTCTCTTAGACAAAATCCAGCCACTTATACACAACTTTTGAACTCTGTGGCAAGAGGTTTGTACAGGTATGCAATTGGGATAATTGAGTTAAGTTACTTGCATATGCGTAATTTACCACCTGTGCAGTTACGTTATTTTATCAGCTATTCAGCTATCTTATTTTGATCTCTGTGGGACAAAAATGAAAACTAAATGTTGTTTCTTATTGAAATTTGAGTAAACGTGGTTGGGCTTCTTTTTGAAGCGACATAAACTTTCTGAACCATAAAAATGAGAAGAAGTAGAATACGTCAGGAAAGACTGCGGACTGAAAGTATGATAATTTCTTTGAGGAGATGAATATTTTGTTTTTGATGGATACTGATTCTTTCCATTTAGTATGTGCTCCATCCTTGATAACATTGTTATGCTCCAACTCTTATGTCATTGTTTACAGGATAGGAACTGTATTTAGTCATCTTGCTACACCTCTACCTAGTATGCCTGGTGCAGATGATACTATATTTGAACTACTGAGGGTTTTCTGGCCCGTGTTAGAGAAACTATTCAGGTCTGGACATATGGAGAGTAGCAATTTATCTACTGCAGCTTGCCGGGCTCTTTCACTAGCAATTCAGTCCTCTGGTAATGAAAGAGTGTTCTTTCTGTGTTTTCCTTGTGCACTTAGATTGGTTGTCTGTCCAGATAGCATATTGCATTTCATATTGCAACTGAAGTTTATTATTGCAGGGGAGCACTTTGTAATGCTATTGCCTAATGTTCTAGATTGCCTATCCAGTAATTTTCTGTTATTCCAAAGTCACGAATGTTACATAAGAACAGGTAAGCTGTTGGGATTTGGTTGAATACTATTTCCTGTTTGATGTATCTAATTCCTTTCTGTGCATCATTATTATTTTTCTTATTCATTTTTGTTAATCTGGTTTACCATATGTTTAATTTTTTCCCTTTATTTCTTTTATTATTATTATTATTGTTGGGTGCGGTGGGGGCCATGGAATCATCAGCATCTGTTGTTATTGAAGAATTCAGTAATAGAGAGGAGTATGGACCCTTGTTTGCCACAACTTTTGAAAGATTTACTCAAGCAGCATCAGTAATGGGTCTAAATTCGTCATATATATGTGACCAAGAGCCAGATTTAGTGGAGGCATATGCAAATTTTGCATCCACATTTGTTCGTAGCTCTCGTAAGGTTTAGTATTCCTATTTTGTCAAGAGTTGCCTTTCTATCTCGCTTTTTATAGAATATTGGTTAGATGCTACTGATAAATGAGTTTTTACGAGTCCTATTGATACTAAAGGCAAAGAGTTGATTTATTTGTCCGATTATGTAATTTATTCAGGAAGTATTAGCTGCATCTGGTTCCCTTCTTGAAGTCTCCTTCCAAAAGGCAGCTATATGCTGTACCGCTATGCATCGTGGAGCAGCACTGGCAGCAATGTCATATTTGTCATGTAAGTGTGGTAATTGTGTTAAGGAGTCTCTTCTAGAATTGATGCTCTTTATGAATAAGAAGTGCTGGAGTAGAGTGATTAACCGAATTTGTAACTTATGTTATTGTTCAAATTGTTTTGAGGTTAATTTGAAAATGGAAAAAGTATAGTGCTTTGTTGCTCGTGATAGACAATTTGTCTGAAAGATGGAAATAAAAACAAGATGCTCTTTGTAGCTTGTATATATATATATATATATACATATACTGTAATATGATACATGGTTTGTACGACCAATATCCTCAAAGAATGTAGCTTTGTTGGTCTCTTTTGAAATTTTGAGTTGATCTCATTTATATGTAGGTGAGGCATCTGAATCTAATTTGTTATTGACCCTTATATATGAATGTAAATTTTGTTGACTCTTCTAGGTTTTTTGGAGGTGAGCCTGGCCTCTTTGCTGGAATCGAGAACTTCTATTCCTGAAGGATCATATGGTGCCATAACAATTCAGGTCATATCTCGTAGTGGCGAGGGACTAGTTTCAAGTGTGGTGTATGCTTTGCTTGGTGTCTCAGCAATGTCACGGGTATGCTTTTACGCACTTGTTTGTGATAGTAATTTCTTTTAAACATTCTATCTCCTATTTTGGTTCTTAATTAAGACACGATATGGTGTTTAGAACCGTATATCTGCTATTTCTCCATGTGTATTTCTACATCTGACTTCATTGATGATTGGTTCTCATGTTGTTGGAATTTATCTTCGATAATGCGCTGTACTTATGTGGCCCTTTTCCTGATAGGTTCACAAGTGCGCAACAATCTTGCAACAATTGGCTGCCATTTGCAGTTTCAGTGAGAGAACAACTTGGAAGGCTATTCTCTGTTGGGAATCTTTGTGCGGTTGGCTACATGCAGCGGTCCTCTCTCACTCTCTTTCTCTCTCACTTTTAAGTTTGGAGTTTTCTCGTCTGAAAGAAACCATCTAAGATAGCTAGTTTTGTTTTTTGACTGGGCAATTTTGGTTACCTTAACCTTGCAGTTTTTCCTTGATTATATGCTTTTTCTCGATAGGTATTAATAATTTTGGTAACCATTAGAATTGAACACATGAAATTTGTCCTGTTCAGATTTGAAGTTTTAAAATAGTAGTCTCAGTTCCCGTTATATGAAATTCTTTCTAGGATAAATCAACTTCACTGTCACTACAAAGTTCTAAACTTTGCAGTGATTCTTGTGAAATAATCAAGTTCAAGTTAATCATTTTGTTTAGTGGGATTTTGCAATTAGCTGAATCATTTAACTACCTCATATCAAGCTCTGTGCCCTTTGTGGTTGCTAAAATTTTTTACTGATGACTATAATAAAAACACTAGCAATCTTTGTGAAATTTTCATTACTGATCTTGAACCTTTTTAAATTCATTAATATCTTGCTGCCTTTGCATATCTTCTAAGGTAAAGTCCTGCATACCCATGATTTTATATTTTCTGGTGTTTTGTTGTTCAGCCTTCAGCTTTGGCTAACTTGTAGAAATTACAACAGGTGCAGGCTCTTCCAGTCGAGTATCTAAAGCAGGGAGAAACCGAAACTCTTGTCCCTGTTTGGCTGGAAGCCCTTGTCGGTGCTGCATCGGACTATCTTGATAGTAGAAGTTGCAACGGTGGGAAGAACAATTATGGGCATATGCAAGGTAAAGGAGGGAGAGGTTTGAAGCGATTAATTCGAGAATTTGCTGATAGTCACCGCAATGTTCCATCCCAAATTTAAGATATCTCAACATCCAAATATAACCGAACCGGTCCATAGCTTCAAGAGCTTTTGTCTAGTGAGCCTGTTGCTGCTGGTGTTCTATCATAGCTATACATTGTTGGCTTGCAATCAGGCAAAGAAAATCCTGGGGGGTGTATCTTTTGAGCAATGTCCCCACGTTGTAATTACTTCCCTTACTGCCCCTTTTTTCTGCTGTGTACAGTGTTCTCCAAAATCCCAATTTTGTGAAACCTTCCGATTAAATGTAGGATATACAGATTTTCTCATTAGCTTGAGTGTACCAATCTGCAACTGCGGCGGCTAGAGTAGATACGATGGTATAGAGTATTTATTACTTGGGAATAAACCAATGCGAATGCTTTTCCAATTTCCAAGCATGAATGAAATCCTTTTGTTAGCTCTTTAGACAACTGCTTATCTTTCTTTTTCACTCTTAGATTCAGAAGTGAGAACTACCAGTCTAAAAGGTATCTTTCTTGTTAATGCTTTTTTTTGGGAAGAGGGGAAGTACAATAAGGGGTGGAAGTAAAGTAGGGGCGAAAAATTTTACTATTCATTTTCCTTCCGAAATGGAGTGAAAATTTGGTTAAAATGGGTGTAAAATAAATTTATTTTATACATTCCTTGATATTTTACCTTAAATCGAACAAGAGATTTTGATAATCTCAGTAAATTTTTACTCTTTATTTTACATCCATCCAAATAAAGGCTAGGTGTATATTATAGCTATATTTATTTTTTGTTATTTTGTTTTGTAAGTTTGAAAGATATTTATCACATATAAATTACATATTTAGAAATTCAACTGAAATTTAAAGTTATAAATTTATTATTTAATAAAATATATATTTCACATCTGAATTTGAACTAAAGTTTAGGAACACTTAATTCTATCATCTTCGTACTTTATGGTATTTGGCAAATAAAACTAGACAAAGTTTTGCAAATTAACTAGAGAAAAAAAATTTTATAATTTCAAAAATATTATTTTTATCGATAATCAGTTTTTCATGATAAAACAACCGTTATTCTGGATTATGCCATTGTAAAATTAATTAAATTAGAAATATAGCCATTTAATTTAATAATAAAAGAATACTAACTTGTAAACCATTAAAATTAATAATAAAATTAAAAAAATACTGCACATAAATATTCTTTTTTTTCATAAAAATACAAGAGGAAGAAAAATAAAAATCTAAAAAAATTAAAAAATTTTAAAAAAAATCTAGGGCAAGTACGTAATATTGAGAAAAAATAGATCAGACAAAAAAAAAAAAAAAAAAGGGGACAAGAGGAAGAAAAATAAAAATCTTAAAAAAATTAAAAAATTTTTAAAAAAAATCTAGGCAAGTACGTAATATTGAAGAAAAAATTAGATCAGACAAAAAAAAAAAAAAAAAAGGGGCGAAGGAGCACTTACAGCGAAACCCTAGAAGCATATTGACTCGTCTGACCCCATTATGTGGAAAGAAAAGTAAAAAAAAAAAAAAAAAAAAAAGGGGCGAAGGAGCACTTACAGGAAACCCTAAAGAAGCATATTGACTCGTCTGACCATTTTATGTGGAAAGAAGAGTAAAAATACAGCTAAAAGAGAGAAAGATACTAAACACAGACATACACACACTTCAAATCCAATCCACCATCAAATCAGTCTTTCTTTTGCAGGTGTATTTCTCACTTTTCTTGGTGTGTTTCATTATCTTTTCAATCTTTTCTTCTTCATTTGTTCGATTTTTCCCTTTATTTCTTTTCAAGCATAGATTTTCCCTTTGACGATCTGATTGAACTTGATATTTTGAATTTTGTATGAGTTTTTATTTTCTTCTATTTGGATTTGATTAGCTCCCTTTCTAACTGCCTACTAGTTGCTTGAATCTAGTGATGGAGTAGCTAAAATTTGATTAGAAGGATCCAAGTATGGGAAGCTATAAGATCTTGTTAGAAAATATTTTATTTACTTACTTTGATGCAAAGGTGCGGCTAAGTAATTTCCTTTATGAAGGTCCTGAGATATAGCAAGATAGTTACTTCTGTGGGAAAAATTAGGTTCAATCTAGAATTTGGAGCTGTCTTATTTAGATCATCTGTGAACTTAGTGTAATGATTTAACCAGATATCATTTTTTTTACATGGTATTAACCAGAAGATGGGCATCAGCCTTGATGGGCTGTGCTGGACTTCTGGCTCGATCAGGAAGTTATATTTGATTCTATAAGATGATGAAAGATGCAAGAAGACAAGTTCTAATAATAGCAACCTTTGATGAAAGCTCGCGTTGTAATAATTTCTCATTTCATTGGCATATTCTTGTTGCCTCACCATCATACTTTGTTCTGTGAAAAATTACTCGCTGTATCTCAGTGAATCCCTATTGCTCGTCTTTCTAATTGTTGGTTTTTTCCCCCTCCTGTCTTGTAGGCCTTGAAGTAGCATTAATTGACTTCTTATAATCTTAACTCTCTGTCAAACACACTCATGCCCATTCTTAAAATAATAACTGCTAATTTTTGGTGTCAATGAAAACCTCCATAGCCCAATGGATAAGGCGCTTGTCCTGGAACTAGATATTCTGGGTTCGATCCCAGTGGAGTCATGATGTAATACTTGTTTTACTTTACCAAATCTTAATTGAAAAATAAATTAACAGCTCCCAGTTGATTTATTTCTTTGCCCAGAGTAGTAAGGAAGCTATTCACCTGTTATGTTGATAATAGTGATAGTAGTTGCCAATGCCATCTGACCTTAGGATGGTGATAAAGGATGCTCTTAGAACCTTAGGATGGTGATAAAGGATGCTCTTAGATTAGCTTAATTCTATCTCAAGGGCGTGCGTTTTGCCTTGAGTCCATGGGAATGTTTTAGTACACCCCTTTGATTTGCTACCTCAACACTTGGAATGTTTGTCATTGACTATTGTTAAATCAAAACTGCCACTATCAGTAGTACTGCAATAATCCTTTTCTAGATTTTAGATTACATTCCATTCCCTTTGATTTTGCTTTATACATTTATGTTCAGTCAACATGTATTTCTGCTGTTATGTTTTGCCTTCTTGTCCCGTCAAGCTGTGCTCCTTGCAATATTATATTTTCTATGCTGGTTACCATCAAAATACCACCTGGAGAAGAATGTTTCAAGCACTAGCATTGCTAGAAGTTGGTTAGGCTTTAGCTATGCCTGTACCGGGAAAAATGTGTCGTTCTGCGAGATGTACTTATTTTATTTCCTACTTTTTCTTATCAAAACTTTGTAAATACTTTAGGAAGCATTTAAGAACATCCACTAACTTGAAGTGTTCTGATACTGGTATTTGTTTACAGTTTTGTGAAGTGTGTGAGTACCCTTAGATGTGGATTGATAAATGGGAATGCTTAGTTCTTTGTAATTCTTCCTTACATTACGTAAATGCAAGCATGCACATCGCTTTGTTCATTTGCCTTGTTAATATGGTTTTCTGCTACCATGTGAAATTGTTTAATTTTTATTTATTAATTCATTAATAGTTAAATGTACTATAACTCCTTTTTCTGTGTGATGGCTTGCCTTCCTGACTATTTATTATTGGAATAAACCTGTACAGGATAGTGTATATCTGTCTGGGGTCTACTTTTGCTCAAAATGTCAGACGGTCATGAATCAGACAAGAATATTGAGATATGGAAAATCAAAAAGCTGATAAAGGCGCTGGAGTCAGCAAGGGGTAATGGCACGAGTATGATATCTCTTATAATGCCTCCTCGTGATCAAATATCTCGGGTAACAAAGATGTTGGGCGATGAATTTGGAACTGCTTCAAACATTAAGAGTAGAGTCAACCGTCAGTCTGTCTTGGCTGCTATTACATCTGCTCAGCAAAGGCTGAAGCTTTATAACAAGGTTCCTCCTAATGGACTGGTGCTTTATACTGGAACAGTCGTTACTGAAGATGGCAAGGAAAAGAAGGTGACAATTGATTTTGAGCCTTTCAAGCCTATAAATGCATCACTTTACCTTTGTGACAACAAGTTTCACACTGAAGCATTGAATGAACTCTTAGAATCTGATGACAAGTTTGGTTTTATTGTCATGGATGGGAATGGCACACTGTTTGGGACCTTAAGTGGCAACACAAGAGAAGTGCTTCATAAATTTACTGTTGATTTACCAAAGAAGCATGGAAGAGGAGGACAGTCTGCTCTGCGTTTTGCTCGTCTTCGGATGGAAAAACGGCACAACTATGTTAGGAAAACTGCTGAGCTTGCCACACAGTTCTTCATCAATCCTGCTACTAGTCAGCCGAATGTTGCGGGGCTGATACTGGCTGGTTCAGCAGACTTCAAGACTGAATTGAGCCAGTCAGATATGTTTGATCCTCGTTTGCAAGCAAAGATATTGAATGTTGTTGATGTTTCTTATGGAGGAGAGAATGGTTTCAACCAAGCGATTGAGTTGTCAGCTGAAATTCTATCAAATGTTAAGTTCATTCAGGAAAAACGCTTGATTGGGAAATACTTTGAGGAGATCAGTCAGGATACTGGAAAATATGTTTTTGGTGTTGATGACACATTGAAGGCTCTTGAGATGGGTGCTGTTGAAATCCTTATTGTATGGGAAAATCTTGATATTAATCGATTTGTGCTGAAAAACAGTGTTACAGGCGAAATAATTATAAAGCACTTGAACAAGGATCAAGAGGCTGATCAGAGTAACTTCAGGGATTCAGCCAACTCTGCAGAGTTGGAGGTTCAGGAAAAGATGCCCTTGCTCGAGTGGTTTGCGAATGAGTACAAGCGTTTTGGTTGCTCGCTTGAATTTGTTACAAACAAATCTCAAGAGGGATCACAATTTTGCAGAGGGTTTGGTGGAATCGGAGGTATTCTTCGCTACCAGCTTGACATAAGATCTTTTGACGAGTTGTCTGATGATGGGGAAATTTACGAGGATTCAGATTAGATATCCATACGGTGATGTTTCACGACCACATGGAAGCCCGTAGCAGTGTGATGGATCTTCGTTATTGATGTTGCCTGAGACTTACAAATAATTTTCTCATTTTGCTGCTTCGATATTTATCATTTTGCTGCGTTTCATTTGGATATTTAGAATGTTCATTGCTTCCCCATTTTATTTTCTTCTTTCTCCTTTATGTTTTGCCCTCTCTTTCCCACTGATTGAGACATTGTACAATATTTCAAACTACGATGTTTGTTATTCTGTGCCAACGTGCACAATAGAAGAGAGAAATTGAATCTGCTTGGGGAGTACAAAAATTCGGTTTCCAGAATATTTTTCTTTGATTTTGGATAAATATATTTTTGGTGGTCATTTACAGATATAAGCAACAAGGTGGGGATTCTACTTATCTTAGGATTTGCGCTGCAAAAGTTTGTTTTGGTGTTGCTGGTAACTCTAAACCCTCGTGTTTAATTACAGGCATAGCTAGTTTAACTATAAGTAGATGAACTCAACAACAGCTTAACGGGGAAAAAGGAAAATTGCTTCAGCTTTAGTTCTTTTTATAATTTTATCATGAATTTTTAATTTTGTTAATTTTATAAAATACCTTTTAAACTTTTATAGTCCTATTGCAACGATTAAAAAAAATTTGGAAATTAGACTTGAATTTCGAGACTGGCGGGCCTAATTTTAGTAATTTTTGGTAATTCATGAATTTAGATAAGTGATAAAATGATAAAAATTGAAATTAAAAATTTTCATAGTAAAATTATTAATGTTTAATGTTTGATATAAAATTGGAAAAAATATTAAAGTTGAAGTAATTTCTGCAACAAATTCTAAAAAAAACAAAATTTTACTAAGTTGCAACCGCTATATATTTTATAGTGGAGGAGGTAGATTTTAGATGTAAGGTCAAATTCATATACTAATCATTAACCTTGCTAGCAAACATCGTAAGGACTAGATTCAGACTCAAAACAAATTCCAAAAATAACATTATATTAAGAAGGAATTCCAATTAAGCTAATTGCCAAATGATCAAATAAATACCCACAATGTAGAAGATTAAATGTTCAAACCCTAAACATTCTCAATTTCTCATTTAAGGACTTTTTATGTGCCAAAGGATTGATTAAAATTAACACTGTAGTTCTGCAAAAGGGGAATAGAATGGAGAATGAACAGTACAGGGAGCATCAGTAGAAGATTAAAAAAAGTTTGTTAAAGCTCCACAAGTTTTATGGGAAAGCCACGTCTTTATGAGCTTATTGGGCTTGTAAGTGTGCAAAGAACCACTGCAGCCTCAAGTGGAAGATTGAGAACAACCATATATAGGTCTAGATTTCCACCATCACTACATGGCCTTTATAACCACATGGCCTCTATAAAAGATGTCTGCTTTATATAGGATTAGCAGCATATTTTGAATTAACTTTTAACATTTAAACTAAATTTTAACGTTTTAACCGAATAGCTTGAACTAACTTGTTCAAGCTTTTAATGTTTTAACCGAACAACTTTTAGTATTTTAAACTAACTTTTAGCATTTTAACTGAACAGCTTGAACTAATTTTAGCGTTTTAACCGAAAAGATCCACAGTGTAGTCTTAAGCAATAGCTAATTGAGCAAATCATGAGTTTCAGTCGGGGTACTAGAATTTGGATATGGCAAGAAGAGCCTAGTTATTGAAAAATCTAATTATTTGGATTTGCATGCAAGCAATTAATTAGTAATGAAGTGTGTTATGTTAACTAGCAATCACCACCAAAATGGCAAAGACTATTATTGGTACAGTGCCTTAGTATCTAGTCTCTATTGTCATTGTTTTCAGTATTTTGAAAAAATGTCATCTATATTAATATTACAAATACAATACAAAACTTGATAATGCATCAAGCGCCAAGGAAATTGTTCTGAGAATAAAAAACTTGCCTGGATTATTTTGTTGAAAAATACAGAAATATAACTACAGGCAAGAGTGAAAATAAACTAATGCTAGATTCAGATATGTGAATACGAATTTAAGCATCTAGCCGAAACCCAAATACTTCGACTTGTATTCCAGAAATCTAAATGTAGCATGAATCAATGTTGCTAATATTAAATAATTCCTCTATAAAAGACTCTACTTCTGAAGTTGCCAGTAGAATTGTTAGACATCAGCAAGTGCTATAAGCTGATCGACCACACCGGGATCTGCCAGTGTGCTCGTGTCCCCAAGCTCATCGAACTGCCTGGAAGCAATTTTTCGCAGAATCCTCCTCATTATCTTTCCACTCCTTGTCTTCGGAAGGCCAGGTGCCCAGTGGATTGCATCAGGCGCCGCAAATGCTCCTATCTGAAATATGAAACTAGGTTTTAGAGAATGTAACCGATAAACATATTTAGATGCATCTCCTTATTCATCCTTATATTTTAATTGACTGCAATCCTGTAATTTGTTAATAGTTACAGAGAAAATAAGGAATAGGAGAGGTAACTGGGGGAAGATTCGCAAATCACTGTATCATTAAGTCAACCGGAACTGTTCAAACTTGACAAGAGCAAATCTATATCAGTTTGGAGAAATGGCAGATCGATTAATGAAATATTTAAAATGATATAAGAACTGTGCATTTTAATTCTGAGTTTATGCATGTCAGTACTTACAACTCGTAAGCTTATGACTGCCAAGGTGACATACTAGATATATTGATTGCAAAATAGTTTATGCCATAAGCAATTAAGCATGCATTAACCTGTCTTTTGAATAGAGAAAATATTGGATTTAGCACAGACCTGACTCCGCACTGTGAGGATAAGACTTTTCCGTAGTTCTTCACTGTAAGGAACACCCTCGACAAGAGTGACAAATGCATAAATGCCCTGTCCTTTAACCTATCAGCAAGAAACATTAAAGACTAAGCAAACATATGTGCTTGAAGTAATTGCAAGTATTACTGATGCACTTGCAAACATATTCTCTCTCCTTCACACGCTATCCAAAAAAAATAATGGAGGTACCTCATGCTCTATACCAACTACTGCAGCTTCTGCACACTGGGGATGAGAAACAAGAGCAGATTCTACTTCAGCTGTTCCAATACGATGACCACTGCCGATAGTTTGGAAACATCACAACAAGGCGAAAACAATTGCTTGCAAGTAATGATAGACGATTGCAGAGTGGAACCAGTAAAAAAACAATCGCAACTCAGCATATTTAACTGCAATGTATTTAAATCCAGGAAACTGGAATACATTTTTAATAATATAAATTGGATGAGAACAAAAACATTTTTATACCTAACATTGATGACATCATCAACTCTTCCAGTAAGCCAGTAGTATCCGTCCTTGTCCCTGAAAAATTGATATCAAACATGAGTCCTTTAGCTGACCTGTCCTAACCAAAGGCTATCAGGGAATCAAAGCCTCTAGAGTCCAGACAAGAGACCATCAAGATCTACAGCAACATATATAGCTACACCAAGTAAAAGTGTGATATTGGTTCAAGTAATAACATGCCTGCTACAACCATCACCGCTGAAATAATAGCCAGGGAATGGCTTGAAGTATGTAGTTTCATATCTCTCATGATCTCCATAAAGGGTTCGGAATGCCCCAGGCCATGAGCTTTTCACACAAAGGTATCCACTGCATTCTCCTTCAATCTCAACACCCTTCTCATCCACTATGACAGGCTACAGTTCATCAGATGAAAATTGATAAGCATAAGTAATGAACATACAGAGAAAAAAGCAGGGGCAAAGTGAAAAGATAAAAAGTTGATTTTGATAAGAACCTGAACACCGAAGAACGGGAACGTTGCAGAACCAGGCTTCTGTGGCCAAGCACCCGGTAGTGGAGTAATCTGAAAGGTAGCAACAGGCAATCATTATTAAGATATTTATAGTGGAGAAAGTAAAGCAATCTGTTTTTGGTGGCAATAGAAAACTACAAATCACAGTAACAAAGGGGTGGCAGTGTATGGACAGCAAGTACAAAGAAATTAAATCACCATAAAGCCACCAGTTTCAGTTTGCCACCAAGTGTCAGATATAGGGCACCTCGAGTCTCCAACTACATTGAAAAACCACCTGTAAGAAACAGATTTCTGTTAATTCAGTCTCATGTAAATATGAAATTTTCTGGGTCAAGAAAAATGAGATGGAGCTAAAAACCTCCAAGCACTTGGATTAATGGGCTCGCCTACACTTCCAAGGACCCGTAATGATTTGCGTGAATAGCGAGTAACATACTGCATAACCAACATCAGCTGTTATCAGTACTAATTTACAAACAAAAGCTTCTAGGTCTAGGCATGCACCTGCATGCGTATATGACATAATTCATAATGGATACAGGTTTCACAATCCTTAAGAAGAAAAACAGGCACCATAAATACACAAAAATAAAGCTAGACTTAAGTTCATGTGGTTAAATGATTCAAGTGGAGCTGCTTTGTGATACTAAAATTAATTACAAAAGTAGAATTCTTTTGCAGTCACAGGGGAGTTAGTTCCTTCGAATCCTCATTGTACATTTAAGTTAACGGAGTTGCAGGGATGATAACAGCCAAAAAGCTTATGATTAAAGCCAATAGATACAAAATGACTTCAGCTTAAAAAAACTATGAACATAAATCGCATAAAATTCGCAACTAAGCATTATGAAACAAAATTCATATGGCTTCACAAAGGCACTGTTGAATTTTAATTTCACATTGATCACAAAAAAAATTACTATAAAGGTGTTTACTACAGATTTATGTAATATCTTAGCTCATGTGAAAAGAGAAATATCTTACCTCATCACCATCACGCATGAGAGACCGCACCAACGTGGGGGCAGTGTAAAATATTGACACTTTGAATTTGTCAACAATATCCCAACAGCGTCCACAATCTGGATAAGTTGGGGCCTGCACACAATATCCTATTAAATGGGAAAATTGACAAATCCAAGCAGTTTCAATCATAAAAATTGAACTAAAAAGGGACAGGTATAAAATTTAAAACTTATGATGCATGGCCTCTTCTTGCAATTCTACCACTGGTAGAAGCACAGGTACTTCAGTGTGTCAAGATAGAAGGCCTTTACATTATTACTTGTCATGATACAGCTTTTACAAGTGTGATATTAAGATAAAAAAACTTAAATTTTCTATGAAATAATATTTTTATGATTATATATTACCTCACTTTCTACTACTCCTTACTGTTAACTCTGCTTTTTCTTGATTTGTAAATACTTTTTGCTTTGTAAAAATAAAGTAATCTAAGCGTCGAAGAACTTCATAACTTATTTTATATGATAAATAAATTTTAAGGTGCATGCCATGACAAGTTTGCTTTTGTCTAAATATGCTCCATACTTTCTACCTGGATTGTACTTTTCCATAAGCTACTGGCAGGCAAATTTTCTCAGTCGCAGAATATCAAAATGCCAGAACTGAAACAATTGGATAATAAAAACTATACTCTTAACATTTATTTTTTGGGATGTCGCATGTGTTTTACTAAAAAGTGAACAAGAAAGATGGTTTGTAATTCAAAAGGAAGTTACCCCTTCAAATATGACAACAGTTGCTCCATTGAGCATGGGTCCATATGTAACATAGCTATGCCCAGTGATCCAACCACAGTCAGCCGTGCACCTGAAACACATCAAATTTCTCAATAAATTTCCAGACACTATTAAGCTGTTTTGAGTTGAAAATTTTGATGAACCATACCAGTAGACATCAGACGGCTTGTAATCAAATGCATATTTGAATGTTGTGGCAGTGTAAACCATATATCCTCCAGTGGTATGGACAACACCCTTTAGGGATGAAAGGTAGAGAAAAGAAAAGTAAGGAAAATAAAATAAACAGAAAATGATTGAAATACAAGAATAGAAGAAGGTGTAATAAGAATCTTTATAGAACTAAGAATTGTAAGCACCTTCGGCTTTCCTGTGCTCCCACTAGTATATAGGAGAAACAGTGGATCTTCTGCATCAACCCACTCCACTTCACAAGTAGTTGGATATTTAGGAACAACATCCTGATAGATGAAGTATTATCATTTATCAAAACTCAAAATATGAACTTAAGTCTGCAATCACGATCAATTATATAAGCTGCTTTTTCAATTAGATTAGGACATGACAGATAGAATTAGTGAATTACAGTAACCAGGCAACCATCTTAACGTAAACAATAGCTATGCAACTGTCTTATAGTAAATCATCTACCATCTTATAGCGAGCAATTGGAAATAGTATAAAGAAAAAAAATACAAAGGTTGAGAAACAGAACAAGAGATTGGATGTGCCAACTACCAACAAAAATAGCTTTTTTTTTCTCAGTTTATATGCTAAGTTAGGTATGATGTACTAACCTGCCACCATACATCTCTTCCCTGCTGCCATTTTGTTTTATCCCTTTTCATAGCAGATTCATTTTCATATGTCAAACATACATCTGACAAAGTAAGAAAACAACCATAAGTAATTATAAGGTCGATGATCATGTTTAAACCACAAAGCAATTGTTTGATGATTTACATACCCACTGAAACCCCATTTTTATCAGATTCAATAAGAGCAGCGTCAACTATGTCTTTTAGGGGAATAACTTTAGGACCTCTTTTAACAGCATTACAAGTAATTACAACTTTTGGCTTACAGTCCTCAATTCTTTGAGCAAGAGATTCAGCAGAAAATCCTGCAAACACAACCTGATGGAATGAAAATGTAAGAGGCATTTCTCAACCAAAAACCAAAGAGAAGAAAAGGGGATTTAGCTAGCTTCAATACCGAATGCACAGCACCAATGCGAGCGCAAGCGAGCATGGCAATAGGGAGTTCCATGAGCATGGGTAGATAAATCACAACAGCATCACCTTTTTTAACACCTTTATCTTTCAAGTAATTAGCTAGCTGCAAAAGAAAAGAAGATAATAATAATAACACTTAAATCCAAGTAGAGCAGCTAAATATCTAGCCTTTTCATCCTCATAAAAATACGATGAAGAGGAAAATAACCTGGCAAACTCTTTGAAGAAGCTGGGAGTAGGTTAAAGAATCTTGAGAACCAGGGTCATTGGGTTCCCAGTACATAGCGATCTTATCACCATTTCCAGATTCAACATTTCTATCCAAACAATTGTAACAAATATTGGTGATACCACCCTTGAACCACTGCATAATACAAAATACCACTGTCATTACCATTATCAATTACAATTACGAAAATGGAGCTTCAAGGTTAGATTTGAAAATGCAGCTTCAATGTTAGATTTGAAAACGCTTTCGACATAAATTAAGAATCAAAGCAAAGAATTTTGACCTCAATCTTGATGTTCCCTTGGCGGACATCAAAATTCTCAGATACTACCGGTTGGCTCCAGCTCTTTTTCCAGTAGAACTGCGAGGCAATATCTGACCAAAATCCAGCTGGATCTTCAATGGACCGTTTATACATCTCCAAGTACTGATCTCAAAATTTAAAAAAAAAATTGCCATTACCATTTCCATTCTAGTAAACACTAAAATTCCAGTATAAGCGACAAGTGTTATAACCGACAAGTGTTACCTTCTGAGGAGACGGAATTAGAGCCTGGCGAGAGAACTCGACACTGGGAAAGACGAGATCGTCTTCTTCAGAAGCCAAAGCTTCGCCTAATATAACAGCGTTAAGGCAAGGAATTTTACCGGCACCGGACGGCAGAATATTCATTGACTCAACATGCCTAAGGTGATTTTTCGTTGTCTTCAAACTGTAATTTGCCATCCCGATCCCAATCTGAAGCTTTCGTTGACTGCAAAGAATACTACGACGATGACGAGGAGAAGAAGAAACAGAGTCGGAGGATACGGAGGAGGAAGAAAGATTTGAGACGGTTAAAGAACGTTTGACCAAAGAAGTACGAAGAAGCACGGGAGATATTTGAACAGCGCCAACTTCCTGAGCTGCTCCAACTCCTACTCTTCCATTTCCTACCAAACCGCTATATGAGAGCGGGGACATCATGGACATAATTTTTTATTTAATTTTTTTTCCTAGTTTCTTTTATTTTCTTCCGTTGATTAAAGAGCAACGCAATTAATTTTTTTCTCTATATTTATCACAAAAATTCATATTAGAGCTGTGGTTCCTGTTTGCCAATTCCATTTGGTAAACAACTTAAAAAATAACAGTCAATGCCAGATTGTATATATACATATTATTTAATAATATAAAGACAAATTCTAAATCTAGATATAAAGTTAAATTAACATGGTAATTATCGTCAAACTCCATCGATAAGAAAAAAGATGAAAATGCTAACCTGGTGACATTAATGTCGCTGCCTTCATTGTCACCCAAAGAGAAGAAAGTGGAAATTAATTTAATTGAAAGAAATACAATCCTCAACGAACTTTTTGATTAGAATTCAAGAAAGAGGAAGATGAAAATGGAAGGTAACGACGATTGGAGTTTTGCTGTGCTAGCTGCTAATCAATTGCAGCGAGTAGGCGCAGCTATGTACGATGCGACAAATTGGTTTGTTTTTTTGTCTTGTAGTTCGTTTTGGACTGTGTTTGCTCTTTATTTAGTGAACTCTGTGTTCCTTTTTCCGGCTAGTCGCCATTGACCTTCTGTTGTATGAGAAAAAGAAAAGGCAATGTGTTGATGTATGCTCTTTCTTGGTTATTTCCGTTCTTGTTGTGAGCTTTGCTATGGTGTTTCTTGTTTCGGGCTATGATTAGAATAGACGATGGTGTGATTGGTGGTGGAGAAGACATGATTGAGACTTTGAGATAGCAACCATTTTGCCTTTTTTTTTTTTTAAAAAAAAAAAAATTATATAAATGGTAAATTCTTTTCGTGATGGATAATCAAACATGATACCTTTTTCTTTTGTTTTTTATAGAATCAAACGTGAAAATTTTGTTACATATGTTTCATATCATTTATCTACTTCTGATGTTTATGGCTTAAATTTACAATGGTAGCTGTAAATATTCATAGATGCAATTTTGACCCCTTCAAAGAATTTTCTGTCTTTTCCGTACATTGATTTGTAATTAACTGCAATTTATATCTTACTCAATAACTAATTATTAGTTTTAACACTAACAAATGGATAATTTCTCATGTTTACCAAGTATTTTAATTCTATAAGATCGTTTGAATTATTGAAATTTAACAAATGAAACGCATCCATTTTATGGATTTTATTAAAATTTTTTATTTAATTGAAAAAAATAGATTATCATCTGTGAATTGATAGATTTTATCATTAATTCCAATTTCACGATAAATTCAGTGGTAAAATTTTCTTAATTTTATTATTTTTATTAATAATATAACTTAAACCATTTAATTTTATCTATGGACTATACTTCTTCAATGAAACAATTAATGAAACATAAAGTTTCATTAATTTTGCAATTTATGAATCTCACGTTCTATGATTCAAACCATTTTTATAATTTGCAACCTTGGTAGAGTGTGTTATATGACATACTGTTAATAAAGTTTAATACATTACAATAAATACGAGGCATGAGATTAGATTCCCTCTGACATATAACACAATAAATTACTTAGTACACTTGTTGTACATTAAAAAAAAAAAGTGAAAGTGCAAATGGTGTTTTTCTTTTTCTTTTTTTTTTTTTTAAATTAAACATTAAAAAAAGAAAATTTCAATTTAATTTCTCCGGCTAAATTGTATATGCACTTACCATCAAGTTAAACTCGTCAAGTGCGAATAATCTCTCATAAAGAGAGAAGAATATTTGTAAACAGAAAAAGAAAAAAAAAAAAAACTAAAAACTCATATATAGATCATCTATCAGAACAGTGGTCATGTATCCATCTCATGGCAAAAACTAGCAAACTTGTTGATATAAGCTTATTAGTACTAATTAATTACTAAGCCAGTAAGAAATAGTAAACCAAAATTCTGAATATCCCAATGAACAGGTTTCATTTGCAATAGAAGACAAATCTACTCAACTTCATGAGTAAAAGTAAGAAATAGGCTCATTATTAATCAAAATCAATAAACCAAGCAAACTTGTTGGCATAAATTCAAAATAATAGTTGCCACAAACTTTAAAATGAACAGGTTTCTTTGGCTTTTCCACCAACAAGGACTTGTTTGGCGCTTCTGCATTTGGAAATATAAGCATATATTTTGTACCCCTTCAATGATGAAGAGTTATTAGTGGAGCAAATATACAAACACACAGATAGAATAGATAAGATAAGGTACTATTCAATGCTAGGAAAAAGGTCAAAAAATAGTATTACTATACAATAGATCTTCAATAACATAAAAGAGCTGAAAAACTATATCACTGCATTCACAAACAGAACATGCATACTTTGTTAATTGGCACTTGAAAAGATTTATATGAATAATATTCCAGGCTACAATAAACCAGTAGTCAAGTATTCGAATTCCAGACTCCCAGGACAGGAGGAAGAGGTCTGCGTTCAAATCCTTGGCACTCAAGTTTCTGATCTACCAAAAATTTTCAGGCCAAATTCATGCTCTCTTCAATTGACATTTTAAATTAAGGTAAAAACTATATCCACAAGATGGAATACAAAATAACATGCTATTTGTATGTCTGAATCTTAGATGCATCCTGTAACAAAATAGAAGAAACCGTATGGTTGTAGATTTAGTGGACATAAAAATAAATTTCTTTTGAAGTTGCAAAACTAGAGAAATGTCACCATTTCACATTGCTTATGTGTAATGAATATCAGATGTAGTTTAATTATACAATTTATGCCCACTTATTCGATGTACATAATTGCATACTTGTCATATCTACTTGAATTCTGTCTTTGAATAACGAAGATGGTTACGCCTAGTGGCCAAAAGTTTATCATTTGGCTCCTTCAGAAAATAAATGTTGGGACATGTTTGTATAAAATTCTCAATTTATGTTACATTTAACTACAATAATGTCGCAGAAATGAACTAGAAATGTCAACCAACATCCCATTCGAAGCATTGTAACTGATTTTGGGACAAATAAGTAGGTGTTGCAAAACAGTCTAAATCCTTACCCGGAAAATCAAACAATTTCTCATTTTCAGCATCACAATCAATGATGCTTTGCAAAATCAATGCTGCTGCTGGACTGCTACTAAGTTCCACTGGCATGGAGTTGATTAATTCCCTAACCTCATCCAACATGTTGGCACGAGTGTAGAGTTCAATCATGCAAGTGTAATGTTCTAAAACAGGCATAATACCGTAGCATTCTGTCATATACTTGAAATACCTAATACCCTCTTCTACATTAATCGTATGCACGCAAGCACATAAAACACCTACAAAAGTGATTGCATCTGGTTGCACATTTGCCTCCTCCATACGTGCAAAAAGAGCAAGCGCTTCCTTGCCAAAACCATGCACCCCTAAGCTAGTGATCATCGAATTCCAAGTTGCCAAACTCTTGATTTCCATTTTGTCAAACACTTGTTTTGCGTCCTCCAAACTACCACATTTACTATACATATCAATAAGAGCAGTCCCAAGGAAAACTCCAAGTTTGAACCCGTTTTTCAAGGCATACTCATGAATCCAACTACCTAACTGGAGACTCCCAAGTTCAGTGCATGCTTTTAGCAAGCCAACGAGTGTAAACTCATTAGGCCTCACATTATCGAGCTGCATTCTCCAAAACAATTCAAAAGCTTCCTGAGCTCGTTGATTCTTCACATACCCATTGATCATTGCTGTCCAAGAAACAACATTTTTCATTGGCATTTCGTCGAATGCTTTACGGGCAGCGTCTAATTCGCCGGAAGCAACAAGGCCAGCGACAAAAGTAGTCCACGAAACAACACTTCTAACACGCATTTTGTCAAACAACTTACGCCCATAATCAAAATCCCCACATTTGAAATAAAGATCCATTAGAGTATTATGCAAAAAGGTGTCTTTCCAAAATCCAGTTTTAATAGCAAACCCATGAATCTCTTTTCCTTTATCAAGAGCAGAAGAGGACAAGCAAGCTTTAACAACGAAAGGAAAAGTGAATTTATCAGGCGGAAATCCCCTGCAAATCATAAGATTGTAGAGAAAAAGAGCTTCTTGAGAGTTACCATTTTTGGTATAAGCTCTAATCATGAAATTCCATGTGAAGGTATGTGGGTTTTGAATTTGATGAAAAAGCAAGGTGGCATAATCAATTTCGCCATAACAGAAGCACAAGTGAAGCAATTTTCTAACAAGCAATTGATCATTAGAAAGGCCATTTCGAATGATCTTAGCATGTACAAGCTTGAGATGAGTGAAATTAGAGCAGTTTTGAAAAACGATTAGAGCTTCTTGAGAACCAAACTTTGGGTTATTGGAGTGACTTTGTATCTGAGAGCTCAGAAATGGAGTAGTTGTTGAGAGAGTATTGGCTGCACATGAAAGGCATGCAACCATTATAAGTTCTTCGATTCTGGGTTGGTCCTGGTGCAGCTGGAGGTTTTTTTTTTTTTTTTTTTTTTTTTTTGGTCCCCCTGGTGCAGCTGGAGGTTTTTTTTTTTTTTTTTTTTTTTCAAAAGATAACTCTTTGTGTCGTCTTCGTAGCAGTTTTTTTTTTTTTTTTTTTTTTCAAAGATAACCTTTGGTGTCGTCTCGTACAGAAATATTGAAATTCTATGCTTATTCTGGAAATTCTTGATAAAATTTGGCAATGGGACCGGCTAAGTGACCAAACCGAACCTCGTCTTTGTGATATGTGAGGTCATAATTCTTTCAGTCAAATGAAGCAGAGATTTTACGAGCTGATACGAGTGCTTCTAATTTTGTGGTTGCTGCGTTTGGATTTTTGACATCCAAACACCCTGGAATTTCCATGTATAAGAAAATGGCTAAATTCATAAATCTATCCTTTTACTTTAAAAAAAAAAAATACTAATTCAATATTTCAATTGATAAAAATTAAAAAATATGAAATTATTGTTATAAAATTTGTAATAAGCATACGCAAAATCAATATTTTATATATGAAAACAAAATATATATAAAAATTTATTACTGGTGCATAGAAGTGTGTAACGTTATTCAAATTTAAGGACTTTAAAAACATAATAGGAATATTGCAAAATTTAAGGCATCACGGGGTTATTTGCAAAGTTAAGAAATGATAAATTTTGGCATTTAATTAAACTTCGTTATTAAGATTGGAAACACATTCTCAAAAAATACATTTTGGAGGAAGTACACTTTCGACATGTAAATTAACTTTTTAGGAAGTAAATTGCTCTCAAATTAATAATGTTTATAATACAAATTTAAGTGTATATAGCTAATAGGATAAATCGATACTACCTCCGTTCCTAAATCACATTTGGAATTTCACATCCTTCAAAATAATCATTAAATTTATCTAAGTTATAATAAATTATTGAGTAAATTGACTATATTATTCTTAATTTAATATATTCAAACTCCAAAAATTTGAAAAATTGAAATGTTAATTAAACATGGAAAAAATATTATTACTCCTTAAAACAACAAATGTGACAAATATTTTGGAATATAGTATTTTCGTAAATTTAATAAAGTTTTTAGAAATTGATACAGTGAATTCATTCCGCTTAGCTAGAAAAGTTTTACTTTCCTGAAAATCCATAAGGAATTCACTTTCTCTATAGGAATTTGGATGATTTATTTGTGGGAAAATATACTTAATAATGCAAATTAAATATAAATATTTTATACACTTTATATCTCAAAAATAATAAGGGATCAAAGTCGTCCAATGAGATAATGAGAGATAAGTTTCATCGTTGAGAGAAAAACGGTCTGAATCGCCAATTAAGACTCTCAAATTATTACTAGGTGATAAAGGCGGTAGAAGCGATGAGATTTGCCTATTTTGAATAAAAGTAAACATTTTACTAAAGATAAAAATAAATTAATTGAATTCAAAATTTTTCCAATTAGAAGATTTAGCTTGTATGAATTTTGATATTAATAATGCGAGTTACTTCCGTCTCTAATTTACTTACCAAAAACATCATTTATTGATTAATATTTTCACTAGGGGTGACCACGGTTCCGGTTCCAAAAAAACTGGAACCGGAACCGAACCGAAAAGTTCCGGTTCTGATTTGGAACCGGACCGAAAAGTTCCGGTTCCGGTACGGTGACCAAACCGACGGTTCCAATTGGTTTTCCGGCGAATCCCATAACTTTAAATTTTAAATTTTGAAGACCGGTTTTAAAAAAATATATATTTGAACATAAAAAATTAAAAGATACACCTAAAAAATTAAAAAATACTTCAATTATTTGTAATGAAATTGTAAATGAAATGAGGTATTTATAATAAATCTAAAAAATCATTTTTCCAAAAATATCATTGAAACTAGCTGTTATGTAGCCGTTTATAGCTGTTCGGAGGGGTAATTAAGAGATTTCACAACAAAATTTAAAAAAAAAAAAACAAACCTGACAGTTTATAATGGCTAGACCGTCGGTTCGAACCGGTTCAAACTGGCGATTCTAACCGGACGGGAAACTGGCGGTTCCAGTCCGGTTCCGACTGGTTCTCTGGAACCGCCGGTTCCGATTCCAAATATTTAAAACCGGAACCGAACCGAAAATCTCCGGTTCCGGTTCGGGGAACCGGTGGTTCCAGTCCGGTTCCGACCGGTTCTCTGGAACCGCCGGTTCCGGTTCCAAAAATCTGGAACCGGAATCGAACCGAAAATCTCCGGTTCCAGTTCCAGTTCTCACCGATTTCGGTTACGGTTCCGGACCGGTTCGAGGTTCCGGTTCCGGGAACCGTAATATGGCCACCCCTAATTTTCACTATTAATATTTAAATTATGCTTTGCTCTTCATTCAACAAGGATAGATCTCACGTGCTAGGATACAAATTGACTTGTGAGTGAATAATAGAATAGTTTATTATTATTTAACTCCTAGTATGATATCCCACTAATATTAATTTTGGCGTTTGATTTCCAATTCATGAATTTAGAGCTAATTTTAATTTGAAAATTCGATACGCTTCTTTTGGAATTTGTTGGGATTCAATTTGTGAATTCTAAATTCCCAATTCGATTTTTTTTTATAGAAATAATAATAATAATAAACAAACAAAGTTGAAATTGTTTGATTCTTTTTTTTTATTATTATTTTAATTTTGACCATTTCCGAACCCAATCCAATTAAACAGCCGGATCACGGATCCTTACCCTCACATTACATGAATTGCCAAGTGGTCATGTCACGTGCTTTTGCCGTGAGTACTAGTCTAGCATTTTATTAAAATTACATCAACAAATCCCATCCAAAGAAACTCACGTGATGACCCACAATCAGAAGTTGTAATTTTCTATTTGGCAGTCTTTTTTTTGAATAAAGCAGCTTGCCAATGCAAGTTGCAAAATAGTTCATCAACTCCATTAATTTTGCAAGTAAATGCAATACTTTAGGAGGATGTGAATAAATTATAATCATACGCCGATGAAAGAGATAATTATCCATGAGTCCATGACCTAAAAATGGTAATTTGGTAAATTTATTAAAATAATGGATGTATTTAAAAACTCAATGAAGTGCGGATTTTAATCTAAAATATAAGAATTTGTTTGATTTAATTCTTTGTACCGGCTGATACCTAGCAATAGTTATTAGCGGCTAGTGGTAAATAGTGGTTTTTTTTTATCCACAAAAAGATTAAATTTTATTAATTTATAATATCCACCAAAAATTTATTTTATTCAAAAACTAACCCGAGCCAATAGATCTCTATAAACACCCAACCTAATTCGGATAACTTCAGTAAAAAAATTTGGTCAAAACATCAATACTCGCTTAAACTAAGAAAACTTGGCTAATAGCAGTTAATTGATGGATATTAGTGTTTAACAAAATTTTGATAAAACTTGATGTTAAGATATAAATGATCATTAATGATATAATTGGTTTTATATAATATCATGTATATGTTTTTTTTAATTTTTAAAGTGAAAACATTATTCTTTATTTTAATATTATATAAATAAAAATAGTAATTAAAATTTTAAAATCCCATTTACTAGAAATTTATTATTTTAAAATAATTATAAATGAGAAAATATTAATTTAAAAATAATCTTATTAGTAATTATTTTTTATGAGATTAATAATATGAGTCAACTATCATCTGACTTTTCAAATGCCTTTAAGGAAGGTGGGGAGGTGAAGAATTTCATATGCGTTTATTTAAAATCTTGACTTTTTTAATAATAAATGATAAATACTAAATCCAATGAGAGAGAAAATCAAAAGTGCAAGACTAACACGTAATCTTATTCAAATACAATTTATTAAATCTTATTCAAATATGCAAAACTAATCAAATCTAAGTTATACGCAAACTATAAAAATATAACTAAAGCTTACCTTATTGTTGGAAATCATAATCGACGCTTTACTTCTGGCCTCTCTTCCACAATTATCACAGTTGCAGTAGCGCAAGATGGCTGTGTAGCGTGAAGGTCGAATCTTGGTCGTTGGTTGATTAGGATGACAATGTAACGATGAGAAAGAGAGGAGGGATCACGTGATGATGTGGAGGATGAGAGAAAATGAGTTTTTATTTTTTTTTATACAGATTTTATTTTCCATTTAAAATGAATAATGGAAAAAAACAATTCTAACTCATCACATACGTAAATTAAGAATAGGAAAGACAATTCTAAAGAAAATTTTTTATTTATTTCTTAAAAATCTAATATTTATCTCAAATAAGGTAATTAGGCAAATTCAATTCAGTCTTCCTCTTCAGAGGATATTCCCTAAAACAAAAACTAGACGGATTTCCTCTCTGCCACTGCCTGCTGCCTACTGGCTCTGGTTCGCTCTGTTTTAACAACTTCATCCATTTCAATCTCCAATTATCCGATTAAAAAAAAAAAAAGAGACGGAAAAATTATGGGCGCAAGCAGTGATCCGAATCAAGACGGTTCGGATGAACAGCAGAAGAGATCGGAGATCTACACCTATGAAGCTCCATGGCACATCTACGCCATGAACTGGAGTGTCCGTCGTGACAAGAAGTACCGTTTAGCCATAGCTAGTCTCCTCGAACAGTACCCTAACCGAGTCGAGATTGTCCAGCTTGATGATTCAAATGGTGAGATCCGCTCCGACCCTAATCTCTCGTTCGAGCACCCGTACCCGCCTACTAAGATCATGTTTATTCCTGATAAGGAGTGCCAGAAGCCGGATTTGTTGGCGACCTCCAGTGACTTCCTCCGTGTATGGCGGATTGGGGAAGACCAGTCGCGTGTGGAGCTTAAAACCTTGCTTAATGGGAATAAAAGTAGCGAGTTTTGCGGACCGCTCACTTCCTTTGACTGGAACGAAGCTGAGCCGAAGCGTATTGGTACGTCTAGTATCGATACTACTTGCACGATTTGGGATATCGAGAGAGAGACCGTTGATACGCAGCTAATTGCTCATGATAAGGAGGTATACGACATAGCTTGGGGCGGCGTTGGTGTTTTCGCCTCCGTCTCCGCCGATGGCTCCGTTAGGGTTTTCGATCTTCGCGATAAGGAGCATTCTACTATTATTTATGAGAGTTCGGAACCGGATACTCCCTTGGTCCGGTTAGGATGGAACAAGCAGGATCCGAGGTATATGGCTACTATCATCATGGACAGCGCCAAGGTGGTGGTGTTGGATATCCGCTTCCCTACTCTACCTGTGGTGGAGTTGCAGAGGCACCACGCCAGTGTCAATGCTATTGCTTGGGCCCCACATAGCTCTTGCCATATCTGTACCGCCGGAGATGATTCTCAGGCTTTGATTTGGGATCTCTCCTCCATGGGACAGCCTGTTGAGGGCGGATTGGATCCTATATTGGCTTACACTGCTGGAGCTGAAATTGAGCAGCTGCAGTGGTCTTCTTCTCAGCCTGATTGGGTTGCTATTGCGTTCTCTACTAAGTTGCAGATTCTCAGGGTTTGACACTTGTTCAATTAATTCTTGTAGTATGAATCTACTTGCAGGAAATTCAATTTGTTAGGTGCCAAAGGTAAAACAAATGCTTGATACTTGATTTGTTCCTGCTACTGACTCTTGTTTGAACTTCTGATATTAAGATACTTATGATTAGTCTATCTTACTGTGCAAGATCATTAGCCTTCTTTGTTCTCTGATTGTGTCTCTTCTACTCTACAAAATAAGAAATTGCACTTAATTCTCAACAATAAAAAGGATCTCTTATAGCAAATTGTTCAAGCTCATTCCAATAGTTAAAATTTGATTGAAAAAAGATTCTGCACTAAAGAAAAAATATAGTTTAAGCAACAGTTATGGGCCCAATGCTAAGAGGATAAAGGGGAATAATTCTTGCTATTAAATTGCAACCCTCATAAGTAATTCCTTTCCTTGTGTGCAACACCTTGTGTTGTTACCCTTTACTTACAGAACTCACCTTAATTTTCGGGGAGCTATCTTCTTTCACTCATTTGCATTGGTTGAAGGCTTTTTTGCCATCATGGAAAACTTTTAATATGTCCATCTTCACATTCTATTGGGAATATGATATAATATCTGCAGTTTAAGTAATGCAATCATTTATTCATTAAATTACATAATTATATTTGTTTTTGTCATGCATTAATCTGGGGAAATGTTGTAGTTCCTTCCATGTCATTATTTAGAAATAGAATGCTACATATAGATTATACAATTGGGCTAAGCATTTGTGAGTTGGAAGAAAACAAATCAAAGTTGTTAGCCTTCTTCTTTTACTTGTTCTCTGATTTTGTCTCTTCTATTCTACAGAATAAGAAATTGCACTTAATTCTCAACAATAAAAAGGATCTCCTATAGCAAATTGTTCAAGCTCATTCCAATAGCAAAAATTTGATTGAAAAGATTCTGCATTAAAGAAAAAATATAGTTTAAGCAACCATTATGGCACCTAAGAAGATAAAGGGGAAGTGTTCTTGCTATTAAATTGCAACCCTCGTAAGCAATTCCTTTCATTGTGTGTAACACCTTGTGTTGTTACCCTTTACTTGCAGAACTCACTTTAATTTTTGCGGGAGCTATCTTCTTTCACTCATTTGCATTGGTTGAAGGCTGTTTTGCTGTAATAGGCACACAGACATTTAATAGAACCACCTTCAGATTCTATTGGGAATACGATGTGGTATCTGCAGTTTAAGTAATACAATTATTTATTCATTAAATTACATAATCATATTTGGTTTCATCATGCATTAATCTAGGAAAATGTTGTAGTTCCTTTCATGTCATTATTTAGAAATAGAATGCTACATGTAGATTATACAATTGGGCTAAGCATTTTTGAGTTGGAAGAAAACAAATCAAATTTTCACTTTTTGATATATGTGTGAGAGAGAGGGAGAGAGACAGATAGCCAGCATTACTGGTTGCTTCTCACCCCAAATTCTTACTGTCTGCTTGTTACTATATAAGTGTGACAAAAATATGTTGCTCCCAGTTAATTTACTGGAAGAGTAAAATTTGGTTTCAGTGCAGGGAGCCAGCTTCCTCTGTGGATTCTTGCAGTTAGAACTCCAATGCTTGGAATCTGTGAAATGCAGCTTTGGCTAAATCTTTGGTAAATAGCACTCACCTGAAGTGGAGTGCGTTGTTAGAGTCTCCCCTAGTCAGCAATTGCCTAGGTCTTATTTGGTTAGTCTCATGTTCCTGCCCTTTTTTGTGTGTTTGTGTGTAAGATATGGTAACATAAGCAGAATATTGATACGTCAATCAGAAATTTATATTTGTTTATCTGAAGGAGGGTAATTCTGGGAGTGCTCACTTTCTTATTTTGTGAGGTCAACTGGAAATATTATGTTGCTTTCCTATGGAGGGAATGGAGATTTTTCAAAGGAGACATGATTAGTTTGATGTTGGGTTCAACCATTCAAAGAAGGTGGAAGTAATTGACCAGTCCATTATTGCAGGTGAGGACTTGGTCAATGCTTCTTTTTTCCTTTTTTTTTTCTGCTTTCTCATGTTCCTGCCCTTTTTTGTGTGTTTGTGTGTAAGATATGGTAACATAAGCAGAATATTGATACGTCAATCAGAAATTTATATTTGTTTATCTGAAGGAGGGTAATTCTGGGAGTGCTCACTTTCTTATTTTGTGAGGTCAACTGGAAATATTATGTTGCTTTCCTATGGAGGGAATGGAGATTTTTCAAAGGAGACATGATTAGTTTGATGTTGGGTTCAACCATTCAAAGAAGGTGGAAGTAATTGACCAGTCCATTATTGCAGGTGAGGACTTGGTCAATGCTTCTTTTTTCCTTTTTTTTTTCTGCTTTCTGTGGGTGCGTAAATCGGTAAATATGTCTTTTTCATTGTGGTTGATATTTTTCCTCTTCTATTGTCAGTCTTATTTACATATGAGAATTGCTACCTGAAACTTTGGGATCAGAGGACTTTAGTTTGAATTCAGGTGTCATTTTGAATAAATGTTTTATTACTTAGTTGAATGGTACTAATGTGAGACACAATGTTGAGATAACAAAAGCATATAAGCAGATGATTCAAGTGTTGGTTGATTAAATTTGCAGTTGTGATTGGTGACTAATGATGGTGATGGAAGTTTGGAGTTGGTGCTATTATTAAAGCTTGATCCAATGGTTTTGGTTAGCCAGTACCATTACAAAGCATTTAGGAGCTGCTTTTTTCTTTTAAAAAAGAAAACTACAATGTGTATATTATAAGCTCATTCCTAATAGTGCTTTAGGAATAAGGCAGGTTAGATGTTGCCTAAACATTTATATTTTAGAATTTAATATTCCAAGTATTCTATTAACCTAATTTGTTTTTAAGTTTACCAAAGCAGATCATATACAATTATATTATACAGATCAAGTTTACCTAAACTTTTCTCATATAAGCACTAGGAAAGTGTGTGGACCGGATTGGGTTCGGGACTTAAACAATGAAGTTTCAGTAATTCAGTTTTGTGCCACTAGCTACATAGTTCCGTTTCATCAATAGGGACGAGAGCGAACGAAAATTTGAATATATAGTACAAAACAGGTCAAGGTGAGAATCGATTGGAATTTCATGTTTTTACCAAATTAATTTTTAACTAAAAATAAAATCAAATTCACATAAAGTTGTGCTCCCGTAAAATTCATTAATAGAAATTTATAAATAATAAATAAAATAATTTCGTTATTAATACGAAGTTCATAATAATAGAATGCGACGAATTTTAAGCACAGCAAGGCAAATTATTGTGCAAATAATTCTAAATACTCTCTACAATTTGATTTTATGTATATCTTATGAATTTTAAATTGTTAAACTTATAAATTAAATCTTAATTTATAGGTGTGTGTCTTCGATCGATAAAACTTAATAGTGCGGTTTGTTCATTCATTGATGTTATTGATACCTAGTGGTGAAACTCATCTGTATGTGTCATATGCAATAAGTTCTTGAAAAAACAATTCAAAGTATAGAAGTTTTAGTGAAGTTATTTTAGTATTCAAATGAATATAGATAATTTTTTAATTTGTTAAAAAAATTAGATACTATAAATTATAATAGTAAATTTTATGTCTCATCTATTTGTAATAATAGATATTATTATTAGTAAATTATATTTCTAAAAAAAGAAAAAAAAAAAGAATAACAAAGAGAAAATCTATGTTGAAAACTCTATTTGATTAATTAATCCATTTTATTTTTAGAAAAACATACACCATTTTGCTTCCCATTATTACTTTAATAAGTGATTAATATCATAAAAAAAAACTACAAATATAAGACTGAAATACATAATTTTAGATTCATAAAAAAAATAAATCTAAAATTTTAGATAAAAGAATGAGACAAGAATATTCAATTTTTGATATAGGAAAAGACGAGATAAAAATTGGATCAGCATAGATCGATTTTAATCAATGAACCATTCTTGTTCTAAAATTACTTTCAAGACAGCAATTCAAAGTAGGACAATTAAATTTATATCGAATTTTTCAGAATAAAAAATATGAAACAATTTTTGGTAATGGATGGAGATTCTTGTAGTTCCGTGTATTCCCTAATCATCCAAATAAATCTTTCGTGAAGAGTAATTTTTGGTACAATAGAAATTCTTAAACTAATTTGAAAAGTCAACTTTAATGAGAATTCAATTCAAGAAAAAAATATTTTGTCAAATTTTCATGTTTGAAGATAACGTAATTTATATAATTTTAAAGTAATAAAAAAGACATGTCATTTTAAGTTTATGGCTGTTAGAACTTGACTTAACTAGACTAGATGCATGGTCAAATTGCATCCATGTCATTATAATTTATATTATAGTCTCCTAAAGTTCTGTTTAAATTGTTGCAACTAAATAAATAACAATAATAAAATAAAATACTTAATAATAATTTACATGGTGTTTGGAATAATTTTTATGCTAAAATTCAATTAATTATTATTTAATACAATTTAATTGAATTTTGTAAATAGAGTTTCTAAATGGTGAGGAAAGGTGATTTGTAAGAATTTCAAAGCTTTAAACCAATATTCTCCATTCACTGGATTAAGAGAAGACGTTTAACATAAGACGTCTGTAAAATTAAGAGTTTAATCCATGAAAAAAACAATCATAGAAAAGTATAATCACGGACTTCAGATATGACCAAATCTTATTCATTTGTTTATTTCAGAATAAACAAGTTTAAGTCATTTAAGCAAAATGTATTGCAATTTGATCACATTCATTCCTCCTCCACTTGCCTAAGAGCACTTGGACTAGAAATAGAATTTGTTCCCAAGGGGATATCAATAGGAAATTACCAACTTCATTAATTAGAATTTAGCATTTGCTTCTCTAGTAAAGCAACCAATGAAGAAGTTACTTCAACATTGGAATGGTTGGGTCTAACTCTTTTAACTATAATAGTTTAATGCTCTTTATTCAACTAAATCACTTCCACTGTTTAGTAAAAAATGAGATGCTTAGAGCCATTGAAGATGTCAATTAAATCATAATAAGGAATCATTGACCGCCACTTGTAAATAAAATGCTCTAAAAGAGAGAATGGCATCAAGTTCACATTAATCCTTAACTCAAATCATTGTCCTTGTCATTAACTATTTGTTAATCAAAATTAGTCAAGTGTAGTTTCGTTTAATTATTCTTTCTAAGGACTTACGTGAAGTTAGTTTGGAGAGTGATCCAATAGTGTTTTCAAAATGGAAAAGATTAGGGTTTTCCAATAGTCAAGTGTAAAGAATTGAGAACCAAAAATCTTGAGGAGGGCAGAAGAAATCAGGGAAAGTAGAAGGACAAAGGAGAATAAAGGAAATCAAAGTACGTGATAAATAAATGAAAATTCTCAAAAAAAAAAAAAAAAAAAAAAAAAGGGTTTTCCAAATAGTCAAGTGTAAAGAATTGAGAACCAAAAAATCTTGAGGAGGGCAGAAAGAAAATCAGGGAAAGTAAGAAAGGACAAAGGAGAATAAAGGAAATCAAGTAACGGATAAATAAATGAAATTCTCAAAAAAAAAAAAAAAATAAAGTGATTTAGTAGCAGATAAAAAAAAAAAAAAAAAAAAAAAAAGTGATTTAGTACAGATGTGGCGATTAGTGAAAGTAAAAGGAGAGAAAACAAAAATAATCTGATATTGACAATTTTGTCCCTTTATTAAAGTGTTTTTTGGAACAAAAATTGTGTGCCATAAAAAGATATCAATCTTTTCTTTCAACTTTAAGCAATCAATTGGCAGAAGAAACTGATTTGCTAGTGTGATATGATCATCTACCGACCATTTGAATTGCTTAATGAAATTACATTTAAAATATTCTTCAAATCTTGTCGCTACAAGTAATTTAAATTTATTGTCAATCGATAGATTTTACTAATTAAAATAAGACAAATTAAAATTTTAATACGATCTTTCTCTTAATGAAAATTTCATTTATAATTTCTAATTCAGTAAAAGCTCGATTATTTTCTTACTTTTCAATTCCTTCAATCTCTCTCAAAATCAGAATTTTTGTTATTAAATTACAATCATTTGATGTCTTTACCTATTTTTCCTACCACATTATTTGTTAAAAGTAAAAGAATCTTTTCGTTTCATATTATTCAATTACAAAATATGAAAACCATTTTGAAATCCTTGCAAACCAAAATAAAAAAAGAAAAAAAAAACAAAGAAATCATATCTTTTTTTGTTCTTTCTTTTTTCATGAGTTACCCTTATTTAGTATAAGACTAATCTCGCTTCAGGATTTATGGTTGTCCTGAACTGAATTAGATTGCCAAGAATAAACTATTAGAGAAGTTCTAATAGAAATAGTCCATAATCCTAATTGTTAAGTAGACTACAAAAACACTGGTTACTCAACCCTACCCTTGAGAAAAGAATTACCTTTCCTGCAATTTTCACATAATATGACATCCCATTGTATTTTCATCGCTAAAATAATCCCCAACTTGGACGGCCGGAGTCTGAAACTGCGGTCGGAAAACCGGCCTTTCTTGATGGAAAATATATTCCTGTCCATAACAGGTTGGAGGCAGAGGAGTAACTGTATATGAAGGTAATGCATAATAAGGTATAGCAACTGCACAAGGCTCAACCTTGTAAGAATTCTGATTCCAAGTACTGGCATTACTCAAATCCTTAAACAAAGTTTGATTCTTTGTTTCACTGACTTGAGGATGTTCCGTCTTGATAATAACTTCAGGGTTTGAAGAATTAACATTGTTAATTGTCTCTTTCTGATCCTTCTTTAATTCTTTAACTTCGCCCCTATCTTTTGCTGCTTCTTTTTTATCTGTTGCCTTCTCTAATGAACCTGAGGATTTTTGTTGATTGCATTCAGATTTTGATTTTTCTTTCTCTTTTGTAACTGTAATTTCTGCTTCTTTCTTTTCTTTTCCAGCATTTTGACTCCACAATTCAGCTTGTTTTCCAGTTTTTAAGAGTCTTTTTATTAGAATTTGTGGATCCACATTTCCCAACACTGTAACTTTTGGTTGTAAAGGATCAATTTCAGTCTTTAAAACACCTGAAAAGTAAAAAGTAAAATAAAAAAATCATCAGAAAGTAACAAACCAACAAGACAATTTTAGGCAAACAGAAAATTTTCATTACCTTCAACACTCTGCAAAGTCTTTTTAACTTTCTTTTTGCAGCCATCGCAGCAGATGACAGACACCTTAAGTTCAATCTTCTGGAATTAATCAAGTGAAGATGCAACATTTAGTCGCGAAACAGAAAGAAAAGAAGGGGGAAAAAATGAAAAGAAGAACAACAAAAAAAATCCTGCAAGATTTTATGAGGAATCAGCACCTTTAAGTCTGCATCCTTAGACATATTTTCCTGACAAAAAAATTAGAAAAACTTGAACTCCAAACCTTGGAGAAAACAGAAAAGAGAGGGAAAGGAGACTTTTCTTGCAGTGATTTGTTGGAAGGTCAGGCTGTATTTATATACAGGCGGCAAATGTCTAAGTAGAGGGTCCATATAGGAATAATTTGAGTTCGTTTAATAGCCTTTTCTTATTTCTTTTGAGTATAATTATAAATAATAATTATATAAGTTTATGTCTGGTGTAGTTCCAACGCAAAAGCATCGAGTGCACAGCTTTCTCTGTAAGCAAAAAAAATTATACTCAAGTACTAAAGAAATGCTTTGCTGTCTCTTCCTGTAACATTTTTTAGCAGAGTGGTGTCTTAAAAACATAGGTTACACCTCCTTTAGGTACTTTAACTCTTCAACTATTTGGCTTGTTTGCCCATTAACAGTTTAGTTTTTGCCCACATATTACATATACTTCTTCCATGAGATTCTGTTAAGTAAAACCCTATTTGTCTTGTCTCTCAATAGTGATGACTTCAATCTCAAACTCTCGATGTTACAAGTAAAGTTTGCCAAAAAGATACAATCACTTCTATTGATCCAGTTGCCTTGTTATATTTAATTTAATCAGTTAAAAAATTTTATTGGGTTTGAAAATAAATTTGAAATAAGATTTTGTTGAAATTGCATATTTATTTTTTTTTTCTATTTCAATTATAAGATCAACATATGGATTGGAATCCTCTCAACTTCATTATATTGCAAGGCACCGTTAGGATTAATATTTAAAGAAATAGTAGATTTTTTAAGATAACTTTCCTCTCAACTTCATTATATTGCACTCTTTCCTATTTAGCACTCTTTCCTATTTTTTAAGATGTTTTTAGGCTTACCTCTTTCCTATTTAGCACTCTTGGTGTCAGCATACTAAATGAGAAATTACTTGTCTAGATCGAGTCTATAGCAAACACTGATGGATCAAACCAATTATAGAAAAGATTTTTCAAAAAGTATTCTGACTTTTTTTTTTTCCAGTGTACGGACAGAAATACACTGGTAAATAAGAAATTCAGCAAATCCGGAGAAGTTACACCAATCTAGTGAAGGCCTCGATGTATTCATACATAGAACTAAGCAAGAGGGGACGATTACTGCATCTTTCCAGCGGTTTTTGAAAAACTGCAAGAAAGGACCTGAAGCGAATCACGAAAGATGTCCCTCTGCTCCTGCCTAGGAGTCATGCTGATTTAGGCCTTTTGCTCAGCGTCTTAAGACTAGGCCACCGAATCTTACTCCCAAAACCTTATTTTCATTAGTTTGGTTCATGGGTGGAGTTGTGAACTCTGTTTAAGTGAAATTTTCTCAACTAAATGTTATATATTTTATAATCATTGAAAATTTTTATATAATAATTTTCTTACTTCTTAAGGTTACACAGAGGAGTGAAGTTATTATCAAAATTCTTCTTGATAAATTATACCAAATAATAATAATCTATATAATAATAAAAAACAAGTATGAGATCTTTGTGGAGTATCTTCTTTAGCTCTGTTAATTCATTTCCTTTAATAAGCCTAGAAATGACAACAAGGACCCCATATTCTGTCTAAATATTAATTAATTATTAAACCAATGATTAATCAATAATCACTTACTTTTAACTTTATTTTCACAAATTATAAGTCATACGTACAAATAAAGAGGAAAAAAAATTGGGGTAGTGCATGAGAGCCGTACACGTGGAAATATTGACCTAAAATATGGGGTGGAAAGATGAAGGGAACAGATGCAGTCCAAATTGAATATTTTGCTATACATGACTTATGAAAATCAATTTAAGACCCCATGATGTGAATAAATAATTAAAGATATGAGATTTGAGAGGCATTTTGTTGATTCCATATTTTATTAGGCATAGATTATGAAAATGAACATGCCTCTGCTCTAAATTCTTCTCACTGTTAAGTATAAATCAACTGCTTTGAATCATCGTATCAATGCATTAATTTATTATTTATAGGTCCCAATAACATAGTGGCTCAGTGCCTCTTTTATGTTTATTTTATTTAAGAGGTCGAAAGTGGTATAAATAAATTAAATGGTTTAATTATAATTTATAATTTGTTGTAATTATATCCCAATTTGAATTAAGTTATAGAATTTAAAATAAAAAATTATGAATTATAAATTATTTTCCTACCATTTTCATGATTAATAATTAAAGAAAAATAAAAGTGAATAGGCATTGATGTTCCACCAGCAAAAATTTATTTTTATAGAAAAGGGATAATATTGTGCGATATGTCTGGACTAACATGTATGTGTTTTCGGAACCTCTTCTTTTATGAAGATTCATTGCTTTTCAACTCTTCAAATATATATTTTTATTATTCATTATTCAATCTTGTCAAGGTTTCATATAGGTTGTCTTTGGAATATTCTGCTCATTTATTATTGTCTGTTTATTTCGAGTCTCTTTACCTCTAATCTTAAGGTTTTGAATTCTGACTTTTTTTTTTCAAAACAAAAAATTATACTTTACTATCGTAAAAAAATATTTTTACATTCAAAATTATACTTTACTAGTTAGAATTCATATTCAAGTTTATAATTTGCATTTTCAAAAAAAAAAAAAAAATCAAGTTTATAATAAACTCAAAATTGAAAATTAATTTACTTTTATTTTTAAAAATATTCTTTGCATTAATAATAATTTTAAAAGGTTAGAATGATGGATAATTTTGTCACAAAGTTTTGAATTGTTTATTTAAAAATTGCATCTTTTGGTAGAATAAGTATTTGATATGAGTATGATTTTTACTTAAATTTTCATTTTTATTTCTTTTCTACATATTTATATAATGGGGACTTAAAACTTATATATACTATCAAATACAAAAATGCATTAATTTCAGTCTAACAGTAACGAGATTTGCACACTAAGGCTATGTCTTAGTAAGTTCATATATGACTTGACAATAGATTTAGGTTCGGGTCTAACAGTCTAACAGCAATTAATAAGATTTGAATTTTCATATCATACAATAGATATATCCTTCTTAAAATTAAGATTAAATTCTCTTAATATTTTATTATATATCGACTTCGAAAAAAAAATACATTTGAAAATTAATGAATGTGATGTGAGGACATGGTTATGATTTTATTGGGAGAAATTGGAAGGTGGTATGCAATAAAGGATCATGTTAAGCCAAACAAAAATAGGCCATCCATCCTATATATTTGTTATCCAAAATTCAAAATCTTCCGTAGAAGTGAACATGTGATTGCTAGATAGCTAATACCAATACGATCCCGTTTGGGAGGCTCAAATTCAAAGCGCTTCTACAGTAGATGGTCTTTCAATTCATACCCACAAAACTTTAACGCAAAAATTGATTTCCTGACCTACTTCAAATGATCAAAAGTCTAAGGCCCAAAAACTTAAAATAAAACAAGATATAATTTCATTCTAACTTCCACTTTTTTCAATTTAAATTTTAGTTCGACCCTAATTTAAAATTAACGGTTTAGTTTCATGATTTTTTAACCGTAATTCAAATTTATAATCTCATAACTAGAGTCTGTCGTAGTAATTTTAGTTCAATTCAAATTTGCAATTAATAGATTAAATTTGTGATTTTTTAATTGGTTCACTACAATTACACATCAAGTCATAGTCTCGTGATAAGTGCATATACAATCCAGGTTCGAATCTCTCTTTCCCAGTATTAAAAAAAAAAAAAATCAGTTCAATTACAATTCTAAGGGTTAATTATAATTAAAGGTAGATAGATGAGTTTACAGATGGAGAGAGAGTATATACCCATAACAAAATTCCATGATGTAACATAAGAAGAAAGGTTGGGAGACCGAAACACAAAGCAAAACCACAGCCATTCGTTGAATGAGAGGCTATCCAAAATCTGATCCTCTCTTATTTCAAGTCATCTCTCAATAACACTTACCCACCACTTAAACTAACTTCCTCTGCTATACCTATTACTACATTACTACAGAAATTTTCTTGTTTCTGTAGAACCTGCACTATGGCTTCGGCTACTCTCTCTGTAGCCAAACCATCCCTTCAGGTTCACTTCTCTTCTTCTTCTTCTTCTTCTTTTTTATGTATCACATTCACATGTATACAAGAGAGCTAAAGCACTTGTTTTTGTTTTTATATTTCAGGGAAATGGAAAGGGATTCCAAGAATTCTCAGGTCTCCGCAACTCATCAGCTTTCCTTCCCTTTGCCAAGAAAACATCTGATGACTTTCTCTCTGTTGTTGCTTTCCAGACTTCTGCTGTGAGTTTTTCCTTCCCTATTGAATAAAATAATTAAATTTACGACAGTGTCTATATTTAAAGTACTAATCAAGCATTGGAGTCCCTCTTCTGCATATATATATAATCAAGCATTGGAGTCCCTCTTCTGCATATATATATATATATATATATATATCTATACCAGTTGTTATACTCTATATATATATATATACCAGTTGTTATACTATAGCATAAACATTGAATTGATCATTGCTAATTTAGTTTACTTTTGAAATGGAATGGAAATGTAATCTCATTCCAAAAGTTACATTCAGTTCCTAATTCATAGAAATCCAAATGTGACATTAATTAGCTACTGTGAATTTGGGTACACTATTGGTAGAATAATGGGTGAACAGCTCAAAAATTATAGGTGTTACTAGATACTGCTCGAGAAAGTTAATTTTAGAATGAAAAATTCCATACTTTTAGGTGATGATCTTTTTTTTTTTTTTTTTTTTTTTTTTTTTTTTTTTTAAGAAAACAGAATTTCTGACTGTGAAGGTTGGAAGCAAACAATGGTGGGTACACGGAAAATTTTTTTTTTTTTTTTTTTTTTTTTTAAGAAAAGAATTTTGACTGTGAAGGTTGGAAGCAACAATGGTGGGTACAGGAAAACTGCAGCAGAGGCCAAGCTAAAAGTAGCCATAAATGGATTTGGAAGGATTGGAAGGAACTTCTTGAGATGTTGGCATGGGCGCAAGGATTCTCCTTTGGATGTGATTGCCATTAACGACACTGGAGGTGTTAAGCAAGCCTCTCATCTCCTCAAGTATGACTCTACACTTGGCATCTTTGAAGCTGATGTTAAGCCTGTTGGTGACAATGGCATTTCTGTTGATGGAAAGGTCATTAAGGTTGTTTCCGACCGTAACCCCGTCAACCTTCCATGGGGGTAAGCTAATTAATAAGCCAAAACCCATTCTATTATTTTGGTTATATAATAATGTAGTGATATAACGAGTATTGGAATGTGTTATGTAGGGAGTTGGGGATTGACTTGGTGATTGAAGGGACTGGAGTTTTTGTTGATAGAGATGGTGCAGGGAAACACATTCAGGCTGGAGCCAAGAAGGTTCTAATTACAGCTCCTGGAAAGGGTGATATCCCAACTTATGTTGTTGGGGTAAATGCTGATGCTTACAATCCTGCTGAGCCTATCATCAGCAACGCTTCTTGCACTACTAATTGTCTTGCTCCCTTCGTCAAGGTCCTTGACCAGAAATTTGGTAAGAATATATCAATATTAGGCTCTTAGAACTAGTTTTTTCAAGTTCTTTTTGCAATAGAATGACAACTATATATAATTGGGTGGATGCAGGGATCATCAAGGGAACCATGACAACCACTCACTCATACACCGGTGACCAAAGGCTACTCGACGCCAGCCACCGTGACTTGAGGCGTGCAAGAGCTGCTGCCCTTAACATAGTTCCAACTTCAACCGGAGCAGCAAAGGCAGTTGCACTTGTACTTCCAACTCTCAAGGGTAAACTAAATGGCATTGCATTGCGTGTTCCAACACCAAACGTCTCGGTGGTTGATCTTGTCGTTCAGGTATCCAAAAAAACCTTTGCTGAAGAGGTAAATGCAGCGTTCAGAGAAAGTGCAGACAAGGAGCTGAAGGGTATTCTATCAGTATGCGATGAGCCACTTGTTTCAGTTGACTTCAGGTGCACAGATGTTTCATCAACAGTTGACTCATCCTTAACAATGGTGATGGGAGATGATATGGTGAAGGTGATTGCTTGGTATGATAATGAATGGGGATATTCTCAAAGGGTTGTTGATTTGGCTGACATTGTTGCCAATAACTGGAAGTAGAGAGATGTTTCTGCAATAATATGTGATTTTCTGATTTTTGTGTACCTCGATCATAATTTCTAGTTGGGTTTTTGGATTTCTCTTTTTGTTAACATTTGTATAATTATATCATTATGGAACCATTTCGGCCTCTTCATTTCTGTTGTGCAATGAGCATGAACAATTTGTATGAATTTCAAAAAATCCTGTTCACAAATAATTTGAGATAATCTAAATCTTGCTCTTCTTTTTTATTTATTTATAATTTTTTACATTTATTTTTCTTGAATTACAAGATTTCTAAGCTTAAAATATATTGGTGAGCTTCAGAAATGGAAAAAAAATTAGTCTTTGTTCTAAGCGTTTGAAATAGCATTTAATGTTTTGATTAGATCAAAACACTATAACGTTTTATAATTTTTTCACGGTACATATACTCATCGCTTGTTTTTACCTTGTTTTCTACTTTTATACTTTTTTTATCGTTTTATATTAAACAACTAATTAAAAACAGTATTTGTACTAAATACTTTTATTTTAAATCTTTATATAAACAACTAACTATTGATAATATCTAACGACTAATAGAATAACTAAAATTGCCCATCAGACCCTTATGAAAAATGAAAATATCTTCTGCCAACATGATTGTCATTTGAAATAACTTATTTTTTATTAGTGTTTGGTTCCTTTTCTTTTTCCCAAGTAAAAAGCCATTCATACATTTTTTAAAAAAATATAAATCATTAATAATAATATCAAGAATTACAAATACCCATATAGATTTGCCTATTTATGAACTATTTATGTATATGATCTATTTTCTATTTTTTGATTGAACTAAATCATATTAGTAATTTGATTTTTTAATTTCACTTTGTAGATAATAAACATCTCTAACTTTAAAATTTTAAGAAATTATAACTAATCAAATTATTTACTCAATTAATCATGCGTTAATTTGAATTTTTTTCCTTTTAATTAATATAAAAATGAAATTAATGTTTTGTCAATTTTGATATAAAAATAAGTGAAAAATAAGATATAACTTCAGAAAATTTATAAAAATTGAGGCAAACTGATATATTAGGCCAAATTTAAGTGGGTAATGAGAAATTTTTGTATCCAAGGGTGGATGTGGTGCGCAATGCGCCGTGTGCAAAATCCGAAAGCCTAATCAGAAACACACAAAAATAGCAGCAGTGTAAGCCAACGCCAACTACAATGGCGGCCACCGCAACTGCGGCTGCTGCTGCAAGAACCGTCCTCTACTCCTCACAATCCCATTTAAAACTCTTCTCATTTCCATTTTCTATTTCTCTTTCTACTAAATTACCAATCTCCTTAAACCCAAATCTCTTGAAAAAAAATCTCATATTCTTTTCCTCTCTCCCTCCTGTTAGATGCCTGCATTCCCCAACCCATCAAGCCTCCACCACGCAAATCCAAGAAGCAATACGCCATCCCAACGTCGTCGATATTCTAGAAGAAAGGGGATTGCTTGAATCCTTAACCAGCGACAATCTCAGGTCAATTTCTTCTACTTCTAATAATGTTAGGGTTTACTGTGGTTTTGACCCAACAGCAGAGAGCTTGCATTTGGGTAACCTTCTTGGTATAATTGTTCTTTCTTGGTTTCAAAGATGTGGCCATAAAGCTGTCGCCTTGATTGGTGGCGCCACCGCTAGAATCGGTGACCCATCTGGTAAAAGCCTGGAAAGGCCGGAGCTTGATGTTGATACTTTGGAAAAGAATACAATTGGGATTAGTAATACTTTAACTAGAATATTTAATATGAATATGAATTTGAATAACCAAGTTGTAATTATGAATAATTATGATTGGTGGAAAGAGGTTAAGTTATTGGATTTTTTGAAACAAGTAGGGAAATATGCTCGAGTGGGTTCTATGATTTCTAAGGAGAGCGTAAAGAAGAGGCTTGAATCTGAACAAGGAATGAGTTATACTGAGTTCACTTATCAGCTTTTGCAAGGTTATGACTTTCTTTACCTTTTTGAAAATGAGGGTGTTAATGTTCAGATTGGAGGGAGTGACCAATGGGGTAATATAACTGCTGGGACTGAACTTATTCGAAAAATTCTGCAGCCAGATGGTGGAACTGAGGCCTATGGCTTGACATTTCCTCTTCTATTGAAGAGTGATGGCATCAAATTTGGCAAGTCAGAGGATGGTGCCATTTGGCTTTCTCCATCCTTTTTATCTCCATATAAGTTTTATCAGTACTTTTTCTCTGTCCCAGATGCTGATGTTATTAGGTTTCTCAAGATACTTACTTTCTTGGACTTGAATGAGATTGATGAGTTGGAGAGGGAAATGAAGAAACCTGGTTATGTACCCAACAAGGCTCAGCGTAGGCTTGCTGAGGAAGTAACACGTTTTGTTCATGGCGAAGATGGACTCAGCGAGGCTCTCAAGGCCACTGAGGCATTGAGACCTGGAGCTGAAACTAAGTTGGACTGGAAAACCATTGAGGGCATTGCTGAGGATGTTCCTTCCTGCTCTTTGGCTTATGACCAGGTTCTCAATCTTTCCCTTGTTGACCTGTCGGTTTCTGCTGGCTTGCTTGAGAGCAAATCAGCTGCTCGCCGCCTGTTGAAGCAAGGGGGTCTTTACTTGAATAACAGCAGAGTTGATAGTGAAAGTAAGAGAGTTGAGGCCGAAGATATTGTGGATGGGAAAGTTCTCCTTTTATCTGCTGGCAAGAAGAACAAGGTCGTTGTACGAATATCTTGATTGCTTATGTTGCACATATTTAGTGATTTACTGGAAATTATTTCTAAATCTTGTGAATTCCTTACTGCATTTAAAAGTAATGAATTTCAGAGAAAGAAGTCCACTTCAGATTTTATTTCTGATGATTACAAAGTTTTGCACTACTGTATTAGCACTTTTGTGAGATCATGTTGAACAATGTTCTTAGGCCTGTCAACATATGGGCTAAACTCAGTATTGCCCTGCAAAATAGTTCTCATCATTCACTCTTTTATTATTATTATTATTATTATTATTATTGTAGCTTGTAACTACAGAAAATAAGAAAGATCCATCTAAGTTACTGGATGGTTTGTCGGTTAGATTAGATTGGATATCAGAAAGCTGGAGTGTCGGTAATAGAGGGATTGGATTAGATATTGAAAAGCGCATCTTTTTGTACTCTATCAGCTTCAGATGATTACAAAGATGGTGATGAGATTTTATTGATTAAATTCTTAATCTTCAGGTTTATATCTTAATTGTCAAAAAGATTTGGTCATTACTTATATAATGTAAGAGTCTCCTTTTTCTATCTGATATAATCCAGTGATATTAATCCTTCCTTTTGATTCAATCTGGGGCAGATACTTCTTTGGTTCACCGATTCTTACTAGATCAAATGCATTCTTTGGCTTTTCATTTGCAATTTTCCCATTTTTGTGTGAAGATGGAAAGCTATTGTGTTTAGGAACACTCTAGCTTTTACAAATAGATTCGGAGTATATGATGTCTTACAAAAGATTGACATGATAGCTATGAACATGTGATTTTCTATCTCTAACTTATTTAACGATACAAATTCCTATTTAGTTTCTTGTATTTTTTTTCCCCCTTTTTATGATTATCGGTATCTATTTTTGTGACCTGAAGTATTAAACAGTTCAGTTTAACATCGATACAGAGAGAAAGAGAAGTCTTTTCAAATGAGATTGTTTTTGCAGGTTTTTCTATTAAATACCTGAAAAAAGTTCTTTTATTTTTTATTTATTCAAACCGATCAAATATTAATATTTTGAATCATTATGTAGTTAGATCAGCATCAGTTCTTTTAAAACCTGAATTCATTATTATTGAAAAGGTTTTACCTCAATACTGTACCATGGTCACCATAGCTCAAACATAGAGGCACATGTACTAACAAAAAAATAATACTAAAATTCTCAACTTCACACTCAGCTCCCACCCTTTTCATAGAATAGTTTTCTCTGTTTCTTTTTTCACTAGTCCAATCAGTTAAACAATAGCAGTTCACATCTTATTTAAAAACTCAGTTTGTCAAAGTTTTCTTTAATTAAACCCAAAAAATAATATTTGCATAACTATAAATTTTTAATGAACATTTTTTTTTTTTTTTTGGTTCTGTAACAGAAGGCATTCGCTATTTTGTTCTTTATACGTTTATAGAGACAGAGACAAATTAATATGGACATATTTAATTATTGGTTAACCGTATCTTAGTAAAAATTCACCAATCTTTCCAATTGACTGCTGGAGGATTAGAACATTCGCCTGACAAGTAGCAGCCCTTGAACTACTGTTGTGTCCATTTCTTTATCCTTTTTGCTCTTGTAAGTTGTTTGGAATTTTTTTTTTTTTTATTTCCTGCATTCGACCTCATAAAGAAATAACACTTTAACCCGACAGGAAAAGAATACGAATAATAAGAATAATTCATAAAGACGCTTGGTAAGTGATCCCATTGGTGCCAAAATTCCAACTTTATGAACTGCATTGTGTTCTTCATCAGAAGGGAACCTTTACCACCTATGAGCCACAACTAACCAAGAGCTACTCCTGCAAGTATGCCTCCTAACATGATGTTGGTGGTGGTGTGCCCACTCAAGTGGGACCCACACAGTTTGAAAAGAAAAAAAATTAATAATAAAGAGAAAAAAAAAACGTACTGTTTGAAAAAGCAAAAGGTTGGTTGCCAACCATTTAAAGGTCGGTAACCAATTACGAAATTAATGGAGAGCCGTGTGTAAAAAACACACGACTCTCTCATTCCCTCTCTTATAAATAGGAGAGGATGTTTCTCAGTTTAACACGCCTCTCTCATTCCCTCTCTTATAAATAGGAGATGGCATGTTTTCTCAGTTTATGATGTACCAACAATACAGTGAGAGACTATTAAGAGAGCCACAGATTAACGAATAATTCTGTGAGAATATTTGGAAGTTTATTTTAGTTTAAAGAAGGGTTCTTAAACTAAGGGTTTAGGAAATATATGTAAATGATTATTGGTGTGTTTTTGGTGACACACTTTTGTGAGTGCCATATTTTTTGTATTAACTCTCATTGGTAGCCTTATTATTGTTTGTAATAGTTAGAGATTTATTCGGAGTTGGTCCCGTGGACTCGTAAGCCCTAAAACAGTTGAGGGTGAATTCCAGTAAATTTCCTGTGTGTCCTCATTTTTTAATTTTTTCGCGCTTGCTTAATTATTTCTTGTTAAATTTTATCTGGCCTCGGTATCCTAACACGTGAAATGCAAGCAAATTTAATACCCATAAGCATTTTGCTCCAGGTCCCTCAGCAAAACCACGAAAGTAAAAGACCAAAAAATAAATAGTTTTCCAAAAAAAAATCTCTAAAATCTTAAGTGACTTTATTAGTCATGATTTAATTTCATGAACTGACTCCTGGTAAACCTGTGGGTGCTTGCTGTGAAGGACACTACATATGTAAGATAACCATAAGTTAGTCCGTCCAAACAGATAACCATTAAAACGCTTGGATAATAAGTAGAAAACTCGAAAGATTTGCATATCATTAAATGCCCCTTCCTGGAATATCCAATTTCAAGGATTTATGGGGAAATATATCTTTCCTATGAGTTTTCCAAATATTGTCACATTGCATAAACAGTTGAGGGTGAACCACGTAAATTTCTGTGTGTCCCATTTTTAATTTTTCCGCTGCTTAATTATTCTCGTAATTTTATTGCCGGTATCCTAACACGTGAATGCCACAAGCAAATTACCCAAAGCATTTTGCTCAGGTCCCAGCAAAACCACGAAAGAAAAGACGAAAAATATCAATAGATTTCCAAAAAAAATCTCAAAATCTAAGATTTATTAGATCATGATATAATTATGAACTGACCCTGTAACCTGTGGGTGCTGCTGTAAGGACACACATAGTAAGATAACCATAAGTTAGTCCCAAAACAGATAACCATAAAACGCTGGAATAAGTAGAAAACTCGAAAGATTTGCAATCATTATGCCCCTTCTGGACTCCAATTTCAAGGATTCTATTAGGGGAATATATCTTCCTATGAGTTCCCAAATATTGTACATTGCAATCAGAACTAGAGCATACCTGAAAGGCCACCGTTCACTAAATTATTGTTAATCCGTGTCTAATAGTTCACCTTTCTAGCATTGTAAACTTACACTTACCATTCACCTAACTTGTGTTCACCAGTATTTTCATATAAGAATCCGGGAAATATTGCCAATGTAAGTACATGTATCAGGACCAGATCAACTGCGTAATCAATGTTTTGGAAAAATAATTCTTTCTTGCTCAATCGTTCAAGCTGTCTGGGACCATTTTCACCCTGCCAAAAAAAAAGAGCAAAACAATTATATAAGATTTTAGTATTTCACCGTGAATCATTTATAAAATTATAAAAGTTATATATCCTTGTAAGCTTTAAAACATGCACAATATCAAAAGGATATTGCATTACGTGTTGGATTGCTGATGTTTGGATTCCGGCAGCTGCAAGATCAGCTGAAACAGTTGTTGATCCTTCTGCTGCTGCTTTGGCATGGTAATACTTCACTGTCGGCAGTTTCGGGAAGTATAGTGCATATAGCAGAACACACACAAATTTCAGGAAAGTGGAGAGTGCAAAAAATATAACTATAAAATTCAAATATGAAACATCAATAAATTAAAAAGTTTGTCTAAATTTTAGAGGTGGAAAAGTCACTTACTAGCACCCTTTCGAAGCCCATTATTAGCCTTGCAAAAGCTGCTTTTGTGATTAGCTTCAAAACGGAGGTTAATGCTCCTGCTGCAGCAAACCCAGCAAGATAGGACTGATATGAAGTACAATATCAGGATCCCAAGTTGTATTGAAAATCCAAGAGAATTGTAAAGAATTGCAAGAACTGACTTGGACAAACTCAGGGCACATAAGAGACAAGTCTCCAACCGCTCCAACTTGAACAAGGGCAGTTGAAATTCCAATAAAGGCAACTATAGCACATATGCCAATGTAAGGTCCCATTCCTCCTTTCCCTGATGTAGCCAAGTCCAACTGTAGAAGCAAAATGAAACCAAATTACTCGAATGGTGAGTGGCTATTCAAAGTGGATGAAATGTATTTACAGGATTAACAGTATACTTACAACCAACAGCATCAAATTACTTGCAGTGAAGAGTATATAACCAGCTAAGATTCTTTTTCTGGTGTTGATCTTTGACTCGTTATATGCTAGTAATGCCATTGTCACAATTGCAAATGATTGACAAACAAGGACAGGTACCCTTGATGGATGGCAACTCTTTGAACAAGAAAAAAATAGCATATCAAATACTAAAAAAAATAAATGTTAGCCCTTCATTTGGAAATTGACGTAGCTCTTTGTACACAGTTTCTGAGCAAGAAATATTAGCTAATTACCGGGAATACTTGGTAATAGTAATCTCCTATGGTTAGGATACTGTTCCACGAGACAAGGGTCCCAATTCCCAGAATGAAACAAATAAACATTGCTTTATATTTTCCCTGCAAAGTGAATACTATTTCACTTAGTTACTTCCTAAATTAAACAAAATTAAACAATGAAACAAAGTATGAAGACAAACCTCAAGCCTTGATGGAGAAGCCCCATTTCCATTAGACGGGAGTCATGACTACTGCCTACAAAAAACTTACAAGCCAACCATAAATCATATTAAAACTGGGATTTTTAAAAAGGAAAATATGAAAAGAGGAGATGTGATTGTATAAAATTTATGAAGCAACAAACAAAAAATATCAAATTTATAAATACTCTCGACAGTAACTGTTGATGGCCGATTGAAAAGGAAAATATTTGCTGTTTTTAAAATGTCTGAGAGAAATTATTTAGCCTGCGAACAAATTTTATAGGGAGGGATTAGTATTAGTTTATTAGGGTTAAGATACTCTCGACCAATATAATCCAATGTAAAATATAGAGTAGAACCAGGTTGTTTGTTTGGGCTGAACGACGGGTTGTCTATGAGGGGAAGAAATAAAATAATAATAATAACGTAAAAAGAAAATTCTCATGGGTTGGTCTAGATATTCAAAAGCTGTGACTCTGTAGTTTTATCGGCTTAGGACGATTACAGAGATGGCAAACGACATTTTATTGATTAAATTCTTAATCTGTTTAGGTATATGTATTAATTGTCAAGAGGATTTGGTCTTCAGTTTATCACGAAAGCATCTCCAGTTCCCTCTTATATAATCCTGAGGATTAGATCGATTCTTTGTTTAGATAACATGATTCTCTCTATCTTTGCCCGATTTTAAACATGCCAATTCCTATTCAGTTTCTTGTATCTTTTTCTCTTTTTCATTCCTTTTTTACATGTTTTTTTGTTTTACTACTAAGGTATCCTTGGACAGTTTAAGAAGAGATTAATCCCTTGCGATTATATTAAATTGTGCATTCTATAACTTCATTTTGCGATCACCAGAATGGATCTAATGCACTTAAACCATTAAACTCACAACTCCATCCTGCAATCACTAAAATGAGTTAGTGTGTCTTTAACTATTAGACCAAACTATCTTTAATATATTATAACTAAGTGGTAATCGGCAATTAACGCGGTTGTATAATATTTATGTTTTTAATTTCAAGTGTAAGATAGTGTCTTGAGTAGAATGCAAAACTTCATTTTGTTAGGAAGAAGTGACTGCAAAAATTATTACAAATTTAAGTAGACTTATAGAATAATTTAAGTACTTGATTTCTGTTTTTTTAAAGAGATTTAACACTGAGAATATGTAACTAGAGAAACATATTAAAATGTATCATTATTGCATAAAACAGATTTAGATCATCTTTTATTGCACACACTTCAATATCTGTAAAAGTAAATAAAAAAACCTAAAATTAGCAAAATATAAAATGATAATGAAATTGAAAAAAATAAAACTAAGCAAACAAAACAATAAAAAACCACAGTGTTGTTCTGACGAAGTAAACCACCAAATTAAAATTTCAAACAAATTAGAAATAAATTTTGAAATTTTGAAAAAAAAGAAAACTAGAATAGTGAAAAAGAAAAAGAATCTTAAACTTTTTTCTTTATATGTACTATATATAAATATCGAAAATTTTAATTTGCTAACATTTATATATAAGCCAAAACCATTAATTCCAGCTCATCAACCAATAGAAACTTCATGATCCTCCTTTATAATGATATAACCATGTCTTACTGTACTTGTTATCAATTTTTGTTACTTGAAATATTAAATACAATTTTCTGTTTCATAATAATAACTATTATAATTCAGTTTATTTTGTATGCAGAAGCAGAAACTAAGAAAAGTCTTTAAATGGTATGATTTTTTGCAGGTTTTTATACATTTCAAAAGCTAACTTATTTTGGCTTCTTCAAGAACATGGTAAGTGACGTTCTTGAACTTTACTTGTCTTGATATGCTGACCATATCTTTTTCGAAATAATGCCATTTCTTGAAGTTCATATTGGCCAAAACACAAAGTAACCCCCACTTGTAGGTCATATGAACCTAAATAGAATAAGGTTATTATTCACTGAACATTGTTGTTTTCTCCTTTTTGGGCTGACACAAGATGAGGGTCAGCTCAGTAATTACATCTTTTAGATCTCTCATTTTCTGGGTGCCTCATAATGATACATATCCTTGGATTCTGCTGCTATAAAGACTTTCTTGCAAATAACTCTTAGATCTACTTCTCTAATTCTAAATCTGCCCCCCATCATCCTGACAACTGTTCACTTGTCTGTATAAAGATTTAGCTTTGCTTTTCTTATATTATTACTTGCAGCATCTTTGAATCAGTTAAAATGATGGCAGATCTAGCAAGTTGATGATGTATGTTTTATGATCCCTATGTTGGAGATGTAATAGAATCAGCTGTAAATTTTATTTCTGGATGTTGAATTTTTTTTAATCAAAGAGTATATTGAAAATATTAATTAAGAATCATTAAATTTTATTTTAAAAATAAATTAGTCATAAAATTTTCAAGTTAGCACTCCAGACACAATATCTAAAAATCTGTTTTTGCAGAAAAAGTTTCAATTTTAATGTCAAACAGATTCTTGAAATTTTCATTATCAGGTTTGCGGCTTGAGTGTTGATGTGAGTTGCAGTGGGTTAGGAGGGTTTGCTAGGAAAAGGCAGCTCTAGTACCTTAGAAATATTTTTATTTCCATTATTAACTTTCAGTTTAAACATAATTGCTTGATTCCTTTTTTTTCTTATTAATTAAATGGTTGATTGAGTTATAATTAAATCTTGCTTGTATTGAATTGAGCCGCTAAACGTTTTCGGTGGATATTCTTTTGCATCCATAATGATTCAATTCTCGATCTCATTTAAAAAAAAAAAAATTGTTCAACCACTCATTCTAACGTGCAGGATTCATCTTTTATGATATTCACTAGCCTTGGCTCTGCCCACTTAACAAACCTCACATGATCTTATTTTTTAATTCATGTGGTTTGACCACTATAGACAACCCTTGAAATTTGTATTGTTGTTTTCTAGCGCAACTCTCAGAACAACAGCACATGCACAAGTGCATAGAGATTAGTGTGTCTTAAGTTGAAGCTCTTTTATCTTATCCAGAAAAGAAGCGGGTAGAGTAATTAAAATCCACAGATTTAAAAACCCTAAATCAAGTTAACAAATACCCATGAATGAGATCTAAGTGATTAAACAAATACCATTTTATATCAATTTACTACACTCCATTTCATATTAATCCATTCAAGGACAAGCATTAACATACAATCAAATAGCAGCACTATGGTATAACAATTTGAATGAAGAAGAATACTAATTTAAAGCACATGCACACTCCGCTGATACATATACCGGTATAGGTAAGTATTTTCCTTAAATGTCACGATCGCGCGCGCATTCTGGGGCGCTTGTAGGAAAACGGGTACGGTCGGTACAGTAATTGTAAATAGTATATTTTTGGCGAATCCAACTGAGTCTTCGGTACTGTGCAGCGTCAAGATCTTGGAATTCTCTCTGATCCCACCATCGTTTGCCTTGTGTATCACAGAACTTGGCATTCACCGAGGCCTCGCAACCGTCTATATGGAACCCTTTGTAGGAAGCTATAAAGGGAGCCTTGGACCAATCTGTCTTCTCCAAACCTCCCCTAGTTGCCCAATCATCTGCGTTCCACAGGCTTGAGTATAACTTCATTGGTTGATCAAATGGAAACCTCACTCCTAAATCTTTGCAGTTCTTGAAAACCCTAATTGGAACATCATCCACAAAGAACCTGGTGGAAGAAAAAAATGTAGAAAGGACAAAAATTAGTACAGTATTCTAATCCATATTGGTTAATTAGGCTCTAACTAAAGAAGAAATGTTGGGACTTACACAATCTGATACATGTTCCAGAGTACAGAGTAAGTGTGGTATTCCCTGGTAGGATCAAACCACAGATAAATTCTCTGCTCTCTATCTCCTTTTCCTCCAGTAAATACATTTGTCTGCAAAATGTAAGGTTGCCCAGTTCTGTTTCCCAAGAACTCAAAATCTATCTCATCGTGCTCATTGTTTTGAGAGGATAACTGCACCGACCAAAAAATATATAAATATACAATCTTAAATCTGACATTTGAAAGAAAATGATTTGATTAAAGTTTAAGAAAGGACTTACATAGAAAGCAGTAACAGTTCCAGCAGAATCCCCTGGAACCATTTTTATGTGCATACTGAAGTGACCAAACAAGTAAGATCCTTTGGATTGAAAGCCAGTACCTTTGAAACAATAAAATTAAAAGAAAAACTAATTTAAAAGTGGGTATAATTTAAAAATGTATCTGGAATATAAATTAATGTTTATATTCTTTTGTACCTGTGTATTTGTCTAGTATGAGCTGAATCTCAGAACCTCCATTGAAGTACTTGATGTGATCAAAAGCCCAAGTGGGCATGTAGTTACGGCCGAAAGGTACATCAATAGGCCTTCTTGGGGCGGCAGCCGTAGATACAGAAGCCAAAAGCAAGAAACTTAAACATACACTCCACAGAAAAGAAGCCATCTATTATCCTTCTCTGTTTCTTTCAGTGCCAATGTGTGTTTAAGATTTTGTTCATTTTGCTCGTATTTATAGACAAATAACCCAGGAATAGATAAAGGCAGTTTAATATTGTGTTACTTCAAAAAATTGATACAACTGGTTTCTGGTGGATATTTTTGGCCCACATTACAGGAGCAAAAGGTCCATGGCTGGCTTCTCATTAATATTAGTATGCAACATCGGATCTGAGATTAATTATTAGATAATTTGAATAATTAGTTATTTGAAATAATTAAATATTTAAAGGTTATATTACATTGATCTTTTATGAATTTATACTCTTTTTTTTTTTTTTTTAATAATAACCCAGGAATAGATAAGCAGTTTAATATTGTGTTTACTTCAAAAAATTGATACAACTGGTTTCTGGTGATTATTTTTGGCCCAACAATTAACAGGAGCAAAAGGTCCCATGCTGGCCGTTCTCATTATATTTAGTATGCAACATCGGAATCTGAGTTTAAATTATTAGATATTTGTATAATAATTAAGTTATTTGAAATAATTAAATATTTTTAAAGGTTAATATTAATTGAATTTTGTTATGAAATTTATATGAATTTATTTTCTTTTTTTTTTTTTTTGGTATAACTAGAATGTTATATTCCTCCAGTTGTAAATTCTAGCAAAGTGCTTAGAGATATAATTTGTATCACATTCTTATAGAAATTGACGTCGCTTACCATTCCAACCAAATGATTATTATTCAACTATATCATTACTAAAATTACTCGCGGGTTAAGTCTTTGTATTATAGTCTAATATATTAATTAGCCTTTTGCGAAATCAAAATAAAAATAAAATTAGAAATTAGAAACCGGGTTGAAATTTAATTTTACATAATTTGATTAGGCTTTTTCTTCTTTTTGTTTTTTTAAAAAAATGGTTTGAAGTTGAAATTACTTTTCTAAGAAGTATTATTTTAAATGTTTTTAAAAATTAATAGCGTATAAATATTGTTTAATGTTTCAAATTTTTTATGATTAGAATATACATAAAATTTGTCATAACATTAAGAATCTATTTTAATAATTTCTAATTAATATTTTTAATAAATTATTTTTTTAATAAATAACTCAAATAATAATATCAATATATCCTCAATTAAGCTGTAAATAAATTCAATAGTATCAAGTTTTATTGAATTTGAATTTGGTTTGATAAAGGTATACTCAAATTCGAGCTCGACTCATTTACAATTTATAATTAAAATAAATAATATTCTTTCATTGGCTCAAATTTAATTCGCTTATTAAACAAACTAGATAAATAGCTCAGGCTCAACTCATTAAACTACTTTATACGAGTCCTACAATAGTTGTGGAGCATTGTAGCATTTCTACGGCAATATGCCTAATTAGGAGTATAAATAAGCCAAGTCGAATCGCGAGCTATTTGAATTTGACCAGAAAAAAATTTAGGTCGAGCTCAAGTTGGCTCGTTAGCAAATGAGCTGAGCTCAAGCCTAATGCTCGAGAACTCGTCGAGTCTTATTAAGCCCTATCGAGCTTTTATATATACATTTATATAATATTTATTTTAAACTTGTTAGAATATCGAATCTCGAACTTAAAATTTTTTAAGTAAATTCAAGCTTTAAGCCGAGCTCGATCCTAAAATTTTTAAATTAATCAAGTTTCGAGTAGAACTAAATTTTATTAAGTTCGGCTCGGCTCGTTTATACTGTATGGGCAGTAGTGTAATTAAGAACATCCCACCTTTAAAAATGAAATGAAATAAAATAAAGAGAAGGCATAAGTCGACATCAGTCGAAGTTGTGCCAATTTTGGATAAAAGTTAGGAATTTCATTGGGAAGATCTCATGGAAAGGCCACCCACCAAATGGGCAAATAGCATATATGGAAGATAGGCATTGACGGCACAAGCACATGTATTGTAACTGCAACCTTTTCTTTCTTTCTTTCTCTCGCTCTAATGGACAGTTGGCCACGTACGAACCAACAACCAATCAATCGGGCCCCTACCTCTATTGGCTTTAGCTTCAGGTTCTTTGAATGCTTGCCCCCTGTTGTTGTGTGGTATTATTACATGTCAAAACCCTTTTCAGGCCCATTTTTCAGATTTCTCATGCTTTAACTTACACAGTCAGACAAAGAGTGTGTGTATGTCTGTATGAGCTTTCAATTATATCCAAGTCCAAAAATACTCTTTTTAAGTGCTTCTTTTTTATCGGTTGCTCCATTTTCCCATATCAAATAGTTTCATCTAGAGAAAATTTAAAGAGCCATATATAAGAAAACCCACCATAAAAATTTGAGAAGCTTGGCCCCCCAACATGTAGTTCCACCCTCTATATCTCATATATATTCTATCATAATTACAAAATGATATGGCATCCAACTTGGAGTTGGTATTAATAATTCTAATATTATTAAGTTGGTAATATACTGTATTTGATTTTGAAATAATACCCGAATCGAATAATTGATTTTTTTTTTTTTTTTCGGTGTTAGAATTAAGAGTATCCCAATAATTGATTTTCTTTTTTGGTTAGAATTAAGGGTATCACTCCATCTTTTCTTATTGTAGACTAATCTTTTTGTTTAGATCGAAAAATGTAAATTTTTTTGCCTTTTCAAAATTTTATTTCTTCATCTATTTGATTTGGTTGATTCTAAAGCTAATAAAGAAACTACTTCTTTCAATTCGCTTGACATAATATTCAAGTATGCCTTCAGCGATCACTTTAAGAAAATGCTCATTTAAAGTTGTTTTGATTCTAAACTACATTCAAAAATGAAGTAAGGACTAGATTCTCTCTCCATTTTCGATTGCCGCATAATCCAAGCATACTTAATTTTGTTTTCGCATGCTTTCAATAACTATTCTTTCTGAAATTTAAATTTGCATTCTCACTTTTACTACGATTGAGTTTATTTACAATTTTGATCAATAAATTAGTTAAATGGCTGATTTGAAATATGCATGGGGTTGGATTATGTAAAAATTCATATCCATAAGTTTGGTTTTGGTCTGGAACCAAGTTACAGGTCTGTTTTTTTCTTTTTATCTATAAAAATTCATATCTATGAAATATGTTTCTTCTTATCTCTAGTATCATTATGATTAGCGTTATTTCCACAACTATGTGATAATGCATACTGAAATTCAATAGACAATCTTTAAAAAAGTTAAGGATTCGATCTATGAAAGAACGGTTATCAAAAAGATATTCATTAATCTCAAAATAAATATAGATAAAATTAATCTCAAGATATTCATTACTTTTATATATTTTTTTTCGAAATTTTTTTATAGTATCTTGAATTCATAGGAGATTTATTATGCTCCTAAAGTTTTTAATATTATTGGATATCTCTCAATTTCGCAACTATAATTTTTTGAATTTATAATTTTTTGTGTAAAAGATTAATTTTATGTATAGTAAGTATAATTTTTGAAATAATAATTTTTCATTATTTTTAATTATCTATTAATTATATATTCATTTAATTTTATAAATTGAAATATTTAATAATATAATTTTATAAATTGAAATATCTAATAAATAAACGTGTTCTTAAACTAGTATAAAGCTTTTTATAAAAAAAAAAAAAAAAAAATATTTAATAATATAATTTTATAAATTGAAAATATCTAATAAATTAAACGTGTTCTGTAAACTAGTATAAAGCCTATTTTATAAAAAAAAAAAAAAAAAAAAGGAAATTAATGTGGAGAACATTTAAAAAGTTGATTTTTAAAAAAAAAAAAAAAAAAAAAAAAAAAAAAAGCTTTACAATTGACATTGATTGCGAAAGTTAAGAAGGGTTGATAGACTGAGAGCAAAAGAGGAAAGAACAAAAAGTTGATGAGAGAGCATTTGCCATGCTGAGATGATGGTGATGACATTTAGGTTTAGGGATTAACCCGCGCAATGATCTCATTTTAAAAAAAAAAAAAAAAAAAAAAAAAAAAAAGCTTTACAATGACATGATTGGAAAGTTAAGAAGGGTGATAGACTGAGAGGCAAAAGAGGAAAAGAACAAAAAGTGATGAGAGAGCATTGCATGTGAGATGATGGTGATGACATTAGGTTTGAGATAACCCGCGCAATGACTCTCATTTATTATATTGGTCGTTTTGCAGGAATGGCTCTGCCTCTTCTAACTTCTAATAATGCCCTATAGCTATCACTTACCTTCTATTATTAATTTTATTTAATGGAAGCAAGCATCTCCAAATTCTCAGCCAGCCCATCTAAATTGACCAATTTCTCCCAATGGTGTTAACAATTTGCAAGCAAAAGATAATTGAAATATTGATTCTGTTACTCTTGTTAAATAGGACAATTATATATTCTCTCTCTCTCTCTATATATATATATATATTAGAATAAATCTTAATCTAATTATAATTTTCTGATCAAGTCAAACTTACATAATAGTATAATTTTTTTAAACTAAATTACACCCAAGATTGTAGGCTACATTAATTAATATGCTATATAAGTAATCCCTTTGCTTGGTTAAAAAATATGAATAAGATGGGGGAGCACATGCACATGCATACACAAAGATATAACCTTTCCTTATTTCTTTCCCCGAGTTCTGAAGGTTCAGGTAAATAAGCACTAATCGTATCGGATCTTGCAACAATGCAGATTATGCAATCTGCAAGTTCAATGACTATTCTATTATTAGGTTATTAAATTAATTAATCCATGTTAGCTTTATGATATTTCTCAAATTAGTTAAAGACAAGCACATGTACAGAGCAGATATATAATCCTGGAGAATGAGAAATTATTGATTTATACCATTTGGGGCATATCAACCTGAGGGAGGGAGCATGCTTCCTAGCTTAACCTAGTAAATTTTTTTTATATCTTGCACAAAGATATCATCCATTCTTGCAATGCAGGCTTATTATGGGTTTTGAGAAACTTAATCTTAGTGCTGATCCTGCCTAAGATAATGGATCATGACAAAAATCATGTTTTAGTCTTCCTCCCTAATATTTTTTTTTTTTTTAAATGAAAATATAAATTTGGTGTACTAACTTTATCTATTGTCTATCTTTGTATATCAGTTTTATTTTTTATCAATTGAGTTCTTTCATTCAAAATTCTTACCATAATATCAAAACAAACAATGTTACCCTATTTTCTCTCTTTATTTTATTCCATTTCATTATTGCTGAGTTGTTTTGAACTAGAAAGAAAATTGTAAGAAAATTTTAAAAAATATATTTAAATAAGAATATAAAAGGTTAATAAAAATAAAATAAATGAATGAAAAAAAAGTTATTTTTGCAGATACTTAATTGATAAAAAACTTTAAAAAATCCACAAAATCCAGACACCAAGTTTATGATTATCTCTTCAATTTTTGTTTGATCGGGTGTGCCAATGAAGCAGAAAAGTGAACCTGTATTAATCATTTAAATTGCAATGTATAAAAAATTTAAGAAAAGAAAAAGAAAATACTACCCCACCAAAACTACAACTGTAAAAAAAAATGGTAATAAATGAAATAAAATATAAGAATTGTAGGTATACACATCTACTCTGTTCCTCTAGAACAACCAGTGTTTCTTCCTTGGCTTATGTGGGATTGGGGCATCTGAAAGGAAACCAAACATCTTTTAGTTGAATATCACAATGTTTATCCTTGTTCCATCTGATTCCATTAACATCCTTTGAACACACTTACAAAATTTTAAAAAAAAAAAAAAATTTGAAACAAACCTTGAATTTCATATAGCGAATTGTAGTGTACCTCAGACCAGAAACTTAACCATAACTCTGCATCAGTAAGAGGCAAAGCAACTGTAAGAATATTTCAGCCAGTTAAAATTCATAAACAGGGAGTTTTCAATAGAGATGATTGTTCCTGTCTGATATTTAGAATTTTGAGGTTTCTTCACATCAACCCCCTAATATCAAGGTCCATGGAAAACATAACCAGAAATACATGTTGGGATTGTAGGCTTGTAGCTACATACTGCAACATTTCATTTAGTAATGAAATCTTAAAACACCTAAATGATGCACAATCATGGAAACAAACTAGACTACCTGTTACCTATAAATTTATGTCCATGAGAATATATAGTCATGTTTAATTTATTCTCAAGAGTATGTAAGAATTATTTTACCAGATTTTAAGTTACCGGAGGCAAAACATTATTTTGTGAGTGCTGCAATCAGATGAAACGATAGGGCCGTACTTGAAAAATAAATCAGTTCAATTGCTGAAACCATTAATTTAAGGAGAAAAAACAAGCACCGGAATTTAAAAGAAAGCAAAATTTTTGGAAGAACCAATTTGTCATTGCCTGCAGATTTGATGGTAAAGAATCCTTATCATATACCAATGTCCTTACCACGTTGAGGTGACTGGTATTGTGGCATAATTTCAATGAAACAAGTATCTCTAAAGGATGTCAACAGGCAGATCTTTGCTGCAAACTGCATATAGAAAAGTAGAAATGTAAAAGATGTATGACACTCTACATTAGTATCACAATATAAAGTGAAGTTCAAACACAAATCAGAGCATTTCAGTCAATTGAAAAGACATTCTGCTATTCCCAAGTATTCAAGTGTCAGTATATGGATCATCTGTAACAATATCTAACAATATTTTGTCCTGTCACTCTATATGCCTTCTTCCATCTCCAAAGAAATGCAATACGATCAAGTTTTCCCCAAGCACTTCCACCCATCATGCTATCAAATATTTCTCCTTTGACCTTCAGACAATTTACTGCTGTTTCCATTACATACGCACAAACAACAACCACAACAACAAAGCCTGGGGTCGGCTATATATATATATATATATATATACATACATGGAAGCTTGAAAGCAATCTCAAATAACAATCAAGAACTTGTAAAATCAGTGCAACACAGGAAATAAGCACAATTCTTAAACCAAACATCACAAATTGCCAGATAACGAGCTGATGGATAATATTTATAGTTGAGACTTCATTTGATTTCTTTTCTTCTGTCCTCCACGTTCTAATTTTCTGAACATAGTTCCGTAATGTGAATACAATACAAATTGGCAACGCAAGCCAATTTATAAGTTCCCAGAACACACTCAAATCATAATTGAAAACTTGCACAATGTCAGATGCCATAGAGAAACAAGCACTATTTTAAACCAAACATAACAAATTTAGAAGGAGGCAAACTAACTGAGGGAGAGATACTTGACACTAACATTCCTATTTGAGTCATGAATTGATTTCTTTTCTTCTGTTCACTATATCCAAAACATAATTTTATCATGTGAATACAAATATAAATTACATAAATCTTTGGAAGAGTCGAGCAAGCTATCATGCACACTTCTTAATCTTTTTTGTTATTAACAATTCCATTCATCTGTTCTATAATAAACATAAATAGTTGATGTTATTGTTATGAATAAAAATCTGAATAACTTTACATGCCATTTGCAAGTAACTCTTTAGTCAAAGCTAGTATATTGACTATCAGCCCAGACTATATTTATGCATAGAATAGGCATAAAAGAGAGATAATGACATTTCTAAAACAAATTGTCTATGTTTTAGTTGACATTGTAAAGAAAGACCTTGTATAATATTTTAGTACATGATGCCGCCAGAGAAGTCTTAAGGCATAGGAAATGGGTACCTTATCTGCTGCTGCTTGTAACGTGACATGATCCCCCCATTCACCAGATCTGCATCATACAGTATTTTGTAGGTTAAAAACTGAAAATGCTGATAGCATATAGATCCAACAAACAGCTAATTGCGCGAAAAGCAATTTAAGTATTAATCAGTAAGAGAGCAAAATACTTTGCCATTTTCTTGTAATAACGTTTGTACTTCATTGGGACATAGCCTTCATACAATGAGTGGTTGTCTTTCAGCTGGATACAAAAAAAAAAAAAATAACAGAGTTAATAAGATAACAATAATAACCATTCATGAGTATTGTATTTTGTACTGATTGCAGATCTTCAATCTGGAAACAGTTATTACTTGTGTAACATTTTCTTTGTTGGAAGAGTCAATACTCTTGCCCACAAAGTTAGTTAATTAAATTAAGTCCAAGGTGGAAATGATGACAGCTTCAGGATCATGAAAGTAACAAAATTATGGACATTACGGCTCAGGGGATTATATTAAACAAACAAAATAGTAATAATAAAAGTGGTGAGTTTAGGAAGTTATTGGACAGGTATAAGTTGTCATAACGGTATCCAAAAGATAGAGATGGCCAGCGGATAATCGTTGTGGCTGCAACAGTTGCTGAAGTCACTGTATATAGAGGATGTTATGTCAGTTTTTGAAGTAATGGAGGCTACAAGAACTATAGAGTTTGTGAGCTTTGTCATAAGTTGAGGAAATATGGCATGGGATTGTCTAGTGAATAGTTGTAATTGGCAATGTCAAGGTATTAGTCAAGAATCAAGATATTACACGTTGCAGTTAAGATGTCAGGTTAGTAACAAGCTGTTTAGGCCTTTAAGGCAGCCAGGTAGTGGTTGTTAATGGTAAGTGCAGGTTGCCAGAAGAGTTGTTGATTTAATTTGCAAGCTGCTGCAAATGGTAGTGATCATGTAGTGGTTACTTCCATAAACGCATCACCAATGTAACAGCAGCATTGAAACTAAAACTATGGTACTCATGTCAATGGTGAAGGTAATAGACATGTTTCTGATGTCTTTTTCTCACTTCCTTCAAAATCTTTGGAGAGAATTTATTTATACAATATACACCATCCAATAAGCTTGGTTTGAATTGTTACTCAGAGATTGTAATCTGATCTTAAGGCTCAGAATTAAGAGACCAAACTCAATCTAATTGCAAAATTTGCTAAATTAAATTAGTCTTTTAGAGAAATTCAATAGGTAATCTCAGTATCTCACCTGTTTCACAACCTCTTTACGAATATGCTTATGGTGCTCAGGTGACTTATACATCTGGTCTGAAAGTGCACGAAACTGTATTGAGAGAGATAAAAAGAAGGTTATAATTCCGTCATGCAGTAGGAGTCAGAGAGAGGTAGGTACATTTTGCAGATACCTGACAATTTCCATCACCAGAAACCCTCACCTCATATAAACCATAAACATTTAGCCTGAAAAAAAAATGTCAACAAAATTGAGATAAACCTTCACTTAATAAACCAAACACACACTTAATACTCTACTCCAGAAAAGAATTATAGGAAAATAATCCCCAAGCCCCTCCATGTTAACAATTTCCAGCATGAGTTTAATGACACCCCAACTTGAATACAGGCAAAAAGCTTTGAAATTTCCAACAGTCTGGAGTATATCCTTGAGCCTTTGAGGTGAGCATAGAGAATTTTTATTGAAGTCACCTTGTGTAACCTAAAGGTATGCTTGCATGAATTTATGTGTGTGTTCTTGCTTTTCATTTTTTCTTTTCTTGGCAATATGTTTGAACTGTCTCTTTCAGGAAATGAGACAAGAAAGGCACTTTGATACCTTTCATGAGATTCCTTCACAATTAAACCCACAAAGGGCACTTTCAAGCACATGATATAAGAAATACCTCTGAATAAGCCTTTGGTGGTCCATACTGGCATCACTTAGATTAGGTATATATGTATTTATCCGCGGAACATGCTGAATATTCAAAAAGATACAAGATATTCAGGAACAAATAGTTTATAATGCGAGGATCATACAACAAGCAAATAAGAACTTCAATAGTAATACATCTAGTAACAGAACATTTTTCAACTATATATTTCAGAAATAACCTAATCTATAAAATTCTAGACTAAGAATCAGATAAAGAAACAAAAGAAAATCATTTAGTAAAGCAATTGTTCTTACAGGAACAGGTGCTAGGTTAGCAAGGCGTCTAGCAACTGCACCATCTAAATTGGCGTACTCTTCAGATAATACAAGAGCAATCATTCGGTCATCCTCAGTATCTTGTTGACTGCTCCACGATGTTGAGCTAGAACTTTCCCCAACACTCCATGTCCCTTGTCTCGCGGTGTAAGCGTAACCCTGCATCTAGTGATAATGTATTTGCAATTACAGTAATCAAGATGATGATCCTCTGTTGCTGATGATGAACTGCCATAAGTCAAACACAAACCAAATCATTGTCATTCTCCATAAATATGATAAAAAACAAAGCTAAAGGAAACAGCCAAACAGACAACACATATATGGGTCTAGATCATGTCGTCTAATCACATTAAACAAGAATTAAATTTTTTTAAAAAAAAGTTCAATCTTGAATCCAAAGCAATAAAAAGAAAAAAGAAGATGCATTTCTAATTTCTTGGAGGGGCCAATTTATGGCGGGAAATCAAATGACATATGTTATAGCATAAATTGAATCAATTGAACTTCAAAGGCATATTCAGCTAGTAAACAACAAAGAAAAAATTGAAAAACAAAAAACAGGTGATCGGATAATCAGGAGCAATAAAAACAAATCAAACCGAAAATCAGAACTTCAATTTGATTAACTAGAGAAAATTGAAAGAAATCAATTACCTGGAAAGTGAAAAACGTAATGGAAGTGGAAGGAAGAGATCAAAAGGAAAGAAGGTTGGTGGCTGATGGTATTGGTGGGAATTGAAAAGAATGGAAAAGCAAAGAGAGAAGATATTCTCGTTTTTAAAGTTAAAGAGAGGAGAAAGATTCAATTAGTAAAGACCGCTTCGTATCAGAAAACCAAAAGAAAGGAAAAAGTGTAATTATGGAGTCAATAAACAAAAAGAAAAGGGTAAAAATGGAGGATGGTTAGAGGTGAGGAGGGGATTGGTGAAGGAGCCAGCTGCCAGCCGACACTAGACAGGATTTAATGAAGCGTGTAGCTTCTTGTTCTAACTTCTAACTGAAATCTTTGTTTCTTTTTATTTTTTAATTTTTGGTTTTTGTGGGGCCTACACGCTTTTTGCGATGGCTCTTCTTTTGTCTTTTTCGTGTGAGAAGAGATGGAGCCAGCCCATTGTTAATATTTCGGCTTTGAAAACACTTTCGTGGGCCATAATATTGATTGGCCCACTTTAACTTTCAGGTTTAAGCTACGCAACGATTCAATTAGTTAGTCCTTAAATCATCATATGCTCACCGGAATTGGTGCTCTGGTCCCACCTCCATTTAGGCATGGCCACCGGCCCTAGACCATGGCCATTTAAGGTTTATTGGGCTTGCAAAAATTAAATGGAATCGTTTTGCAATAGACGATTGAACCGGCAGTCCAAGGCGATCCGATTCAATAGATAAAAAATAAAAAAAATTAAAGCTTAATCAACTCTTTAAGATTGATACATCAATTCTTTTAAGGCAAAATTTTAAATTGTAAATCAAATATGAAAAATTAATTTTAATCAAATCAAATCAAATATGAAAAATCAATAGTTTCTAACATTAATTCTTAAATAATAATCATGTTAACAGATACTCGATATTTGTATTGTAATTTCTTTGATTATTCAATTATTTGTAAAGTTGGATTTTTTTTTTCTTTTATATGTATTCTTTAAATTTATTGAAAATATTTTTATTCTCATTTTTTTTAGGGAAAATTAAAATTCCCATCACGCCAAAACTGTGACTAGAACTGGTTTGTATTAGAACTGGATTGGAACCAGAACTGACGGTTCATGCTTTTCTAAGCATTTCAGTAAACCGGAACTACTAGTTCATCAAACCGGCCATGTCTGTGCATCATATGCTAAAACATAATATATTTTCTTTTTAAAAAAATGATAATCCTACCATTTTAGATCATTAATCTAATACAGTTTAGCTCAAAGTAACATTATAATGGAAATCCCATTTGTGGAAGAGTAACAAAGAAAATAAAAATTTCTGTAAGAGGTTTCATTCAATGAATTTAAATAGATTCACTAACTAGGTAAGGTGGTTTCAGTGATTAGTGCGTATATGACTTGGTAGATTCACTTAAAAGTTCAAGTTTCAGCTTTCCTAGTGTTTCAGTTATTAATAATATATACTCAGTTACTCACCATCATCGCTATTCTAAGAGCCTTTGCCTTAGACTATAAATCATTTGCAGAATCCAAATGCTCCGGTCAACAGGAAAGTGGCTTCCAAAGAATCTGCTTAAGACCGTACTAACATTCAACTGCAGCCAGAAAGATTTAAGGTGCACTGACAGTAGCAAGTTCTTCTCGTTAAGCTTTGGATATTCCCTCCAAATAAGCTAATAACACCAATAAAGTTAACCAGCCGACAAAATATCAGTTACAATACCAAAGGAATTGCAAATCATGTTCCCTGGCATCCTGATATCCCCAGATCAGCAAACATTTCCTTGTGCACCCAATGGCAAAGGCTTCTTGTTTCACCAAGCAATCACAAATTTGCTGTCAAGGTTGCAAATTTCCTTGCTATATGCAACCCAGCAAAGTCCTGGAAATTCAACAGTCTAGCAATAGAGTTGATGTTGTACCTTCAGAGTAATAAAATAAAGCCATGAAACAAATCAGGCCGTGGACAGTTCAGGAACCATATTTTCGCTTTCTCCGGCCCTTTCCAACAGGGTAGGATCGTACTGTATATCGTGAATTTGCAAGCTCACGAGGAATCACAGCTCCAGAAGATCTTAAAACTTCAATAAACTCTGTAAACAAATTTTTGTTCTCCTCATTCACAAAAACAATTGCTGTACCTTCCTCTCCCATTCGAGAAGCCCTTCCTATTTGATGAACATATTCCTTAATGGAATTGGGCATGTCAAACACTATTACCTGTCTCACACCCAGGAGATCAACTCCTCGACCTAAAATCCCAGTTGCCACAATAACAGAAACCTCCCCTACCAAAAATGACCTCATGATTTCTCTCCTCTCCTTCATCGGTTTCTCCCCATGTAGTGATAGAGCCTTCAATCCTGTGGTGACTGTGATTGCATTAGATAGGAGATCTGCCCCAAGTCTTGAACCTACATAGACAACTGCTGGTGGCATAAAATGCTGCTTGCTCATCAAAATATCAAATAGTTTTTGTTTCTTTTGCTTCGATTCAACCCAGATGGCCAGTTGTTTCACAGCCTTACTTGGCTTGTTAGGCTCACCAATGGAGACGATTACCATATCTTTTGCAATAGAGCTCCCCATCTTCTCTATCTCTTGTGTGATTGTTGCAGAATACATCAAGACTTGGGGTTGAGAGAGAGCCCTAAAGATCTGCATAACCTGATCACGGAAGCCCCTTTGAAGCATGCAGTCCACCTCATCTAGAACAAATATCATTAGTTCATCTAGTCCAATATCATGCTTTATTAAAAGATCAATAAGCCTTCCTGGAGTCCCCACAATCAGTTCCACTCCTTGCTGAATGCGGTAGAGTTGTCCAGCCATAGCATCACCACCAACCACTAGTGCAGTCTTGAAAGGCAAACCCTTACCAAGCAACTTAGCTTGATCCTCAACCTGAATACAAAGCTCTCTGGTTGGAGTCAAAACCATTGCAAGTGGCTTTCTATATTCAGAAGAGTGTTGAAGCCGAAAATCTGCACACCGAGAAACAATGGAGACTAGATAGGAAGCAGTTTTTCCTGAGCCTGTGTTAGCTGAAGCAAGCAGGCTTTTGCCACCCAAAGCAGTTGGGATTGCTTGCATCTGGACAGGGGTAGGCATATCATATCCTGCAGCTGCTAAGTTCTGCAAGAGCTGCAGAGGAAGATTACAAGAAGAGAATGACAAAATGGGATCCGGAACCAACTTCCCCTTCACATAGATTTCAAGTTTCCTTCTCAGTAATTCAGTCTGATCATTAGTTAAAGATAAAGGCCCTGATTTATCATCAGATTCTGATTCTCTAACATAAAAGCACTCATCGGTTGCAGCTAATCTTACAGCAGGTGCAGAAGGACCAACAGAAACCTGGGTTTTAACAACCTTGCGTAGAAGAGTTTGTTTGCATTCCAAACTACAAATATCATCATCAGTCTCATCACATATGTACTCACCATAGCGTCCACATATAACACATTTAGGCTCCCCAGAGAGAGCTTCTCTCTGCTCTCTAGCTGTCTTTTTCACATCATCTGCTGCATCAGAGCCTAAGTGAAAACAATACAATGAGTTCAAATGCAATGCAGACATTTTCTTATCAGCAAATTTCAAGCGACCAAGACCAACCACCAGCTACTTATCAAGGAACTAGATTTATAAGGCATTTCTATACCCTCCAAAAAAAGAATATAAATTATTCTTAAATTTCCAATCAAACCAACCAAAAACTAAAAGGAAGAAACAAAATGAAGTGAAATACCTGTAAATTGATCAAAACTTACTACGGCTGCTGAATTTTTACAGTGATTATCTGAATTTGCAACTTCCATAAATCAAACCTAATAAAATATTTGCAGCTATATAAGGAGAACAGAACCAACTTGAATTAGGTGAAACCCAAAAAGAAAAATTAAAAAAATTTCAAACGAAGGATATAACGAATTCGAATTCAAATTCAAATTAACTGCAATTACAAGGATGAAAAAACTACATCGGAAACAGACAATTTGAAATTTCCCCTACATGGATTTTGAGAAGCTGAGAATTTATTACCTGGAAAAGGTAGGCTTTGGGGTACGTGTGTGTTGCAGTTTTTAACTTTCGCAGAAGAGCCATGGAGAAATTGAGAATGAAAGATAGAACGCAACGTTTGAGCAGCCTTTGAACTTTGAAGCCGTTTGTCTATATGGGCCAAATCCAATGGTTAAATTTATGGGCCTTGGTTTAGATAGAAACCTAATTGAGTATTCCAGTTTGGCAAAGTCTTCCCTACATCTTCATATATGAAATCAATCAAAAATATGCTCATCCATTTGAAAATAATAATAATAATAATAATAAATTTTTTTTATAAAAATCCTTACTTAAATTGGTTTGATATATGTTGTTCTTATAAGTCAAGTGCCCCATGCATCAAGTGTATAATACGACACTAAATTTTAGAAATGTTTTTAAATATATTTTATAAAGTAGCACAAAAAAGTTTTATTTTAACTTTAATTTTTGAAAAATTTTCTTCGGCTCCCTTAAATTGAGAGTCTAGTTCATGTCCACCATATAAAATTCCTAAAAGGAATGCTTCAACTCCAAACTCAACAAAAACTCAAATAAGTATAATGTTACTACTAAAATTATTCTTAAAATGTTCCATTTTTAAGAATTTATTAAATTAAACGAGTAATTATGATTAGCATCAATGAGTATTTGATTGTATTTCCGATGACACAATTTTTAAAATCTAGAAGATAGCAATAACAACAAACAGTGGAAAACGAAGAATCACTTTGAAGTAAAATGTAAATTTATTAGGATCAATTCTCCATGCACAACCAATTTCCCCATATCCTTATATAAACAGAACCAGATTAACATTTGAAACAAATTGAAATAGAAATGGCAGCAGGCAAGAAAAAGAAAGGATCAGTCAGTCGGTCTGAAAAGGCAGGGCTGCAATTCCCGGTTTCAAGAATGGTAAGATATCTAAAGAAAGGCCGCTACGCTGGAAGAATTGGAGTAGGTGCTGGGGTTTATATGGCTGGCGTACTCGAATACCTATGTGCAGAGGTAATAATCTTCTTCTTTTTGTATTAGTATCTCGTTGTTTTTATTGTTGCATGCAGAAATGTTCATGGACTTGGCCCTATCTAGCCATTTAACTTTGTACATTTCAACTTCGTGTAGATGTTGGAATTGGCTGGGAATGCGGCTTGTCACAGCAAGAAGAGCAGAATTTCTCCAAGGCATCTAATGCTGGCTTTGAAGATGGACGACGAGCTTGATAAGTTGATTGGCAATGTAACAATTTCATCTGGAGGTGTATTACCACACATTCATAATGCTCTTATGTCCAAGAAAAATATGGAGGCTCTCTCTACTAGTAGTAATGAGCCCTGATGATGACCGAGTTGTTGCAACGCAAGAACCATATTTAGCAATTTTAATTTCTAGTTGCTTTTTGAAAAAATTGTGGGGAAGTTTTCTTTTTTATGTTGGAAGTTGAACTTGAACTCTACCAATCTATTTTGTCACTAAATATTTCCTGTGTACCAAAGAAAAGAAAAAGTAGATAGCGCTTGCTCTCTCTTCAGTCATGGTAAATATACAGAACAGTGCATGAATTTGATAGTAAAAGAAATGTGAAGAATATATAGATGTAAGCTTTTCAAATGATGACGGAAAGAGGAATATAACTTGAACAGTTGAACCTTTTATTTAAATAAACTAGAGGATAATGTACAGAAATGCCTTATAAAACAGGGCATGATCTGTTTTTCTCTTGTTGTCACCGAGTTAAATCAAGGAGCATTTGTAACAGCTTCAAGTTTATCAATACAAAAATATACAAATTTATATTTCTCAAATAGAAGAAACAAAAAAAAAATAATAAATAAAATATTAGGTATTTATCAGAATTGCCCATAATTAAGTAGCTGAACACCAATATTCATGTACTCTTCAATTTAGCGTTCTTGCAAATAGAAATTAAGCACTTCTTTCAAGCATTTCCTGATGCCTCTTAACAGAGAGTTGTTTCTGCATTCTCATTTGTCTATGAAATCTCTTTATAAACAAATCTGCTACATGGTCTATCTCATCTTCTAAACTGAACTCTTCTCCTGCTTCTTGTTTTGAGTTCTTCACGATATCTATCACTGACCCACCTGGATCTTCAAACTCTAAATCTTCAGAATCAAACAATGAATGGGTCAGATCTGGGAATTTCTCTCCTTCAACTTCTTCTTCATATCCATAGCCATAGCAATACCCATTTTCTTGTACTGCATCATTCTCTGCTATAATATTCTCCATAACCTCTGCTTCACTTGGGTTTGGAAGAGACATGGAGCTATGGTTATACAGAACTATGGCGTTGCTTTGATCTTCTATTTCTTCTTCGTCTTTCTTGTCATGTTCCTTCTGGGTAACTAAAGCATGGAGCTTTTGAGAAATTGAGCTCAAAAGAATTTTCTTGTTGTCTCTCAATAGAGAAAATATCATTAATCTTGTCCTCAAAGCATTGGTTTTGCTTTTGAGAGCTAGTGTTTTAGCTTTGGCCATTGATGCCAATACTAATGTTATTCTCTTCAAGAATTTAGCTGCTTTGTTTTTCAACATTGTGCTCTCTTACTACTGTAATACAAATCACAAAAGAAAATAGCTTTAATGGAGAAAACACAAATGGAAGAAGGAGATTGATGAATTGTTTTGCTGCATGCAAGAAAAAGAAGTGCTTTGGCATGAAAGGAGAAATAGAGAGAAAAGGGGTTTATATAGGAACCAAAGTAGGTCTCTTATGTCGGTAATTGTCCAATTGATAATGGGTAAGTGCCCTTTTTTGATTCCATTTTTTGTTCACTTCTTCCCTAAAGCGAAAAAATAATAAAATATTTAAATGCAAGAGAGAGAGAGAGAGAGAATGGGACTCAAGAAAAAGTGAAAGTGAAAGTTAAAAGTGATAAAGGGTGGGGACACATGGCTTTATTTAATTGGTTGAAAATGGTTTGGTAAGATAGAAGGGGTGATTTTGCATTTGCATGGAATGGCATTACCTGAGGATGTTGTATTGTGTTGGGAAGTAGGGCATAGTGGGGAAGAGCTGGCTTTAACTTTTTTAGGTTCTAGTTCAATATTTGCACCCACATACCCAAAAAAAGTAGGTTATGGACCCTACATTTTGAGAGCTTTCTTTGGTCCTAAGGACAGCTTTTTGATCTTTCAAAGGCTATTTTCAATTATTAAGTTAGATGTAGAGGATCATTGAGTGAAACCCCAGCTCACCACTCTATGCAAATAAGTGCTACCTCAACTTTATCCTTAACAAATCTTGTTAATTTGGTGCAAGTGGGTACATGGTCAATTTTCATCTTGATTTTTAAATTAATTTTTTTAAAATCAATTCAATTCAAATCAAATCATATATTGATTATTTTTGAAATAAAAACTATAATGTAAGATTAACTTAATTACCTTAAAAGAAAACTTAATTTGTAAGTCCTAATTGAACTTATTCTCTATTTTATTGATTAAAATTTATATTACACAATCAAACTACAATTACTATGTATTTTTTATTATGAATTTTTTAATCCTCATTTGATTATAAAAATAATAATAATGTGGTTTTTACATAAGAATGAATTCATAAGAGTTAAATTTAAAATTTAAATCTAACGGGTGATAAGTTCGTTTCTATATAACAAATATCTTACAAAGAAGTTAAATTCAAAATCTAATATAATCATATTGTGAAAATTTGTTTTAATTATGATTTGTATTTAAAAAAAAGTGAATTTTAATTAAATGATATTAAAGTAGATTATGAAAAAAAATAAAGAAAGAGATGGTGGGTCCAGTCGGTGAAGATTTTTTGGAAACTATGGTTTGCTTAATGGACTAGTGTTCAATAAACGAGGGCATAGAATAGAGACATGAAGCTTTCAATTTTTATTATTTTGAACACTCCAAAATAAAAGTGGATCACTTCTTTTTCTCTTTTACCAAACTCGTGGGTTAGAAAGAAGCATCCAATCTCTCTCTCTTACGAATCCTTAGCCAGTAAGGTTTCGTTTAATTCATCATTTGTTTTTTTCTTTTTCTTTTTCTTTTCTTTTTTTACAGAAAAATCCATCATTTTTTTCACATTGAGTTCCTAATCTCCCATTGTAAATAAAGTATGCATATCTGTTTAAAAAATATCTGAACTCTTCTCAAATCTGATTAGAATTATTCTACCTGAACCCATTTAAATATTTATTTAATTTTAAAAATAAAAAAATAAGTAAAACTATAAATTTTATCTTGAGTTGGTAAAAAATAATAATATCAAGTTTTAATTATAATTAAAAAGTAGATATATTATTTTTTTAAGAAAATATTATTTTACATTATTTAATTTGATATATAAACACACGTATAGGTTTTCTTCAATATAAGAAATTTCCTACCAATAAGAGTATCACCCAATAACTTTCTTAACGCTTTGGTTGCTTGTATATATTTTACTAAACCAATATATTTTTAATAATGAATTCTTTTCTTTAAAATCTCAATACTATAAAACTGCATGATTAAGAACATAATTAGTAAACTTAACTGCTAATATTGATTTTATCATTAACCTTAATGTAATTATTGTTATTTGAAAGTGATTAACAACCCAATTGTACTCTATTAATGTTTAATAATTTTGGGAGGTGGGTCGACCTATATATATTAATTTGGCAAATAAAGGGAAAATGAAACTTCTTTTTTTGTACTGAATTGTGAACAATCCGTACTCCGTATGCATGAATCTGCTTTGAATGAATCCAAAACAATTGCTTTAGCTCAATTAGACAATTTTAGGAAGACACAACATGGAATTCTTTAATCTTAACATCTTTTGTTTTCCTTATGAAGCAATTGTAGGATGGCTAAGCTTAGCTTTATAGTTGTCAAATTCCCTTTTCCTTTTTCTTTTGTATATTTAATTTAAACATGCACATTAGGGTTTTGTTGATTGGAATAAGGATAAAATTGATAATTTAGATATTTCGTGGATGAAAATTGGATTTGGATTTAAATTTTAATGCAACCTAATCTATACAATGATTGAAGGAAATGCTTATCTATACTGTATAATTTATTAGACAATACTAATTAGGTGTGGTATGGTTAGTCTTTCCATCTATGTGGTTGTGTGACGAACCGTGTCCTATTGGCTAAGGCCTTCTAGTGAATTAAAAAATAAATAAAATAAAGTTAATAGAAATTTTTTGCACTAAGCAAAAATTATAATAAAAAAAGTGACAATTTTTTAAATGACAACCAAATGTTGACTAAGTATATAATAAAAACTTGATGTAAGGCCTTTGCTATATCCTAAAAAGCACCAAGTGCTTTGCTAATTGCCATTCCCTAACAAAGCACTAGTGAGAAATTTTATTTTTTATTTTTTTAAGGACTCTAATATCTTTATTGGAGAGGAGAAGATTCTTTGAAACCATATAAGCCCAAACACTTTAGTGGGCTTTTAACTTTATATATATATTATATACATTAGCATCTCATAATATCTATAAAAGTCTGGTGTCTTTTGATTAAGAAATAATTTAGCTTAACTTTAACTGCTACTATGTTTTATTTCATTATAAAACCTTATATGTAATTATATGTATTTGAAAGTGTACTTCAACAACTCCCAAATTTATATATAACTCTATTTAATGCTTTTAAATAATTTGGTGAGTTTGGGTTCCAGGCCATTTAATATTATTAATTTTTTGGACACATAAAGGTAAATAGAAACTTTCTTTTTTTGTACTGGAATTTTTCCGCCGTGGAACAATTCCCCCGTACTCCGTTATTTTGCCAAAATGAATCATTGCTTTGACTTGTAATCTCAAACAACTTCGCTTTATCCTCAATTAGAACAATTTCTAGGAAGACACAACTATAGGAAAATTTCGTGTTAATCATATAGGTCGTTATATGATATTTCCTTTTATGAAGCCGAATCTGTCTAAACACCTACTTAGGACTGCGCTAAGTGCTGTTTCGCTTTATAGTTGTTCAATACTTCTCATATATTTCCTCATTTTCTTTTTATGGCTCTTATATTAGATTTAATATTTTTAAAACAATGCCACCCATTAGCGGTTTTGTTGATGGGAGATATAAGTCTGTATAAAAAATTGTATTAATTTATGGAAAATATTTCTGTTGAGATTGTAAATGGATTTGGATTATAAAAAATTTATATGCAACTTTCCTAATCTTTACAATGATTTGAAGGGGCAAATAATGCTTCATATCCTCTATACTGTTATATTAATTATTTAGACTAATTTCTAATTAGGTCTTTTCTCTCGTACCCTGTATCCTAATGGTATGGTCAGTCTTGATCTCTTGCTGCCATCTATGTGGTTAGCCTTTGTCCTGTGACGAACCGTATCTCTTTTGTTCCTCTTTTGTGGCTTGCTCATCTAGGTGAATTAAAAATTAAAGTCAACATAAAGTTAATAAGAAAATTTTTATGCCAGCTAACAAAAAAATTATAAATAAAAAATAGTGTGGACATATTTTTTTAAATGGACTACCATAATGTGTATCTTATTTTTAAGTAAGTTTTATATAATATTAAAACCTTGATGTAAGGCCTTATGCTATCATTTCCTAAAAAGCACCAAGTGCTTTGGCTAATTGCCATTCCCCTAACAAGATCACTAGTCAGAAATTCTTATTTTTTTATTTTCTTAAGACTTCTAAATATCTTTATTGGAGAGGAGAGATTTCTTTTGAAGAAACCATTATAAGCCCAACACTTTAGTGGGCTTTAACGTTTATATATTTTACGTAATATGGTAACATTATATGATTATATAGATATTATTTAGTTACATAATATAACTTAACTATTAGTGTACTGTTTTATATTATATTATGATGATTAAAACTAGTCATATTATATGCTATTATTTGGACATATTACATATCATAAAAATTATTAACAAAAAAAAGCATAAACAACTATTGATTTATTTTAATCAGTAATGGTGTTTGCTTCTCTACAGAAGAAAAAAAGGCTTTTATTTTGGTCTAAAATAATTATTTACTAAAAAAAGTCATCGAGCAAAAGCATTAAGAAAATTACAGGTGAAAATAATTGTGATCTGTGTGTGATAAGAATCGGCAATTGATTAGCTTTTTCGGCGCATTTAACCAAAATACCAATGAAATTTAATGATTTTTATTAAAATACGATTAGCATTCTTATACCCATACTCAGGGGGAAAAAAGAAAATGTGTTAGTGTATCAATCTATTATAATTACTAAAAGCATTATTAATTCGTGATGTAATACTATTTTATTCTATAATATGATCGTCCTATGACCCCAATCTATTAGAATAAAGTATTTTTTTGAAATTAAGTGAATACTTTTATGGGTTTAGAACGTAAGCATTCAGAAATAAGTTGTCAAAAAACCACATTTTCTTCGAAAGCTCTTCTATTAGGTGGAAAAAGATGAAAAAAATATTGTGAATCATAGAAAAGAGGAAAGAAAAAGAAAACATTGCTTGCAAGGTACATAGCATTGCCTGAATGTAGATGGTGGCTCTGAGCATACAATTTCAATTCTTTTTGTAGGGGGGCGAATATTGTTCTTTAACATTCCTTTTTACATCGTTTTATTCTCTGCTTACTACTCAGGCTCATCTGTTTGGTGCTTTTTGTTCTGTTTGTTGTCCTTTATGTAGTCTTATGTTATTCTCTTGTCCTTGGGCTCTCATCTCTCATA